ATAAGCCCAGTGCACACCGGGTGACCGAAGTATAGCAGCACTAAGCATATTGGGATAGTGCTCAGTCCAAGAACAATGCCACGGCATCAACACCAGTTGGCGTGGTTGAATGAGGTGCAGGTATAAACAATTGAGAATTCGGGGCACCATGATCTGCAAAGACAGCTATCAGTTAATGCACCGGACATGTCAGTCTCAGACACTTACAGTAATCTTTTCATGGCAATTCGGCAGTTATGCATCTCTGTCCAATTCCTGAAATGTGAGTAGAAGCGCCAGCGAGGCCAACAGTTCCTTGTATGCGTTATCCCGCTAGCCAACAATCAGGTGAGTCTCGTGCGAGTATCCAAAACACCCTCTTGCAGTTGCACTCACACGCCTGACTGTCCCGGAAAATAGAGCCCGCAGAACGGGACATGATGCAAGATTGCATGGCCACTAGTAGTGATCAAATTCTCGCATATGTCCTCACTGGATTCTGGTTCGTATGTGAAGTCTTGATAGGGTACGGGAACAATGTAACCTGGTTGTAGGGCTGCGACTTCGTGATCAGCTTGATATTTCCCTGTTCACGAAGAAGAGACACAGGGTCAGCCGCAGGTATCTGGGAGCTTTCGAGTTTGGAGAAAACCACGGCGGCCATCTGTTTACATCACCTTCGTACCGATATCTTGAGTGTTGGACTCTGTTGAGTTCACACAGTGTGGATGTGCCGTCATTGCCAGACGCAGGATCTCATGGCCTTTCTCCGTTCCTTTCTGGTGAACAGTCACAGGCTTCTATCAAGCGATTAGGAGGCAAAGGTATGCTAAATATTCCCGTGATATCAGACTCGGTGTATGGTAATTTCCTGCTGCGCACCCAAATCTGGCAAAATCAACAATAAAGACAGCGCCGGTGGGCCCCGCTCTACTGGAATAGGTTCAAGCCATAATCGTCTATCTGCTGGTCGCTGAGTATGTTATCAAAGACATTACGTGCCGGGAATCGATTATTCGACGGGAATATGGTGTTCGGCGCAGCTGGACCCTGCCTGTCTATGCCCCCCAATACTGTCCATGATAGGCTGCGTAGCTCGAATGTGTGATGTAGGAGTGATATCTGGCTCGGTGTCCAGCGGGCGGGGTGGTGTATGGTAGGGTATAAAGGTGGCTCCATGAGAACGGTCTTGGAACACCGTAGCGGCTATCATAACGATGTTATCCGCTGTTGGTTACCGGAGCCGTTATCCTTAGTCGCGTCTGACGGATTCAATCCTTCGAGAGGAGAAGAAAAGTCCTCAATTGTGGATTCGAAGTGGATTGTGAGGGTATCCATAGGCAGTCCTGTCCTAGTTAGCCCGAACAGAAAGTTGTGCCACGGATTGAGTAGATGAGTGAAATGTAGAAAAGAATCTGTACAGATGAACTTGGAGAAGAGGTCTTGATCCTAACCTCCAGACAAACATAAATCCCGCGCGACATGCCTTGTTTACTACCCAGGTCGTAGCCCTGGTAGAGCTTTTAAAGCAAAGAGCCACATGCCAATATGTGGACGATTGAGCATCAAGGGGCACTTCGTGCTCTAGTTCCACGACAGTCAGTAAGAGCCGATATTGCAACGGCTGTGAAGTCCTGGCTTGAGTATCCATACAAAGGCAAAGGTCGAAATTCAGCGTATCTAGAAGCAGAATTAGCCCGCCGTCAAAGCATGAAATTGGCCCGCCTATCAACATACTCACAGATAGATTCAACTTGATGTGGTATCTAGTCTGATGCTGAGACACACATGTCCCTCCATGGGCTCACCAAAAAAGTCCAAATTCAGAGCTCTCATCTAGCCCGGAAGTTCTGTGGAATATCTGCAGGACTCCAATGCTTCCATGGAGTTTCATCCTGCGGTGCTATCTATTCTCTTGAAATCCATTCAGCTGCAATTGCTGAATACGTCAATGTCAAGAGTCATGCAGCCAGACCCATTGTCATACCATCACCATTGTCTAATCCAGCCATCAAGTTAGGGACCATTGCAAACGCATATATGTCCGGACAGCATGTCTGGCATTGATTACCGTAGACCCAGAGACCGTATCGACAGTTCCAGCGCCTGCCTTGACGCAGCTCATACCTCCTCAAGCCTTCAAATTTCACTTGACATGTGCACTTGCTAAGTCATGTGTGGTCTTTGACTGTAGCTGACCATCTGTGATGGCCACCATGGCTCTCTTAATGCACCAACCAGAGCCCCAAATGTCGCTTTGAAATGGACCTTCGACGGGTGGCATTCCGCGACAGGTGCTTGCAGACTTGAATGGTCTTGTTCAGCATCTGAAGCAGAAGAAACGCAGCAGTTGAGATACCTATTATCTCCCGGGGCAGATTATCATTTTCATAATCACCGGGAGACCGTAATGTCCTTGCAAGTCCGAGTTGCTAGGAACTGGACTCTGAATCAGCCCTCTAATCCTGCCAATCTGGTTGAAGGACAGCGCGTAAGCTTATTGCGTGAGGTAGTGGCTGTCCATCCTCGTATCTAAGCGCAGAAAGCCGTAAACTAAACTAAACTATTCTGCTACATTGCATTGTCAGCGAGTTAGTGATTGCAAATTGATATGTAGCTTCATAACAAAGTGCATACCTGTTCCGCCAACTCAATGTTGTTGGCTTTCAATAGACCAGCTTCATGCAGGCCGTCTGGCGCTCTCCTTCTGCCCGGCTTATCAGGGCATGTAGTTGTTCAGCCCCCTACTTTTGGTTGCTCTACCCTGCTCGATATTCTCCGGGGTTCTCAGAACTCCTCTTAAAATGGTGCCAGGTCGGTTGCTCCAGGTCGATCACACAAACCAGACTTGATCTGGTGTCTTCTCAGCGGTGCCAGCTCCATTTGGTGGTTTTTGTGGTTATTGTTCTGCAAATGCAGCAGCTGCTGGTTGTTCAATATCCCAGGCTCAATCTCTCGCTGCGCTGGCTGCTACTGAGGGACTGCTGCTGCAGTGAGTGGCTGCTTTGGCTTAACAATGCGAGGCATCGCGCATATCGTTCCACGACCTCGTCGGCTTCATCTTCATCGAGCAGCAGACTAACAGGTTTGCAAGGTCAGTAGGGTTTTCGTCTGGCCTGAGCGAGATATCTGTTGATCAGAGCTAAAGTTCACCGGCGTTTTCACATATTTCTCGTGGTCTAATTACCCCTAGCTCTATCGATATGTCTGTTATAGAATGGCCGTAACAGTTAGCTTCCCTTCACGGATATGTGTCCTTGAAATAACTAGAAATCACGTACCATCGAAGAAACAACACGTCAGTGCTGCATCGCAAAAGCCAGCCCACGCTTTTCAGAATCCTGGTTCTAGGGGCCAAAGGCATGCTCTCCATAATACTCGCAAAAGCCAAAAGTTCGGAGTAACATGTCCGCTGGCATGGCCAGGCCAGACAATCGCTCACAGATTCATGAAGTCCATTCCACGGCGTGATGTTGAACGCTACCTGCCACAATCGAGGAACCAGGTGCCATATAATACAGGCAGTGGTCCATCGGACAGTGGTATACAGACTGGAACTGCCATCACAGGCACACGCAGTAGTAATTTAATAGACGGATTGCATACTTCACCGGACGATATCGGTGGGTAGAATCCATCTGCCACAGCGAGGCCAAGTTCCGATCCCATGGCTGGGAAGCCTTCGAGGAGCACGCCGATGCAGTGTATCGGTCAGATGCTGATTGTCTGCGAGCAAGTTAGCTCGAAACCAGTCGGAAAGAGATCGACGAAACTTACTTCCGGGAGAAGACTTCGGGAGTTGTATACTATTCCTATCTTACGTGGCGTCGATCTGTTGGAGGCATGAGATCGGACAAGGACATTCTTCTTCTTCAACAATCTATTGAAACAACAAGTCAGCGAAGCACCTGAACAAACGAACAGCGACATACCAAAACAAAATATCCAGTTCATCCGTCTATTGTTCTGAGGGAGGATGTAGATTGTTTCGATTCAAGTTCAAACATAGAGACGATTGGGCCTCGACAGGAAGAACAGCAAGAACGTGATTAGGGCAAGGCACAAGCACCCCGATGCGTCAACTTCGGCTACCAGAAAACATGCAATGGGTTCGGCGAGACAAGACGAGGTGATATTAGGCGAAACGATCAGGTCAGGCAGCTCATGCCCTAATAACTATGCCGTTCCGAGACGGGTGTTTGGGTTTGCAAGCGGCCAAACCGACTGTGTCTGGTCAGAGATGGTGCATGGGAAGAGGAATCTCGGGGATGTGCTACGAACTCAGCTTCTCAAGCAAGATGAAGTACGCCTGATGGCTGTAGAGCAGACTCTGGTGATACGTTGTGGATTGTGTGCTGAGTGCTGCAAGAGGGTCGACCTCAGGGCTACATGGTAAAAGTAAGAACTAATAATCGGGAGAGCGAGAAGGATTCAGACGAACGTCTCTCAAAAGACGGAAAGGATGCCAAATACTGAGGTCGCTGTGGAGGAGTTGTAAAAGGAAGAAGAAGAAGGTCGGTTTGGGGGAAGAGGAGATACTTATAGGCAACGGTGGCCAGGTCCGCAATGAATGGCTACGGGGCAAGGAACGGTGTGTAATATGGAAGTGACAGAATAATTGCACCCTAAGTTAATACAGAAATAGCTTCCACGGTTCAATAATAGTTTGTATCCAATAAAGCCCCGTGTTGACGCAGGATGATGGAGAAGGCAAGTGGTAAAGGAATATGGAGAGGAATAGAAAATGGAATGGGAGGGGAAATGGCTCAGAACGCGGTAAGAGTGGAAATAATAGAACCTTCCAGCCAAGCCATTCGACGGCTTGATGCCACTCCGTTTGCCTCGCTGGGCTGATGACGGGAAGCGGCAGTTATGCGTGGCGACAGCTCACATCGCCGGTGAAGTAGCGAAATCAGCCTCAGTCACCGGGGCCGTAAACAGTATAGGCATCAACATCCCAATCGTACGAATTCATGGTCTAGAGCTGCGCTACGGTCATATCACTGCCAATATGAATAGCTTCATAATTGCTCTTGACCTCGTCGCGGGTTAGCCGGATTATCATGCTGCCACCGTTTGAAGGCCGCGGTGAAGCCGACATCCTCACCCGGGCCTCCGTCTCCGTTTGACTGATGAGCAACGCTGTCATGGAGATCCACCAGAGGTACCATCGATGGGCGGCCATGAGCACACTGGAAAGGGAAGACGCAAGTCGCCAGCCGCTTCACCAGGTTCATGCATTCCCCAAGAGTCAGAGCATCGTTGAACATAATGGCAGTTCTGCAGGCTCGAGAGTTGAGCAGGTTAAGGATGCCCTGTGGGCACCCCGATAACCGTCCAACCCAGTCCTCCGAATGCACAGGGTCGGTGAATGGTACATGGGAATGTGCTCTTCCATTCTCTGTCCGCTTCCATGTCTCGGCTCGGATGATGTTGATGAGCTGCTCTGGCTCTGTCCGACATCGCTCTGCAATCAAGGTCGGAAGCGTTGATACCGAAATAGACGCCTTTCCACTTCGTGGATGTTGTGAAACTGCATAGTCGATTCCCCACGACTTGAAGTATTCCACCTGCCGCCTAAACAAAGCAGCCTCGGTGGCGGGGATGTCAATCGTCACCGGGTCCACTTCAATCATTTGTACAGCGTCCAGGTTGCTGTCGAATAATTCCTTGGATAGTCTCTCGATTCGACATCGCTCATCGGCGGCGTGCTGGTCAATTAGGACAAGCGTTGATGCATGGTCCCGCGATATCATTTCCACCAGAATAAACTTCTGGTCGACTTGCCCAATGACTCTGGCTGTCTTCAAGTCTTGTTTGCGTAGTTTTCCACTATATTTTGACGCCCCAAAGCCATCCAATCCGCATCGTTCGTGGAAATCATGCGCCAACTTTTTGGCACTTGCGTCGTGTTCTGGTTCGGTATCCAACGCGTTTATCGGTCGTTCAGGCCGGCCAAAAACAGGGTTTCTCCAATTACCCAACAAATTTTCCAACCACATATTCTGCGTTCCGGGAACAGCTGATGCCGGTCGCTTCTGGCTATCCAATATCCGAGTCGCCATCAGCGACCCCGTTGACTTGGGTCGGTGGGACAATACCGAGGCAGCTGACGGCCGAACGTTAACGGACTGGCCAGTCCGCGAGTTGACCCAGTGGCTTATCCCGGTGTAGGGATCAACCCACGGAATCACTTTGTCACCGCACTCCTTGGCCTGAATGTCCACGGCGTTGTTCGCCGCTGCTATCTTTGAGCCTTTCTCATCAATCGTAGGTTCCAAAATTAGACTCCGTGTCTGGTCTGTCGGTCGATGCATGTCTTCATCTGCTGAGACCACGACTGACTTCTCTCGGGTTGGGCCATGAGCGTGGCTATTGCCACTTTTGATCCGAGACCAATTTCCAAAATGTCCACTATCACCTGATCGGGAAAATGACGGGAGCTTCATTTCTTTTCCTGACAACTCGGTGGTAGAAGTCCTTAGACTTCGTTTCTGGGACTGTCCTGCAGTCCCTACCTGCTGCCCAGAAGGTTCTTCTTGTCTCTTTCCACCCCGTGGACGCATGTTGTGGGCTTTCAAATACTCGTTTATCATCAGTGTTAGGATATCCAAAATACGCTGAAGTGACCTGTCCGACTCGGGGAGTTCCTGGTCATTGTTGGCCATCGTACCGTCCACCGATTCGACACGAATATAGAACATGGGCCATTTGTTGATAGTCGTTGCACCGGAGTGGCGGACATCCGGTTGGGTAGTTAATGAATTGCTTGCAAACGGGACTCGTGCAATCGTTCCAAAATCAGACATCGAAAAAAGGCGGTTGACCTCGCTGTATAATATATTCGTTTGATTATGCGGGTGCACAGGGTCAGCCCCAAGGGATATGAACTGGACTTTCTTGGAGGGACTAGGGACTAGGGAGAGTGCAGCCTGGATCGTTAGATGCGGAACTGTGGCCGACACTGAATGCCATGCTGTTATATTGCTTGTATCGAGGCCTGTCTGAGACAGAATAGAGCTCAATCGTATCAAGTCCAGTTCGCCATCGGCTGGAGAGCCTCGACGAGGGCGGATTGTTAGTTTTCGTTGTTTGTCCGTATCAGAGATTACCAGTTTCGAAATAGTGTTATTCGAAATGACAAGCGAGATCAGCAGACTTTTCAAATCGTCCCACTGTCGGTCCAACTCATCTGCCTTCTGCAGGGTCAATGCACGGTTCTTCACTCGAACGGGCATATTCCCAAAAAGGTCATTGACTGTGACGCGCGTTCCATGGTCACTAAACTTCAAAGCGTGGTGCTTTGGTGCTGGGCTAAGCCGTGCAACAGTTGCTGAGTGATGGAACATGACAGTGTTTGTGCTTGCATGTTGGACATGATGGGAAGTTATGGTCAACAACGCTAGCGCAGATAGTGAAGCCAGAAAACAGCCCTTCCTGCCATGAGCTGGGGAGTCCGGATTGAATTTCGAGGTATCTGTCCCAATTAATATATTGTCATAAGAATCCGAATTGAATACATACGATAAGCCTTTCCCAGGCCCCCGTCACTCTCGAACTCAGCTGGGATGATTCCATTCCCATCGTCTTCCACAACGCACCCTCCCCGTCGGTAGTCAACGGTAACAAAAACGGTCTGGGCATTTGCATCTATAGCGTTCTTGACCAGTTCCACAATTACGCCATTCAAATTCGTAATGGACGTCGAAGATTTGATTTTAGCAGCCACTTCGTGTGGGAGTGGCTGGATTTTGTGGACATTCATCGTATGGGTTAAGCTGTCGAAAACATATTTATCCGTCGGGGCGTTGTCCGCCACCTTGACTTGGATAGTGTTCCAGCAAGCCGATCAAGAAGGCTAGCAGCCAGATTCAGACAGCATTAACATTGATGACTGCCTAAGTGTCGCTTCCATGTTGACACAATGGTTTTGGTGAGAGAGTTGAGGAAGTCGCAGGCAATGATGTCTGCCTATCACGTGACTTTATACTGAGTGATTCAACAAGTCCCAATGTTACAGCCATCACAACTGCTCAACTGCAGCTGTTACTTTGCTACTGCTAAGACTATGAAAAGCTTCACTTTGATCTTGGCTATCCTCTTTTGGAAACTTCCTAGTCAACAGCCCAAGCACTTCTGCAGCTGTATACACACACCGAAGCAACAAACAGTGAATAGAACATACTCAAACTCTGACTTTGATTGCCTGCAGTCATTACAGCACTGCAGCCAGTTTCAGGAAAGCTACCAAAGGGTCCTCTGAGCCCTGCGATTCGACGATTCGTAGTTTTAAGAAACAGGTGAAGTATCACAAACCCGCAACTCTGGACCTCGAGGGAGTACGCGACTACGCGTCCCCGGAAACCTGCGTCCATCGGGCATCTGTCTCTGCTCTGTTCCAATAGACTGCTGCCATGAATGAGGTTGGGAAGCATTCATGATACTGACGCTGTTTTGGGCCGAGACAGGGCGGGAGTCACGTGCCGCCCTCCGCAGGGACAAAGAGTCAAGGAGGCTCACTGCTCTGCGCTTCATCCCTCTGCATACCTCCCTTTCCTCTGAGAAGCTCCAGCTCGGTCCGAACTGATATTATTCCATTTCGAGTATTTGTTTATTTGATACCCCTCTGTTTTTTCCCAGCGACTCCGGCCGGTCTCTTCCTCTCGCCCCCCTTCGCCGCCTAACTTGTATATCTGTGGTACCCAACTCAGTAAACAAGCGAAGTGACGGACAACCGACAAACAGCGGCCTCTTTGGGTTACATCGACTCCGAGTTCGCGGGTGCCATAAGACCGATTCCTCGAGGCCAGAATGGCCACAACTGATGGCCCTGCTCGGGCGCATGGTACGTGCTGCCACACCCCCTCCTTCAGCCTCCCGCTGCTGTAAACAACGCTGACACCGTCCTTCTGTTACAGACCGCAACGGACGCCGGCGCCCGTTCGCGAGCTGGATGAAGCGACTGGCGAGTCTGAAAAACTCAACCGACTCACCCTCTACCCGTTGGTCCAACAAGCGCAATGGAATGTCCAAGACGAAGAACCGAGGCATCAAGAACAACCCGTATCCCTTGTCCGGGAACCCTCATCTTGCACAGCAATACACCAGCGACCGCGCTTCTTCCTCCCATATCAGTGAAGACCAAAGCCGATGCCGATCCCATTCCCACAGCGAACCATCCATCACGTACTCTGGGTATGAAAACCAGGTGCCCACCGCGGGCGCTAAATCGGCCGCGCCAACGATCTCCACGAACGGCGAGACGGCGCTTTCTGAGGCTGCATACTCGAAGGCTGGAACCATGGCGACGGTCGGCGGAGGTGTTAGCACCAATGGAGGGGGTGAAGGAAGCACATTCTCGTCCCCGGCGCCCTCTGTGCGGTCGCTGGCGACCACGTTGACCACGGTGCAATCAGCCGCTCCCTCGACTCATATCTACAACGCTCAAAACCCTCCATACCAAGGCCACCACCATGCTCATGCGTCGAGCTCCGGCACACAGCAAGTGCAGTTCTCACAACCATTCCCTCCATCCCCAGCGACCGCCGTGCCACCTCATCTTGCCCCGCATGGCCACTCGGTCACGTACAGTGGCGCGACCGCAAACAACATCCTCACTGATAACGCTTCGATATTAACCCTCGCCTCTTCCTCGAAGCGTCGCAGACGAAACTCCTTGGACACCAATGCCTCGGTTCGTGCCCTGGCGCCGTCATCGGTATTTGGTGGAAGCCGCGAAAGTCTACCATTGAGCGTCCTAAGCGGGGTGGGCGAGGCGTCGAACACATCCGTCCTCAACGCCCCTGGTGTTCTTAGCCGACCAAGCCTCGTCGGCCTGGCTAGTGCGGAGCGAGCAAGCGTCTATTCGTCGTCGGGCACAGGACCAAACGGCGAACGCGGCAGCTTCTACGCCAACAAGCAGAGCCCTGTAGCTGGCGACGGTGCTAGTATTAGAAGTGCTGGCCACTCGCATGGGCGCCAGGACAGCAATACTGCAAGCATTTCGGGCGTCGCGACACAACCAATCCAGCCTGGTCGGATCAGCCGACGCAGCTCGGGATGGGGAGAGATTACAGGTGAAGAAGACGAAAGCGATGAGAAGATGACTGAGGCCAGGGAGGACGCTAAGGAAAAAGACAAGGACGAGAGCAAGGAGGCGACTAAACCGGCGGACCAGATGTAACATGTTGGCTCATAGCGGTCTTTTAATGGCACGAGGACCAGCCTCTTTTCTACGACTAATGCGGGTTGGATAGATGAATTCCTGGTTCACTATGGCGTTTCTGGGTATTGGTGTTCATCACGGACGGCCTTGGTGGAATGATGAACTAATGTCTTATTGTATGTGTAGATTCTTGCTCAAGTTTAATTCAGACAGATGCAATGCATGATTTTCACTATAACACTAGCCAAGCTATAAAAGCGGCACCGATACCTCGGATGCTCAAAATCACCTGCGGGACAATTATCTCTTCGTCCCTCCAGTACTCGATAATTAATGTCCTGCCATAAAATAAGACTTTTAAGTCCAGCAGTAATATAAACTGCACAATGAACAACCCGCTCTAGTGTTTATTTACATCCCCACTCCAACCTCCGCCAACCTCCGCATTCCCACCACAGTGCAACATGAACCTCCGCACGCTGTTTGGCAAGCAGTCCACCAACAAATCCCTTGTGTACGGCTTAGACCATGCAATCCTCAACACCCCAATCCCGCCGCCGTCCATGTGGATGAATCTCGGCTACTGGAAGGTCCGCTCTCATTCCCAATCCACCCAACGTCTACCCAACCCACGTCCCCCGCACCGACTGGAAGTCTGCAGTCTAGCAACTAAATGTTCAAAATAGGATACATCCGACTTCCCCACAGCCTGTGCCGCATTACTGGACCAGGTCCTGATCACGGCTTCGCTGATTGACGAGAATGGAGACGCGAAGCCGCATCTGGCGCAGAAGAAGCTCCGTCTGTTCGATGTGGGCATTGGGTGCGGAGATCAGTCGCTGAGGATACTGGGATATAAGAAAGGGGATAAAATGAGTTCAGCTGAAGTGAACGGGTCACCGCTATTCGATTCCTACACCGGCGTCACTTCTCTACCGGTACAGGCCGAGTTTGCGTCGCAGCGGATCGAGCACCATCTCTCTAAGATAGAAAGCGACAACACGAAAACAAACCCAAGAGCAGCCCAGATCTTCTGCGCCGACGCCGCAAACCCACCATCCTGGCCATCAGAGCTCCATGCCTCCCTCGACCCATTCCAAACCGAAACCAAAACCCAAGATGGCAGAGAAGAAACAGAAAACTGGCTCCTAGCCCTCGATACCCTCTACCACTTCCACCCCTCGCGCACCCCGCTGTTCAAATACACCTACTCAACCCTCCACGCCAGCATCATGGCCTTCGACCTCCTCCTCCCCTCGTCTCCGCGCCTTTCGTTCTGGACGCGTCTCCTCCTGCGCCTCCTCTGCCTCTTCAGCGGGACACCTTATACAAACTTCCACACAGAGGAGGAATATACCGCCCTCCTTGTGGCTGCGGGGTATGATATCGACAAAATTGAGTTCAGGGATATATCGGAGGATGTGTTTGCGGGTATAGCGGGGTTTTGTCAACGGCGGGGCGAGGTGGTGAGTGCGTATGGCATGGGGAAGATGGGGAAGTTTAAGGGCGCTGGAAGGATGTTTGGGTGGTGGGCTAGGACGGGGGTTGTTAGGGGCGTTGTTATTGTTGCGAGGGTTTGATGCTTTCGCCTAAGTATTTCATGGATGTGTATATATGGAGTATTGGGGGCACAGCTTGGCAAAATTCCCCGGATTGCTTAATTAGAGGTCTCTTGGCTAGCTCTTGGCTAAACCCATGGACAGGTTCTACAATTGAATAAGATCAAAGCCGAACTTAAGCGGTATCAATTGAGACATCTTGTACGTGTCTGCAATGTGTATTAAACGTAATCATCACCTACCCACCATTCCATCCCATCCATTCTCCATGAGACGCCTTCCTCACTTTAAAGGAAAAAAAAAATCAACATGTAAACCATATAGACATAAATTCAGAATATACAACTGAAGGAAAACAGAAACCCAAGCAAAACTTTCTTTAGGAGCCAGCTTAGACTGTACCGACACCGATCTTGGAGTTGCCGCTACTCCGCTCGCCCTCAGTCTTCTGTGCAGCAAGGAACTTCTTGAACATATCCGAGATATCGCTTTCGGCCTTCTTGCCTTCTTCCTTGCTCTTGCCGTTCTTCTCGGTGATTAGGTTCTTCAACCATTGGTTCTCGAGCTCGAGAGCGGTGACGCGGGCTTCCAACGCAGCGTTCTTTTCCGACGTTTCCTTGACTGATTTCTCTAATGTTTGCTCGCGCATCTTCTTCTTAACTCGGAACCGGGCGCTGGCAGCAGTGTTGCGGCGGCGCTTGTCTTCCTCAGCGGCAACTCGTGCAGCCTCCTCCACACTCAAAACAGGGGTCTTTTGGGTGTTCTTGCGCTTCGGGGCCGGCGCAGACGCTGTTGGCGAGGGTTCGGACGTAGGGCTCGCGCCAGAAACGGAAGGCTGAGACGGGGAAGTCGCTGTCGGCGACGACTGGTTCACCGGGGCATGCGCATTAGGCAGCCTTTTCGGCGCCTGTTGCTGCGGCATGGGCTGGTACTGGGCATTCTGCACTGGCATGGACGAGTTCATCTGAGGGGCATAGTCGTTGACATTGTTGGCATTGCCAAACCCATCTGGGGACTGTTAGCAGCCGTAACACACATAGCCTGTCAATTCGGCAATCCAAAAAATAAAGAAATAAGAATAGAGCGGAGCAGAGCGGCCGTGGGTAAAACTGGTGTGTGCGTGAGGCTCATCCAGCAAGTATGGGGTCACGTGAAATGACGCCATAACGGGCCATTTTCGCGATATCAACGCCAAGTGCCTGAACTTGCAGCAAACCTTGACACGCTAATCTCGATCGTCGCATTCAGGCTGATCCACTGCAGAGAATGCACCAATGGTGGACAGACCAAATTGCGAATGCGTGGGATGGCGGGTGGCGCGCCTCGTGCAGGGTCCAGTCATTGATCACGCCAGCGCGAGCTCAGCACAGAAATGGGCACAAACCCGATCGCAATGAAAATATGAAAAAAAAAGGAAAGCAAAGAAACAGGCAAAGAGAACCTTGAGAAGAGCTCCCATGGTTCACCTGCCCAGGGCATCCGAATGACATAAACGACAGGCGTAGAAATCCATCACTTACCACCGAGCATATCCAAGAACTCCATGTCGGGGTTCTGCCTGACATGTTGTTTGTTCTCCTCCACAGGCTCAAACGACGGAATGTTCAAGTCGAAATCGAAGAACTCGGTGTTGGTGAACAGCGATAGGTCATTGTCTAGGTTGAACGTCTCTTGCTGCTGCTGGACGGCGATATCGTAGGGCGACGGGATGGCATTCAGATCATCCAGATACTGCGAGAAATTGGGGGCACGGCGGCCATTGTATTCAGCCATGGCGAAAGAGGAGGCGTATGGGCCTCTGCTTCTCGAATCCGACCAAAAACTCCAAGCGACCCCTTCTGGGGTTTCCGTATACTCCGCTTATCCGATCGGAGCTGTAACGTCTCTGTACGACGGAGGGGCACAAGGCCGGCGTCGAGTTCGTCAAACTCGGGGGTTCGTTTGTCGGTCGCACTGTCGATAAATGGGCGGCGTGGTTTGTCGACAATGAAGATGGTAGAGGTGGTGAAGAGATGGAGAGAGGAAGAAGAAGAGGGGATCCAGAATGTGGGACGAGAGCGAGTGAGTCGAGGGAGATTTTGTGCTGGATTGAGGTAAGTGGGTGGGGGTGGGAGCGCTGATTAATTCCACCCGCCGATTTCAGCTCTCTCCAACGACTTCGGAGAACCCTCGGCTGCCCGGGCGCTTGAGCCACCTCTTGTTTCTTTTTCTGCGTCTTCGAATGATTCGATGGCTTCGATTAGTATCTTCCTGGTCAACTCTGAGTACGAGGTGCTCTTCGTCTTGACTCCTGAATTACCTTGCTCAGTGATGGAGTGAATACTCTTTGTGCGCTGGTTGCCTGAGTTTGCCCGTTGAGTCGCCACCGGTGCCGAAGTCGGAATCCTCAACCATGGACCGCCCCAGGCATGCACCCGATTTTCCACGATGACCCGCTCATCTCAGGAGCAGAATCTCACGATGTGAGGGCCTGGTGTTGTCGGACTCATGCACCACCGCGAGCGAATGGCATCCCTGAAGGATCAGCTCCCTGCTCGTCATGCCTGCCTCTGATCGCTCCTTGCTGGCCAACCTTGCGTTCGGGCCTCGGATCCCTGTTGCAATGGAGCTTTCCGGTTGGCTCCGGCTCGGCCTGCTTTTATCTCTCGCGCGGTTTGCGATACAAATATCTATCTCTAACAGTAACTCTGTCGGCCTTGAAAGGAGTGCTTTTCCCCGCGTCTGGCTGTCTCGCGCTGGCGGCGCTGCACCTCGTACTATTATTGAGACGCGCGCGATGGCGAATAAACTATCTGAAATTACACAACAGTGAGCCTTCGAAAGCTCTCCTGGCTCGTATTATGGTCTCTCATTGATTTGAGATGCGGAATCCGGAGTCTTTGCCGCTTTGCATTCTGTCTTCACAGATCTTCCCGTCACTTACGGGGGGTACCGGCATGAGTCAATCGTCTCGTGCTTCTTGAAGTGATGAAGGTTTTGAATGTCGTGCTTTGGGCTATTGAATATCTCGAGCAGTGGACCTGTTGGTGCATCACCCCCGTAAATAATGTGTACAATAAGCAAGTACCCCTCGACGGAGTCCTGGTTCGAGCCAATTGCAGCTGGTGAATATAGGCGGGTCGGGCCAGCAATTTGCCTCCAACTCCAAATAGTGTGCAATGTGCATGGATGATGCGAGGGAATACCATCACAAGGGTGTGAAGCGTTTATTCCTCATAGTCGACTGTAGGCTTGGCGAAAATACTTCTGCCTGAGGCTGCTATCCAAGGTGCTATCGCCACGTGATCTTGGCTGTTGATGCTTGGCGCATAACAATCCAAAACAACGCCGACGACCAAGTTGCTCACGGATACTCTCATTGCCAGGCCCGATTCAATAGACCACATGGAGACGTATAACCGGTAATATCTATGCCAATTCAAAATGGCACGTCCAAAATCAATTCGCGCGCCTACGACCGCCAGTCTTCCAAATAACCTGCGCATCGCCTCCACCACGCCTTCGCTGGTCAAGGCCCTGGGGAAGCTATCTCGCCAATCGCTCCTGGATATTGTGTTCCAATGGCTAGATGACCGAAATGTTAAGCTATTCCCTCCTATGTTAGAGGGCGACGAGGAGGAAACCCCCGACGACGATGGCCTACGACCCTATCCGACCGAGCACTCGCTGAACGACGTTCGCAATGCATATCAAGAACTGCAATTTAGAAAAGGCGGCAAGCGCGAGGTCATTGATCGCATCTTGGACGGGGACTGGAGACAGGGGATCACGCTACGACAGGTTGCTATGGTCGACCTCCGATACCTCGATGACCACCCGTCAAGTTTGCGCTGGACGGCACTGGAGCTCGCGCGCCTCGGCGGCCCAAACACACAGGATACACCCATCGCAGAACTCTCAGCTAGTATCCCGCGTGTACACTCGTCCACCTTTCTCAAAAAGCTCCAGGAGCAAATATCACCACTGGTGAAAGCGCACTTCTACCTCGCGCGCTCCACCACCCAACCCCTCACCTTCCTCCGCATTTTCGTCACTCACACTCCGTACCAGAGTCTCCGCCAGGCACCGGAAACACTCACCGACTCGTCCAGAGTCATGTACGTCGCATTCCCAGATAGCTGTCCATATATATACACATCTCTCGCCTCGGCCGCCGGGTCCAACACAAACGCCAGCTCCGTCGTCGCAACAGACGCGCGAAGCCTCCAGCGCATCGTCCGAGATGCCATACCAAAAGCCCTCTCCCTCCCTCACCAACGATACACGCTCAAACCCACATCCCTCACGGCAAAGAGCCTTCAGGCTCTTATCTCCCTCCGCGGTCCAGGCCGCTCCACAAACGCCAACGGCGCATTCAGCATCTTCGCCGACGCCGTCCTCGAAGGAAGCCCCCTCGACCCACGGCCCTCCAACACCGTCCCCCCAGAAGAACACCAGAAACAATCCCTCCCAGCTGCTAAATTCGACCAAGAGAAGGAAAACAGTGTCCTAGACGGCAACGCCGACCACGACGCCGACCCCTCCCACCCAGCAAAACCCAACCCCCTCCGCCGCGCTAGAGATATCGACGCTGACCCGCGCGCGTCCAAAAAGCGCAAACTCGCCGTCCAGTCCCGTTTCGGAACGGCTGGAACCGCAATGTCCTCTGCACCACTTGACCGTCTCGACGCTAGGCTCCTTGATCCTCCTAACGACGAGGATGAGGATCGTGATGCCGCCCGACCTACCCTCTCGCTTACATTCACCGGGACAGATGTGGTATCTGGTATCCGGCAGCTTGCGGAGCTGGGAATCGTGAATGCCGAGCGTATGCCGTCGTGGATGACGGGTGAAGAGGCCGTCAGTGTAGCGATTGTGCGCAAGGGGAGGGTGATTAATGATGGCGGATGAAGTGGATATTGGATGCTATGTTCTTATATACGCTTGTGCATGTCGGCATGACTGCTTTTCGTCAGGGTATTGGATCTGCTGTTCCGGGACAGGATGACGGATTACTGATTCTGGCTGTCATTACTATGACCATCCTCAAAGCAGGAGGCTTTACGGCTGGCCCGGCTCATACCCATCCACTCATCTACGCTGGCTGAGTGGATGCCCGCGTCAGGCACGCCCGTCCACAATCAGTGAGGCGAAAACTAAGTTGGTAACAAATATCGCCCGCAAATTTTATCTCAATAATGATGGATTAAGAGGCCGATAATACTCAACTAGGTAGGGTATAAGGCAGCCGAACGCCAAAGATTACTAGACCAATACAAAGATGACCCTAAACCTATTCCATCTCCCAGTTAAACGCCGCTTGTAACGTAATCTTATGACCCCAAGGAAGATTATGGAGACGGAGTTGCGAAGAACACGTCAATCCACTTCCTCCTCCAGTTCGTCATCGTACTCACGCCAGGCAGAATAAGATAAGTGCCGGCGCACCCAGTGCTGATGATAACTTGAATAGTCTGCGGTAGTCATGTTAGAGCATGTTAGTTGCAAGCAGAGTGGGGAGTAGGGGAATCTACAGGGACGGCTTCGTACCACGTTCACCAGATAAGCCTACTTGTCTTGCCACATTGACATACCCGTCTTCTCCTACTTGACCCTCGCCCACGAGTTGCTCCAGGCTCATGTCAGGTTTGCAATCAATTTCTTGGTTTTCCCAGGGTGAGCGACTGAAATATGATTGTTAGTCTAAGTTATCGTGTCAAGTGAGCGGACGTACCAGTAAACACAGCGGACACCCTGGGCATTTTGCGTCGCCGCCCATTGCTGAAAGCACGTCTTGTGAATGTTGTTGCCGCAGGCTGCGCGGCACCAAACGATTTCTTCCTCGCTTGGGTTGAACTCCATGAAGCAGATTGGACACTCTCCTTCCACAGGCTTGCGATTGCCATCTGTTTCATGGTCCTCGACCTTGTCTTTCACATTGCGGAGCGGGGAGTTGTCGTAGATCTCACGGATTTCCTAAACAAGTCTAAGTACACGATTCGAGGAAAGGCCTTGCAGGATACTCACGGATGATAAGAAAGCTAGTTGGTATTGTAGCTCGGCGGGAGCTTTTAGGACCTTCGCTAGGACTAAATTGGCCATTAACGATAAATACAACGACAGCAATGATAAAAATAGAAGAAACAACGAAAAGAACATGACGACGATCCGGAGTAAGCCAGGTTCATTGCGTTGAACGTACCGTAACAGATGTGCTTGCATTGATTGCCATTTCTCGCATCTGGGCAACTGCAGGTCGGCTCCTTCCTGATAACCGTCTTGTAAATGTTACCAGTTGACCCGACGATATCGAACCCTAGATCAGGGTTCTCGTCTGTGCCGGTGACGGTCTGTCCGACCACGAACATTCTAGTAGAGTGTCGTTAGTTAGGTGCATTGTGATAGACTTGGAGGCATACCGCTGGCTAATTGCACGATCTAAGCGTTCACGATAACTCTTTGGAGGGGCACTGCGAAACCTCCTCAGTCGACGTTCCTCAGTGGAAGCAGTTGAAGTCTTCTTGACTCTAGAGGATTTGCCCTTTGAGGGTGAAATAACAGGAGGAGCATCGTCTGTTAGACCAGCGGCGTTTTTCGTCTTCTTTCCCGATTTAGGGGTTGGCTTCGCGCGTGTGTTCTTAACGGGAGTGGCGAGCGAGTTTCCATGCTTCCTTTTATGTGGAGATCTGTATCGAGAGTCTGATACCAGATCTCGATTCGAAGTAGACTGATCCATCTTGCGAACCTTTGATTAGGATGGATGGAGGAAGCAGGTGGAGGAGAGAGTGTAGGCAGTGTTACTACGCCTCACGCAGCGCTGGCCAATCTGGCAACAAGTCCGAGAAGTCCCTCGTGACCAGTACAGATCGGATATGGCACGGCACCGCCAAAACTGGCTGCAAATTGTCAGACCAGCTAGTGTTGCTCAATAGTGCAGTTGGTGAATGTGATACAGTTCCTTATCAGTCGATGCCCCGATAAGAGCGGGACTCTGGAGGTTTGCTGCATTTGCAGTGTTTGCTCTGTTTGTCAGCTGTCCTTCTCTCGCGATAACGTCAAGCTCTCTCCATCAACGCTCTGGTGTGTCAACAATGGCTCGTCCCCGTGCCCATTCGGGTGCTGATGTCCCGAAGGAACCACATTCAGTCTCATTGAAAGGTATGTAGAGTTTTGTTCCTGTTGAACCAATCTAATCGGTCTAGTCTTGCGGTAAGCACCGATCAACCGTCCGATAACCCCTCCTAACCGTTACAGCCTCTCACGGCCCTCATTATCCTACCAATATCCTCTACCGGCAGCAAACACGAAGATTTCCAGCAAAGCCGCCTTGACCTTTCCCTCCAACAAGGTCGATAGCCAATTCATATTCACTCCTAATGTATGTTCAGTAACTCCGACCGCTGACTTGTGCTGACCACGCAAAGCTCACACTCCCTCCTACATTTGGATCCGCGTATGTCGGGGAAACATTCGCCTGCACTCTTAGTGCAAACAATGAACTTCCAGACGAGACATCGCGGGTCATAACGTCGGTCCGAATTGTTGCCGAAATGCAAACTCCTTCGCAGGTGTCGGCTCTAGACCTTGAACCCGCCGATACAAACCCCAACGACGGCTTGCAGAAAGATCAATCTCTACAGAAAATTGTACGATTTGACTTGAAGGAGGAGGGGAACCATATTCTGGCTGTCAGCGTCAGCTATACTGAAACGTTGATTGGGACCGACTCGCAGGCTGCTAGCGGGCGAGTGAGAACGTTCCGGAAACTATATCAATTTGTCGCTCAGCCCTGTCTCAGTGTGCGAACGAAGTCATCGGAGCTGGCTCCGCTGGAAGTTGACAATAAGTCACTAGGGCCGTATGGCAAGACCCGTCTACTTCGGTTTGCTCTTGAAGCTCAGCTGGAGAATGTAGGCGATGGGACTGTCGTCATCAAGGTGTGCACCATGCCTCCATGCTAGGCTCCCTTTCTAATTGTTACAGCAAACCCGGCTTAATGCGAAAGCACCGTTCAAGGCGATATCATTAAACTGGGACCTTGAGCGGCCCGACCAGTCGGATTCACCACCTCCTACGCTCAACCCGCGCGACGTATTACAGGTTGCGTTCCTGGTTGAACAAGAAGAGGGTCAGCAGGATGGGCTGGAGGATTTGCACAAGAATATGCGTCGAGACGGCCGCGCTGTGCTGGGCCAGTTGTCAATCGAGTGGAGAAGCTCCATGGGAGATAAGGGATTCTTGACCACGGGTAATCTGCTAACGCGGAAGCGAGTATGATGTGATCATAGTATGTCGCACAGCATTAGAATGGCTGTGTTAGGGAAATATCCTCCCGATACCGGAGATTTCCGGTCCGGACACCCCTGCTTCGGCAGCAAGGCAGCCGGTAGTCATCCCCTGCAGGGTTGACACTTGCTCAACGGGGTGGGCGTAAAATGTCCGACAAGGCTTGAGGTGCCGTCGCTGTGTTACACAGAAGGAGTATATTTTCTGCGCAGGTAACTCGCACGCCGCCGGCCGGCTAGCAGGCCTACTTTCCAGTCGCAACTGAGTGGTAAATTGGGTCGTTGGCTATATTGAAACATCAGCATCGGATAGACCGTCATCCAACACACTAAATACCACGTGTTCCACACAGTTTATTGCCCCATTCCGTTATCTAGGCGGGCTATACTCAATAGCATTCAATTCCCCAGGTCAACGTCGTACCAATATTGTAACTACAGTATGTATCGTATTAACACAACATCTAGCAAACAGCTATAAAATCAACCTGGATATCAACCCCGGCAGGCAACGCAGAAACCTCAACCATAGATCGCGCCGGCCTATGCGGAAACGCAGCATCATACACCTTTGCAAACTCGGGCATACTACGCGCGTCTTTAAGATACGCCTGTCCTCAAACCATAACCAGACGGTAGCTGATTAGCCAATTTTCTAAAAAAAAAAAATGCAAATGACGGAACCAAAATGCAGTCCAGTAGAGGAAAGGAAAAGACATACAACAACCTTAACAACCCCATCCAACCCCGCCCCGGCCTCCTTCAAAATCGACTCCGTGTTGCGTAGAATTGCCCTCGTTTTGTCGGCCATGGACCCCGTGATTAGGGCTCCGCTGGCCTCGGCGGGGATTTGACCTGAGAGGTAGATGTGGCTGGCTCCGGGAGGGGTTTTTATTGCTTGGGACTGGGATATTAGTATCAATTAGTTTTTCGTATGAGGTTTGTCTAGAATGCATGGGTTATTTGGTTGGGTTGGGTTATTACGTAGTGTGCGAATGCTGTTGTGGAGGTGTGTTAGCTATGGTGTTTATATTCGGTATGTTATACCCACGGGCATATGCTTTATTAGTATGGACACTGGTGAGGGCTGAGTAGGTTCTCTTCGCTTTGAGGGCAGTTGCCATGACAGGCTGGAAAGATGATACCGGGAGGCGGAGGTGGCTAGCAATCATAACCGAGCGAGAACGAGCTGCACGAGCGAGCATTTTCACGGGGTTTATTCAACTGATAGTGCTCTTCGTCTGACAGCCCAAGATGTATGATTTGATTGTATCTTTATAGACATCGTCGGTATCGGAGGCGAGTCGGAGTCGGAGTCGGACGGGGCCCCGACATTTTCGATTAGGGCTCCGAATGTCGGCCCCACCGACCGACTTGATTCGTAAAGGATCAAATTCTACAATAAATTTAAATGGTTGACATGGTTCTTGGAAGCCTCGAGAGATAAGAGTGAAAGATAGAATCCTGCTCGATTCAGATGGCTTCAGCGGTACGAAGTGTCACGGCTGCTGCCACTGCTGGCGCCCATGCCAGCGTAACCCTAAGCCGCTATACGTTAAGGTATGATATCGTCCTTGTGGATTGGCCAGACTAACATTCTCAGGCCCTTTTTGTCTCGATCATTGGAATCACTTTCACTCTCAAGGAGCCCCAAGATGAACTCCTCCACTGCCGCAGCTACAGCTCTGGCCACAGACGAAACCGACACTGCAAAAGCACAAGCGAGCTACAAGATCGTCCAAGATGCAGGCAACTTCAAAGAAACCGAAGCCAGCAGGCCAGCCTTCGACCATTCAAATTCTCCAATTGAAGTGACGCAATCCCCATATCCAAACTGGGAATACGGCCAGGGCGTCCCAGACAAGACCCCCAATCCCCCAAACCACCACGAAATAGACCCATACGCATCCGGCCGCGAAATGGTGAACAACTACCGCCTCCTCATATCTGGGATTGCACCACGTCCGGTCGGGTTCCTGAGTACCGTCTCCGCAGAAACAGGGACGGAGAATCTGGCGCCGTTTAGCTATTTCCAGGTTGTAGACCATGACCCGCCGATGTTTATTCTGGGGTTCTCGGGACGCCCTGGTGCAGAGAAGGACACGTATCGGAATCTGAAGGAAACGGGAGAATGCGTGATTAATACTGTTTCGGAGAATATGATCGAGGCTGTGAATGCGACGTCTATTGATGCGCCGTATGGGGTTTCCGAGTGGGAGGTATCTGGCCTGACCAAGGCGGCGAGTTCGACTGTGCGGCCGGCGAGGGTTCAGGAGTCGGTTTTCTCTGTTGAAGGGGAGGTTGTTGATATTAAAGAGTTTGAGGCGCATCAGCCTGGTATGAGTGTCGGTGGAGTGGTGTTGATCAAGGCGACGCGGTTCTGGGTGCAGGAGGGCGTTGCGGATGAGAATCTCAGCCATATTGAGCTGGATAAGCTGCGTCCGATTGCTCAGTTGGGTGGGATGTCTTATGGCAGGATTACATCGACGTTTGAAAGGCCGCGGGTGAGGTGGGCGAACGAGGTGAAGAAGAGCAAGGTGTTGACTGAGTTGGAAAGACGGAATGGTTTGTCATAGTCGTATATCTTAGCTGTTTAGACTTGTAGTAATTAAGCAATCAAAACCCTAACTTCCGAGCTTATCCCAGTTCTGTCGGAATAATATAATTAAACCTTCAGTACTTGATCACAGTTAACTCTTTTAGTCAATCCTGTGGTTAACTATCTATTCAGTATGTCATGATATCAGGCGGACAGGAACAACCTTTGAAAGTATATCTGGAGAAAGTGTACCTGGCTATTTGTAACAAAGCTTAACAATAAAACTTAAACATGAGTCAAAAAGACGCAGATAAATGGTCTGCCTGTCCATCTTCATTTCTTCATCTTCTATCCCCGCGCCCAAATCCACCATCGCCAGTGCCATGGCGTATATGAACAGCACCCACGATGAAATCAACAATTTGATCACTGATTTCTGCAGAGTAAAACCGAGAAGCCGCTGCCACAGCAAAAGGATATGGCGCCTCAAGCCATCCAGTCGTGACTCTACTGCATGCAGTACTCATTTAAACATGCTCCTGGCGGATTACCATCTAGCCCTAATGCCTACGGCTGGGTATGTTAAGGCTTACTCTCTAGCGAACACCAGGGTCCAGTTGAGCATGGTCTTGAATGTTTTACTAGCTAGAGCTAAGCAAAAAGCACTGGAGAATTATGGCTACCAGTTAGATACTGCAGAAAAGCTGAAAACGCTGTTTTGGGGTTATGAACACGCTATAGCTTTTCCAGGGACTCTTAATACAGAGGGAAATCTGCACTGTGTTGTGGACTACATACTGCAGTTCGGGGAGCAGCGAGACTTCGAGACGAATCTTATTGTTGCTCAGGCAGAGGAGCCGATTGAGAGCAGGACAGAGTACTCACTGGTGCTTTCTGTTATGGGTGAGCTTCTTTTTTCTTTTCAAATTGTAATTGAATTAAACTAACATAACACAGCTATGATCCAACACAACCAGGGCAGTCTGAATAGGGAAATGTACGGCATATTGACCGACGGCGTTAAATGGGTTTTCTTTCACCTCAATAAAAACAAGGTATGTGCTATTGTCCTTAACAATACCTCAAGTCTCCGTGTCTGATATTTGAACAGTATTGTTCTCTCAAATTGGAATGGAATGGAGGACAGCAGGCCATTCTCGGTCAACTCAGCAAAATACTCAACAAGGCAGTCTCAATCAAACTATTGGGCAGAAAGGACAGATGGAAAGTGTTACGAAGACCACAATCGAATGTACAACAACAGGACTATTCAGATGAAGAGGACACTCTGGATCTCGAGGCTACTGATGGTAAGTATACTAGTCCTCAGCTTACCTTTCTAAAATCCGTCAACTTACCAAGTTCAAGAACTCCCTACCAAGCAACCTTTCAAAATGCACAAGATGAAGTGGTTCCAGAAACACGGCAACAAGAAGACTGCCGAGCAGCGGATGAAAGACTTTGTGAAACAGCATCAACTTAAGCCTTCTTTGTGCGAGGAGTTGAAAGATATCATGAATCAATCGCGAGATGAGGGAGCACAGAAGGGCAAGGACAAATCTCTGCCAACTCTGGCGGTAACAGACATCCGACCAGAGGATGTCCAGTGCACGTTTCGTATGAAGGTTGACAAGAACCCAGATGGGGTCTGGCACTTGGATCCGGCGGAGAGGAGGGCCGTTCCTGAGCACCTCAGTTAGTTACTCCTCAGTACTCCAGGACCTAACTAACCTATCCAGGGAAAACATTGGCCGACTATGACCTTGCCTTTGGTGACACTGAGCAAAACGAGGCAGTGGTCCGAACAAGGGTGGACGTAATTGTCCTCACCATCCTGGCCGCTAAGAAAAGAGGAGTTCAGACAGCACGGCCTGGCAAAGACCTCCAGCAACCGGACCTCGGTTTCAAGCGCACTATCATACAAATCAATTCATTTCGGCCTGGAAACGAGCATCGAGCTCCCTTGGCCGCACAAGGGCCAGCTCAAGCTAATCAAAGGCAAGATAGACTACGTGGTCTGGTACGGCAAATCAGAGGAGGCCGAGACCAATATGGTGGCCATTAAGGCAAAAAGGAGAGGCGAGGCGAGTCTAGGAATGTACCAGGCGCGGGTCTATATGGGTAAGTATACCTTGGAGACCTTTACCATCACGCCTTGCTTACTTGGTATTCTAGGCATGATTCACCATGCCCGCAAGAAGGCAGGCCGTGCCAACATGCCCATATATGGGATCTCAACCGACGGATACGAGTGGTATTTTATATACCTGGGTCCTCAAGGCAATGTAGGATACCTTCTCCTGATACACCTTTATAGAACTAACTTGGCCAGACTTCGTCTCATGTTTTAAGTTGGGAACAAGGCAAGCAGGTGGAGATCATCTCGCACATACACAAAATACTACAGCAAGCCGCGTCGCTTTCGCCGGTACCAACCACCTTGGCCCGACAGAAGACTCTTGAAGAGGAAAGTGGACTTGCGCTTTTCTCTGGCCGAGTGACCAAGAGGGTCCGAAAGGAATAGTTTTGTTGGAGGGAAACATGGCATCACAATAGGATTAGAACTTAGCCATTACTTGTCAGAAAGACGAATTTTACCTCTTTCCTTCATTTTTGTCAATTCCGATGAATCAACCAATATTATTAGGAATGTCGTCCGATCAACCCCACGTCTGGAGACGGAGATGTTGCGATAGACCGTCGGAGCGCCACTCCGACCCCCGCAATTTATAGTCGGGCTGATAAGCTGGCAAAGAGGGGTATACGGGCATATATATTGCATGCAGTAAACAGCAGTCTTATCTCAAGTCTCAGATCTTTGCAAGCTGGGTTAACATGTACTCCTGGTCCCCTCTCCACGCCCCCAGGGGTGCGCGGCTATTCTTCAGACACCAAGTATATCTACGGAGATACATTTCCACATCCTCGCCAAAAGCATGCACTATCAAGGCTTCTTCCTCACATTCAGCTCCAGAAGCACCAACAGCTCCGGGAAGAAAACAGGCCGGCTCCCCCCCGCTATCCCGCCTCCCAAACAAGCTCCTCCTCCGCTCACTCCTCCTATCCAGCCTGATGACATCGAAGATATTTCTCCGTCCCTCACTAGCCCTCCTTGATACGCTCGCATCCTCCAAATCCGCTTTCCTGAATCCAGACAGAAACCCACTCCTGAACAGACTCGTCCGCTGGACACTGTATAACCACTTCTGCCCGGGCACGAACCGAGCCGAGGTGGTGCGGACCGTCAACGAGATCAAGAAGATGGGGTACCAGGGCGTTATACTGGGGTATTCGAAAGAAGTCGTTCTCGACCATAGCGAGACTACCCAGCAGGATATACAGACAGCAAAGGACTACCCACCGCAGTACTACGAGGTAATCGAAGAGTGGAAACGAGGTACACTCGAGACCCTCCGCATGGTTGGACCAGGGGACTTTCTCGCCTTGAAGTATGTATCCATACTCCCAAACAATATATATGTCCCACAATATTAAAACATTAGTGACTAGACTCACCGGTGCGGGTCCCATCTCCCTAGAAGCCATGCAAGCCCGCGGCCCCATCCCAGCCGCCGTCTTAGAAGCCCTGGACGAAATCTGCACCGAGACCGCAAAGCAGGGATCCCGGCTATGGCTGGACGCCGAGCAGCAGCTTCTCCAGCCGGGTCTGGATAACTGGGCAATTGAGCTGATGCGCCGATACAACACTCCTACTACCTCTATGGGAGCGCCGCGAGCGCCGCTGGTTTATAACACCATCCAGGCGTACCTCAAAGGCTCGAGGGCGAATGTGCAGCGGCATCTTGAGGAAGCTGAGAAAGGGGGGTTTCTGCTTGGTGTAAAGTTAGTTCGGGGCGCATATATCGAGCATGAAGCGCGCGGGTTGATTCATGATTCGAAGACGGAGACGGATGACTCGTATAATGGGATTGCGGAGATGTTGATATGTCGGCGACGTCGTTCTGGTGGGAAGGATGTGGATGTGCCCGCTGCGGCGCTGTTTCTGGCTACGCATAATGCTGAGAGTGCGGATAGGGCGATCCAGCTATATCAAGGGCGGTTGGATAGCGGGCTGCCTACTGTGAGTGTCCTGGAGTGTGGGCAGATCATGGGGATGGCGGATGAGTTGAGCTGTGAGTTGGTGCAGCGGTATGAGACGGCGGCTCTAGAAGGGAGAGCAGGGGCCCCGAGGACATTCAAGTGTATGCATTGGGGGACGGTGTCGGAGTGCATGGAATATCTGCATCGGAGGGCGATTGAGAATAGAGGTGCTGTTGAGCGGACGCATCATATGAGGGCCGCTCTGGCGAGGGAGTTCCGGCGTAGAATTGGACTCTAGATCTAATATATATATATACATTGGTAGTCTATTTTCCCTGTAGCTTCTTCAAATGCTCTGTCCCATTGATAATCGAGTCCGCATATGCGCTCCGCACGCCAGCCTTCTCAACAGCCAGCAGCCCCTGGATCGTACACCCCTTGGGCGACGAGATACTCTCCCTCAGCACGGCTGGGTGGTGTCCATCCTTCAGCATCTGTGCAAGACCAAGCAGACACTGCGCCGTCATCTCAGATGCATCCGCGCGCCGCATCCCCTCCGCAACACACCCATCCAGAATCCCATCCACAGCAACAGAGACCGTAGCCAGTGACGCCATCAGCATCGACCCCAGATCAAACAGCTCGCCGCCAATGACCTTGACCATCCCAATCTGCGAGAACATCCACTCGATCACGGATACCTGTTCCTTGGAGGCGGAGTCAGGAAGCTCGACGACCGTCATTGACTCACGCACAGCGGCTGCAACATTGGGGATCGCCCGAGCAACCACCGCCGTAGACATAGACTGCGCAGACGGAGTCTGATTCTTCGCAACTGTGGCAGAGAGCACCTCAATCGTCTTCCCCGCAATGACACTAACAATCAACTTCCCCGCCAGTGCATCACAAAGCCCTTCCTCGCTCAACACCGCATCAACAAGATAAGGCTTGCAGCCGAGCATAACGACATCAGCCTGCGACGCCGCGCCCGCGTTGTCACTAGCATAGAAGTCAAGCTGTACTGTGGACGGGTGCCCAGAGTACTTGGCTTTCAGCTTATCTGCTGACCCCTGTGACTTGGTGCATGCGATTATGCGGGAGAACGGACTTTTCTTGCTGGAGGGAGGAGTATCAGCGGGTGTTGTTGCGTCGAGGATTCCGCTGAGGATGGCGGAGCCCATGTTTCCTGTTCTGTTAGCTGCTGTCTGGGATATGGAGGGGATGGCTCACCGCATCCTATAATAGCGAGGGTGAGATTGGATTCCATGATTAATTCAATTCAATCAATTCAATTGTAGAAATGGTGCAGTGAGTGAGTCAGTGAGTATGAAGCAAAGAAACCCCGCTGTCGTATTTATGTATTGTACTGTCACAGCTGGGGAAATGACTAAGCACCGATATGTCGGGGATTTGTTCCGACTGCCTAGAAGTATAAGGTAGCTAGCCCCTATAAAGTATATCTACTACAGCAAAGTTTGAAAGAAGTCGTGGTGCCACCAGGAAATGAGAAAATGCCTTCTGCTCAGCTTTCAGGTTCGTCCTTCTTCCTACCCGACCTCACAGCAGCAAGTGCTAATACATCATGGGGCAGTCTCCGAGTACCTGCAGCAAGATCGACAGTTCGTTCCTTGATTTCTGTCAAATAAAAACAGGCAGCTCTTGTCAAAGCAAGAGGATATGGCACCTTGCGTCATCATCCGGCGCATCTGCACCGAGTGCTCATTTCGATACCTTACTGGATGACTACCACTTAGCCCTAACGCCGACATGGGGCGCCACTGGTACCCATTCCCCGGTCCATACCAGACCACGAGTCGATGCCATACTGCACCTTCTGTTAGCAAAAGCGAAGAGAAAGGTCTTGGGGGGGCTTGGTCCGGCAGAAGCTGCGGATAACCTAAAGAGACTCTTCTGGGGTTATGAGCAGTCAATAACCGTCCCAGGGAGCTGGAGTGACGGGAGCAACATCAAAAACTGCGTAGTCGATTATGTGCTCTGGTATGGAGACCACAAAGAGCTAAAAGCAAACCTGGTCGTGCTTCGAGCGGAGAAACCGATCGAGAGCTGTGCGGAGTATTTACCAACTCTTGCTGCTATAGGTGGGTGGCTTGTCTGGATATCGTCAGGTTATTAACAAGTTACAGCGATGATCCAACGGAATCGAGAGGACGGTTTGGCAAAGGAGACATATGGTATATACACTGATGGCTTCAAGTGGATCTTTATGCATCTCAGCAGTAAATACAAGGTACGTCTGCAGCCCTCGTGGTAGGCTCGTCTAATATAACCTCTTAGTACTGCTCTCTGGAGCTGAACTGGAGTGAGAGTCAACAGGTTATCATCGGCCAGATCAGCAAAATACTCGACAAGGCAGTATCGATCAGTCTATCCGGTGGACACTGGGACGAGTCTGAAAATTGGTCAGTGTGGAATATAAAGCCACGGGATATATCAAAAGAAGAAGCTGAGTCTCTTGCTGATTATGACGGTAAGTACATCCATCTTGAAGCTGACCCTTCCAGCTTATTATTCTCAGAACCACTCCCTGAAATTAAAACCTTCAAGAGCGTCAAGAGAGATTGGCTCCACGAAGTCGAGGTCAGGGCAAGACTCGAGTCCGCAATGAAAGGCTTTTTCGACCGTTACAAGCTCAGCACCAAAGCCAAGGCAATGATCAGGGAACTAATTGATATAGCTCGCAATAGAGGCCATGATCAGAATAGTGATGACGAAGCTGATTCTGGTCAGCCCAGGCCTCCTCCGACCCTGGCCGTGTCTGATATACGCGCTTATGAAGTGGACTATGTTTTTGGATTGGAACGCAACCACAATCGAAAGGAGGTCTGGCACCTAGACGCTTCAGAGAAAAGAGTCATCCCTAAATATCTCAGTGAGCCTTATCTTTGACATATCTCGACATATTTAACATATTCAGGTCAAGTTTTGGAAGACTACAAGCTCGCTTTTGGCATGGCACATCAGAATGAAACCCAAGTTAGGACTTCGGTAACTGCTCTTATGTTCGCTATTCTTGCCGAGAAAAAGCGACAAGGGCTATTTCAACATCAACAGGAGAAGAGCCCAGACAATTCCCCCAGTTACAACTCCATCCGGTGGGGCGTCGAAGATGAGTTCTCAGCCCCGTGGTTGTACAAGGAGCACCGTAGGGTGATTCGCGGCACAGTGGACAATATCCTCTGGTACGGCAACCAGGAGAAGATGGAAGGAAATACGGTGGTGGTGGTCAAGACTATAGGGAATTTGAGTGCAGGCCTATACGAGGCGATATCGTATATGGGTGAGTTTCTTCATAACCCTCAACCAGAGCAATCTACTTACTGCTACAGCAATCCTGAAGCAGCTCCGCAAACAGGCAGGGTGTCCAACGACAGCAGTATATGGAATCGCCACAGACAACGACGATTGGTATTTTATTCGTATCTGTCCTCGAGATACGGTGGGTTTGTTTCCCAAAGTTTCTAGATCGTGAACTAACTCGGGCAGCTATCGTACAAGTCGGTGGGCTGGGGGAACGAGGCGGAGGCTGTTTCTTACCTGCATAAGTTTATGGATTATGCTGCAGGTCTTGTTTCTTCAAGCCAGTCAACAGGTCAGTGTGCTTGAACTCAGTGTAATTGAGACGAGTGCTCTGGTAGGACGGACTGGTCAATTGTCTGCATTGCGTGGTGGAACTTAGCATCACTATCAGTATGATATCTAATCTAAACATTTCCTATATTAATTAATTTCAATTTTCTTTACTTCACTGGGTCACAATTGGTAGATAACTTGGTGGTTAGTATAGAATGACTAAGCGCTCCGATATCTCGGGATTCTGCTCCGACATTCTCTCCACCATCTTCGTCTATCTTCGACCACACAACCGCCTGAAATGCCTCTCACGGCCCCTGAGCAGTCGAGGGTGATGAGAAAATGCCATAAAGCGTAAGTCTCTGACACTATTCAGTGCAGGTCTGACAGCCACAGGTGCGAAAGATGCCGGACCATGAAGGTCAAGTGCTCCGGCACGAACCCGTGCACCCGCTGTGCCAGGAGGAAACGCCGCTGCCATTATGCAGTCGAGGAGACCCGCGTTTCAGTACCGGAAAGGTGGGTTGCCTCATTTTATCAGTTGTATGGCTGCTAAGAAGACAGCTACCTGCGCCAGCTTGAAAACCGCAGCTCGCCTGTTGTGTATAACGGCGTGCCCCACCAGACCTATGTGCCTGGCGAGCCACTCGAGGTCCAAAACTACCCTCCAAGACCGCAGGATCGGCCGCGTTCAAAGTTCTCTCACAATCCTTTGGTGGAGTACTCCTTCGCAAAGGCCCCCGATGGGAGATTCTGGTACATGGGCCCATCGTCATCGTGGTCCTTCTGCCGCCGCGTGCTCGCACTGCTAGGAGAGCAGGTCCCGGAAGCGAACCACCATCCAGATACCTGGCACATGGATGGCACGCTATTCACTCTGAAATGGCGGCCGCTGCCTGTCGATGAGACGCCGGATCTGGCCGATTTGCCGCCGATGGACTATGGGCTGTACCTGATTCACACCGCGCATTTCTACTTTGGGCCCCTGTTCTATATCATTGACGAGGTTGCGTTTATCCGCAGTCTGCATGAGTTCTATACCAACCCGGAAGAGAAGGTTGGGTCCATGCGCCTGTGGTTTGCGCAATATTTGCTCCTCATTGCGTTCGGGAAGGCGTTCCTTGCGCCTAATCGGCCCCCGAATGCCCCGCCAGACGGCTATCAGTATGCTTCCCGGGCTATGGCGCTGATGCCGGATATGTCGGGCATGGATCCGAATCCTTTACAGTGCATCGAGACTCTTACGCTGGCGGCTATCTATCTTCAGTCGATAGATATGAGAATCTCGGCTTTTCAACATGTAAGATCCCCATCACTCTGTCATCATATACCTAACCAAAGTAGATAGGACACGCCCTTCGCATTTGCATCATCGAAGGCATCCACCGACACGTACCTGAGCAACTGGGCGAGGAGTTGTCCCGTCGCTGCAAGACTATTTTCTGGATCGTGTACATGCTAGACAGGGAGTTTGCAGCCTTGATTGGCGCGCCGAGCTCAATCCGCGATGAGGACATCACCGTAAAGCTCTTCGTCAATGGCAGCGTGGATGAGAAGACACTCACTCTGCATGTCCGGCTTGCGCGTTTAAGCGCACGCATTCTGACCAGTATGCTGCTACCCATACTCCCAATTGCGCAGAGCTGACTGATCAGCGGTATACGGCGTCGGCGCCGACTTTGACGGGACTCTCATCAAAGATACGCAGTCTATCTTTCGCAACCTGGCAGAGCTCTCGCAGGACTTGAATGACCTTCTGCGAACACACTTCCACGGCTCACTCAGCCGCGCATCTCGAGCAGCCACTCGACTGATATTAGCCTACCACCACGTGAGATCCCAACCGGAATCCACCTAAAACCAGAGTTCATTCATTAACTCGTACAGTGCGTCGTGCTTACAACTCGCCCCCTCGTAATGTGCGCCCTCCACGCACACATCGAAAACACCCAACCCCCAACCCAGAACCAATCACGCACCCCACCTCAACACCAACCCCTCGACATCGCCCTCTCCCCAATCATAACCTCCCTGCTAACCTGCTGCGTCGAGTCGGCCCTCACCGTGCTGCAAACCCTACGCACCCTCGCAGACGAAGACCGCATCGAAGCCTTCCTGCCCTTCCAGATCGAAGACGCCTTTGCCTCTGCATTCCTGCTGTACATCATCCGTGTGATTGCGCCGTCGCTAGTGCCCGACGACCACTGGGTCGGGAATGCGGATTTCGTGCTGGAGAAGTTGGTTATCATGGGGAATTTGACGGCGCCGTTGAGACGGGCCGAGCTGGATCATTTGAAGAGTGTCATGGGGCCGTTTATTGCGGAGTTGTCGGGCTCGGAGTTGATTGCGAATGGTAATGAAGCTGCAGGGCCTGGGGTTTTGGCTGCGGAGGATGATGTCCTGGGTGCGTCTGCGAATCTGGGGACAGGGACGGCGCCGGAACAGGCTGAGCTGGATTGGGATATATTTTCTGTGGAGGCGACGGTTGGGCTGGAGCCGAGGGAGTTGCTGGATTTGGCGGAGCAGTTGGATGTCGAGGGGATTATGCATTATTCTGTTGCTTGATTTATATTAGCGTCTAATACCAATTCGTTCTATCTAAACCATCATATCTAAAAATCTATAATTTATGTCTACATAGCATCCACCACCCCAAGTACATCCCCCAACCGCTCAATCTCAAACTCAGGCCTCTCCTTCTCACACTCCTCCGCATTACCCTGCCCAAACCGACACCAACAAACCTTCGCCCCAATATTCCTCGCAAACAACAAATCCGTCACCGTATCCCCAACCATAAGCACCTCCCCTCCCTCTCCTTCAAAATCCTCCCCCAACCTCGGAACCAAAACATCCGTATACCCCGCCGGATCCGGCTTCCTACGCCCCCCAAACATCGGCTCCCCGATAATCAACTCCTCGTCTACAAGTCCATCCAGCCCATGCGCCTCCAGCGCCGTCTTCACCGCACCAACAGCCTTGTTACTTATAATCGCGACCTTGAATCCCCGGTCCCGTAGGGTGGTTAGGACATCGCGCGCACCGGGGTATGGCTTTGTAAGCGGCTGCCCGTGGGTTGCGTAGATGGAGCGGTATTCCTGGACCCAAGTGTTCTCGTTGAAGGGTAGAGCATTCCCGTCGGGGAGTGTGTCTGGCTGAGTGTCTGGTTCTGGTTTCGGTTGTAGGGCTTTGAATGTGACCTCTGGCGGGGCGCCGATGGAGATTAGTCTGTTGAGGTCGGCGAGGGGGGGTTCGTAGGAGGGGAGGAGGGAGTTGAAGGTGAGTTGGACGGAGGTGGTGATTGCGGAGTGCGAGTCGAAGAGGGTTCCGTCGAAATCGAAGATTATGAGTTTTGGGGTGGGCATTTTGTATAACTTATTTTGTTATTCAATGATAGTTGTGGTATAATCGTTGTTGTTGTTCTATAATTGTGTAGATGGAGATAACTAGATGGTGAGTGCAGTGAGTCATTGTCCCCCGCTGTTATCTTTACTTATCGGAATTCTTCACCGACTGACAAGCCGTGGAATGCTCGGAGACGCTCCGACTGTTTCTCTATGGATATCTATACTCATGGCCTCGTATTCAAATAGGGTCGCGATTAGGATGAATCTTGATCTTATTTGATGCCCTGCTGTTGGACAAGTGGATTGCTCGCACTGGTCTGTGTTACTGCTTGGAAATATATAGGCGAGCTGACAAGCGCTTTGTCCCACAATGTGCTACCTGCTCATGATTTCCAAAAGGGGAAATACGCCCATGGTGAGCCAGCACAGAATTTTAACTCCCAAGAACTCCGTCGGCGAGCCGAGTTTGCTTCTGGGCGGTTCGGTGGTTGTACCGTGTATCCGCGGTTTTTGTGCGATGAAAATCAGGCAGACCCACCGTCATGACGCAGTTGTCTCCTTGCTTGGAGAGGTTGGTAGGCTGGACTCGCTGGAGTGCCGTGGCGGACAAGAGCAGTGTGCTCGTTATACTACAGCAGTGAGTAGAGTGTATACTGCTTTAGATACGGGGTTGATGCACAGTCCAAAAGCAGTCAGCGTTTCATTGAATCGGCCAACTCCATTGCCCCCAGTGATCGCTGGCTCAGGTTGCCCTCTCTGGTTCCGGATTCCGACTCCTGCTGATCCGCAGATCGCCACAACTTCGGGCTTGACGGTGATTCGCTCGATGACGGCCATAGGCCTGGATGCATTTTCTAGACACACGCCAACCCTGCCAGGACGTATCTGGTATAGACGTCGGATATTACAGGGAGACACCATCCCCCAAGCCTGAATTAGCGATGCAATTGCAGGATGGGTCGCCGTGGCGAGCTAGTCAGCGAGCGGTTCACCGTGCGCGTTCAACCTCGGTAGACGGACAGGCACTCTTCAGGGACGGATCCGTTGCCGGACGCAGCCTGAGACAATTGGCAAATTCTGTTGCTGGTGCATTCTGCAGAGCGGGAATGCTAGCCAAGTAAGGTTTGACAGACTCACCTCGTCACGCCGTAGTATCGACCTCCTGGATTTCAACAATACTAGGGCCATTGGCTGTTCCATGGTTGTCTCGAACTGTCGTTCTCCAGAATCGCTTGGAGTCCACTCTAGCGTCGCCTGTGCCCCCACTTGGAGTTCTCCCTCCCGCCCGGTGCTTTGAAGCGGCATCCAGGAGTCATGAGATGAAGAATAATAGCCAAACTCTTCCTCATGCTGCCGGCTCGCCGTCGCCACCGTGGAGAAGAGGCGGTACGGCACGGTAGAATGGACAGGCGGCTGGTTCCTGGCGAGACGAGAAAGATGGGGTGGTTGGCTCGGATGCAGCTAGAGACGCACACTTGCAGTAGCCCAGCACCTCGTCCCGGCCTTGGGATTCCTTAGCTGCGTTTTCGCTTCATCCATGATCCCACTGCCCAGCATGTTCTGCACGTTGGGGCGATTAGGTATGCTGCCGTATTATCTATTTATTTTCTTTTTCTGCTCGGGCTGAGCCCCCAGTGCTCAGTGAACACCGTCCCAGCACAACAAGCCAGGAACAGAACGAGACCGCGATCGGGGACAGGCAGCCACAGGTCGCCAGGAGGCCTCTGCTCTCGTGCAACTGAGACAAGGCTCTTGGGGCTGGCTGGACTTTTCTGGCGCCGTTCTGTCGCGTTGTGCTTCTGCCCCCCTTCCACGCAACCTGCCGAAAAAGAAAAAACTACCCCAGCAGAAAAAATAAATCACAAGTAAACAGGGAACTGGGAACTGGGAACTGTCGGGGAAAACACAGATGAAGGACTCCAGCTGCAACCCCGGCTGCTAATCCGTAGTTGTATTGTCATTGACCAGAAGCGGCGAGGTGCGAGCTGCTCGGCCGGGCCTCCTTTTCTGTGCTGCTCCTTTTTCTCTCTCCACATCCAGATCAGCACCGAAACGTCTTTCCCTCGTCCTCTTTCTTCCTCCACAACCACCATTCCCTCATCCCACCCCTCTTTAGCCCTTATCTCTGTCGCTCTCCTGTTCCTTTTCTGGCGGGCTATTTTTATGCTTCTCTCCCTTTTGCAATTCCCCCGTCGTCTGCCTTGCGATCGCCAGCCGCCTTTATTGTCTTCCCCCCCGCCCCTGACCTCCGCGAGTTTGTCGCAATCCCACACTTATGCTTGCCCTGTCCGGTCCTTTCGCACCCCCTGATCGCTAAACTCTCCTCGGCTCCTCCCTCAATCGCTGCTGGAGCCGTCCAAGGTTTTCTAGTGACTGGTCTCCTTCCCCAATGTTGTGACGAAGCCCACGACTTTGACGATTCATGATCTCAACCCCGCAGATACCAACACCGACCCCCGACCATCTCTGAACATGCCCTTTTCCACCTCCTCCTCGTCTACCGCCGAGACGTCGACCTCCCCGCTCGCAGATTACTTCTGGATAGCTGGTGTGGACGGCTCGGAGGTTCTGGACACTTTCCGTAAACTGGGGGAGGAATACCGCAATGCCAATGCCACTTCGCCAGGCCCCGCCCTGACAGACACAATCGAGGAAGACGCCGACGCCGAGGATGCCCACGACCCCCGCTTCGACGGGCTTGTTTCTCGCAGCTCCTCTGTGATCGGCCCTCGCAGTTCCTACCAGCGTCTCTCGTTTCGCTCCGAAGACTCAGAGCCCGGTACCAACGGCTCGCACAGTAACCGCAGCAGCATGACGATTAAGGGCGGCGGCGGCGGCAATGGAAGTCTTGCAGCCCCTCAATCCCCCCGTGCTTCTCAGTTTCTTGGGCTGGAGGATTTCGATTTTGATAAAGCTTTGGTCAAGTTTGCCTCGGAGAGAGAGTCGTTTTTGTCGGACCTGAGTCTCAGCGCCGGTGCTATCACTCCCGCGTCGCGGCCCCGGTCCAGGTTACGTACCCAGAAGATTACCTCCGATGAGCCGCAGCAGTCTGGATTGCTTCGGTCTAGCATTGGGAGCGTGCGGCGGCACATGTCTTTCCGTGATATGAACAGTATGAAGAGACAGCCGTCGGTTGCTCGTCAAGGTGCGTGAAACTATGACGATTGTTTTACAATATAGACTCTGTGCTGACTTGGCTATAGCATCGATTCGGACCTCACGACGTCTAAGTAACTACAATTCCGTAATCCCAGTTCCCCAACCGTTGGAGATCTCCCCTGCCATGCATCCTCTGAAACGAAGGTTCGAACCTGTGCTCCTCGACCGATACCCCCCGAAAGGAATGTCCGAGGACTTGAAACAGCGTGCCACCTTCCCCGACTATGTACCCATGTTCGCATTCCCGAACGACATCAACATCGTTTCGTCGGACCAGAGGCCGCGGTCGACGTGGCATGGTTTCGTGATGACGAGTGATAACGGCTCGCGCCTGCATGCTATATGCGCCATTGTATGGATCCCGTTGAATAATGAAGCGGCCAATCAGTTGGAGAAGTGCTGCGAAGAATGGCGCAAGGATAATATGACGGATGAGGAACGAGAACTGGCAGCTAGTTTGGGGGAGCGGCTAGCCCAGGAGCGGGCCAAGCTCTCTCGCCTCTTGGCTAAACTGCCTACCGTACCATCCGGATCCGACTCGAGAGAACAACTGGAAGATGAAATCAGTGCAGTGGAGGAGAAAATTGGCTTGATGACTGATCTTCTGCGCCCGGTGCGTCATGGAGCGGCATCCAAGATCGAAGGACTGACTGATGGAGACACTGGTTTCTGGATTCCTCGTGCCTACGGTATCCTGGGACGTGAGGAGAATATGACTGGTTTCTGGAAAGAATGGTTGAAGGCCGTTATTGTCCCGATGACTGATAACAACGTTCAACGTGTTCCACCAGCCTCTCCTCGTCTGGGCGTTTGGCAACCACTGGAAAGATACGTGATGAACCTGTGTACGGAAGCCTTCGCCCCCAACACCTCCAAAACCCAGGTGGAGTTGGCGGTGCGTGAACTCCGGCTTTTCGCTCGCAAGGAAGCAACCAATGAGCTGCCAGGTGCCCGGAATACCGACATATACGCCTTGTTCCGGACGCTCTCGCTTGCCAACATCATCATCCTCTTCGAGTATGCGCTCACCGAGTCACGCATCATCTTCCTGTCCTCTCACACGTCCATGTTATATCTTGCTACTCGGGCTTTGGTGGACCTTCTGTTCCCAATTCCTTGGTCCGGCGTGTTGATCCCTATTCTTCCCGCGCGACTGATTCAAGCTCTGGAAGCGCCTTGCCCTTATATCGTTGGCATTGAACGGCGCTATGAGAAAGTTGAACTTCCCTCGGACGACTTCGTCTTGGTTGACCTTGACCAGGACCTCATTGAGAGCACGGTGAAGCCAACTCCTCTCCCGCGACACCAGCGCAGGAAGCTCCAATCCTTGCTCCAACTTTCTGCTCCCCTCCACAGTCGATACGGGATTCCCACTGGTCCTCCTGCTTATGCCGTCGAGACCTTCCCGCACGACGCTTTCATGGCCGAGAACTCTTCCATCTACACTTCCAAGGCGCAGTCGACCAACCTGTCAAAGTACGTCGGCCTCAACTCGAATTCCTTTGGTCAGGGTGCTGTTCCTCCGAACTCAACCCCACCACTTATATTCAACGCTTTCTTGCACGCCCGTAATGAACAAGCGGCTTCAAGGGGGTATTCCTCCAGGGGCTCGGATCGACCCGGGACCGCATCGACTTTCAAGCCTGGATCCCCGCCCTCGCCGGGTGGTAGAGATACTTCGCCCATCTCCGGCCATTTCCCACCACTGCCGACGACGCCCCGCAATGACTCGGGAATGGCCCTCCAGGCGTCTCTGCGCGAGAAGCGTTCTGGTCACTTCGATGCCTCCTCTCGACGCAGCTCGTCTTTCGGAATGGATATGCGCCAGATTCCGAGACGGCCAAGCGCACCTTTCCTAGGACACGCGCCGAACCTGTCTGTGACTACATTGAACACTGATTTACAGTCTACCTATGCCCCTTCGGTCTATGCACAGTCCACAGTTGCTGCTTCAACCATCGTTCCTCAGCCTGTAGTCCAGCCAATCCACAACAACGACGGCACATCCTGGGTGGAAGGGCACTGTTTGCAGCTCCAGCCATGGGACGACAAGATGGTTTGCTCTGTCTGTGATGAGCGAGCCGATGAGAACATGTATAGATGTGCGTCTTGTAAAACGGTGGCGCACAACCGCTGCGCCCACCAGATCTGCCTGGTTTGCCCCGTTGCATTCCACCCGGACCAAGTGCGAGCTGCGTTTGTCCGATGCTTCGCCAGCTTGTTCTACACCTACAAGAAGTTTCTTAAACCAGCAAGTGGCGACAAGAAGAAGGCAGGCCTTACGTACAGCTTCGACATGGATGCATTCTGCAAGAGCTTGCCTGGTGAGCATGCTGACTACATTGGTATTCTGTCTCAGACTCAAGGTAAGTTTATTTCCAACAACAGGCAATGAGTGATGCTGACGTTATCAGGTTTCAATGAGTTTATCAGTGACCGAGAAAGGGTGAACCCCAAAAAGAAGGACCCAAGGATAACTCTCTTCGACGAAATCGTCCTTTCAAAGCGAAACCGAGGCCGATCATCCATCTTTTCCGGAAGGTCCACCACCGACTTCCTGTCTGATACGTCGAATCACCTCTGGAGAACCGCAAGTGCCGCCTCGTTTGCTGCCAGCAGGACGCAGCCAAATCTCTCCGGGGACTACACCCGAGTTGTCACACGAGGTTTGTGGTGACCACGTCTGATATTAATTGAGTAATGGTTACTGACTCTCAAGCAGCACCAGCAAAACTCGATGCCAGTCTCATGAAAGAGCCCCGCATGATTCACGGAGCTCCCCGGGTGTCGAAGACAGCCAACAACGCCCGACGCAAGCCCCTCCCTAAGCTGATGAATGGTCTCGCGATCTCACCTCCGTAAGAGTGTTGCACGATGGTTGGTGGAGTGTGTCGTCCCGACGTACCAAAAGTGGGATAAACATCACGCTGCCACATATTCCTCCTATCTGACGCTCTTCCAGACCCTATTGCGGGTCGGCGACGGGCTGCATATCGGAGACTGACTGATCTTCCTAGGGTTTTGTGAGTGGTGGCTCAATCGACCTTGAAACACTCACTGGCCCTGTTTTCGCCTACCGCGGCATCTCCCGCGCCGATTGCGACAGGCTCACTACAATTAAAAGTTTCTTTAGACTCGCGGGCGGGACACTACCTTTCGTTTCTCATCTGAGTACATTTTCCCTCGTTCTTTGGACCCCCAGCGCGAGATTTGCAGCTGAGCGGCTGGATGCCAAGACGCAAACGTCGAACTCAAAGCGATCTACTTGCGACTGGCTCGGCCGTTTGTCGGGGTCTGATAAGTCTTGACTATGACTTGCCGCCTCGGGTTCATTCACGCGTACAGTTTCGATCCTTGTACAGTTATTGGAACATACATGCATCATAGACATACTAATTGTCCGTGCGTGGCACGGGATACTGGATTTGAGGTGTACTTGCAGGACAGGCCTTGTGTTTTGCTATTTGGCTGTTGGATCTATTGTGTTTACTCTCTTCTATACCCTTGATACACTTTTCGTTCGTTACCGAGGCATCAATCTCACTGTTTCTGATTATGAAAGACGGAAGACGGAAGTAGACGCTGTTTATGTAGTCCGCACAGCCGCTCAGGGCTATGCCAATAGTACCTAGTCAGCACTGTCCCTGGCGTGGCGGCGACTGAGTTCTGCACCGGGAGGACGCCGACGGACAATTAGCACAGCCAGGTTGTCGGTGGATATGAGCAGTTTTTCCTCGTATCATGTAGGAGGCCCAGTGTAGCAGGACTGCGTCGTCGTATTGTAGTCCACCTGGCTATAGTATGTTATGCTCTGGTTACATCTGGACCATGTCCGTCTGTTGTCCCGTCTCGCGGTCGTCCCTGGACGGGAGCTGTCTGTTTCCCCTTGCCGTGTTTCTTCAGTTTCAGCAACTCATCCGCTTCTCCCATTTAACCAGTTTAACCCGTCTTTATCCATTCCCTGATTCTGATGTCCGCGCTGTATAAGGCGATGGGAATGGCTGCTCTGATTGGCGGAATAATTTGTGCCGCACCAGAGACCGGGGAAATTTAGCCGTCGGGAGGCACAAAATCTCCCTTCCATTTGGTCCAACAGCTGCATCAGCACCTCCTCCCCGATCCATCGATCTCCATCCAAAACTCTCTTGTTGCCTTCCAGCTCCAGGGCGTGCTGTGAGAAATGACCCTCTCCGTCCCCAGTTCGTGGTCCTGGTGTCTTGACGTTGCGGCCAGTCGCCCCTCGGACTAATCCCGGTCGGCGCGCTCTTATCCAGCCATTCATTATTACTACTAATCTACTCCTGCTGCTGCTACTCGCCGACTGTGAGTTTCACTCCCTGCTCATCCTGCTCTTACAAGGAATAGGCCACGGCAATTGCCCCAGGCTGTTGTTGGTGGTTTCGTTTTCCCTGTTCCCGCTGCAACTTTAGCCAGAGGCTGTGTTGTTTTGTCTAGTCTAGTTCTCTTCTTAACCGTCTCTCGCTCTCCTTCTTTCTCTCTCCTCTCTCCCTTTTAAACCTGTGAAGGCATTCTGGTACTCTGTACTGATTGAGCTCGTGGAAGGAAATCGGTTTCCGCTGATCATCGATGCGACTCCACGTATCGTGCCAAATTCTCCGTCCTCTTAGATCGCTGCGTGACATTCCCTTTATCTGACATATCTCTCCGCAACCTTGCCTACTTCTTAAATCCTCTTGAGATCCCGCACCGCCTAAGTATGCCTTGAAAGATGATGCAAACTGCCCTCCATCATCAACCCGTGGCTACCACCCTCAGAGCCGATTCGCCTCTTACCGCCTCGCCGACAACGCTCAAGGGAACTCCCGCCTCCAGTACTCTTCCTTTCCCTCAGGCTGTTCCGCAGGAGCCTTCTCACGCTGTCGTTACGGTATACGGACCGGGCCAAGAATCGATCGTTCAGGTGGTGGCAGATATACTAGGGAAACCATGGACGACAGAGACGTCACTCGCGACATTAGGACGGGGCAGCAGCGCTGTTGTAGTAGGGATCCGGGCGAGCGACCTCCCGCGGAGTCTTGAGGGATGCGACAAATCAGCCTTTATCCTTGTCAACCTGCATTGCGTGGACGACGGGTCATTCCCCGAGGAAGAATTAACAGAGATATGTGACTACGAATTCCTATTCTCGCTACGAAGTCCGTTTTTCCGGCGCGATCTCACGCGGTTCCTCTCCTTGATTCTAGGCCAGACAAGGCCGCATGAGGACTTGAAGACGAAAACCCGCACCAATTTCATCTCGACGACTTTCCCTGATGTGCATGCCGCGCTGCCGAATCTGGATATTCTGTCGGTGGGCTCGGATGCCGTTGAGCTCCGCGTGGATCTGTTGTTGGACCCGGTGCCGCAGGACCCTGAGAGCCCGGTCCCCAGTTTGCGGTATGTAGGGCAGCAGTTGATGCTGCTGCGGCAGCATACGGAGTTGCCGATTATCTTTACCACGAGGTGCACAAAGGAGAATGGGAAGTTTCCTAAGGACGACCCGGCCTTGTTTTACCGGTATTTGAGGCGAGCTATTCAGTGGGGGGTGGAGTATATTGACGTGGAACTGTGGCTGCCAGAGGATATTCGGCGCAAGCTGGCAGAGGTGAAGGGGAACAGCGTGATTATGTCTGCGTTCCATGATTTCTCGGGAGCCTGGAAGTGGACGTCTCCAGAGGCGCCGCGGATTTTTGCAGAGAGCGCCAAGTATGCGGATATTGTCAAGATGATTGCGATGGTGGATAGTGTGGAGGCCAACTACGAACTGGAGTACTTCCGGTCAACGGTGAAGCAGACACATGGGATGTATCCACTACTGTCGGCTGTCAATATGGGACAGCTCGGACAACTTTCGCGAGCGCTGAATACGGTGTTCTCACCTATAACACATCCACTACTACCGATGATTGCAGCTCCTGGCCAGCTGACAGCCGCGGAAATCAACGAGGCCTTACATATTATGGGGCAGCTGCCGAAGCGGGACATATACGCGATCGGCTCGTTCCGAGCGACGCCGCAGTCGATGTTTATGGAGAAGTGCTTTAACGAGCTTAGTCTCCCGCACACGCTGACCTCCATCGACCGTGGACCAGCGGGATCGATTGAGCGGGTAATTACACAGCCAAGTTTTGGCGGCGCGGCACTCCACCCGCCCCTCAGCAGCAGCAGCAGCTCGCGGCTCCCGGCCATCAGCGACGCTGCGCGAGCCATCGGCCTCGTCGACACAATCGTGGTGACTAGCCCAGGGACCCTGGTTGGCGAGAACGCCACGTGGAAGGGCATCCGCGCGACGCTGACTCGCGACTACGTCCCCTCGGCATACCGCGGGCGTGCTGCCATCATCCTGTCCGGCACAGAGAGCGAAGCATCGGCGAGTATCTTCGCACTACGCAGTCTCGGCGTGGGCGCAATCTACACGGTCGGGTTCCGGGCAACAGGGCCCCTAGCGGACGGCCTGGAACCCTTTACATCTATCCAGTCGGTCAAGCTAGTCGAGCAGCCGTTTGTGATTGTATCGGCGCTGCCGCCAGAGAAGTCGCTCCTGGTGCAACCGCTGCTGCGGCACTACCGCAGTACTGGGCGGGCGTCGCCGCCGTCGACCCGGGGGAAAGTGTACCTGGACCTGACGCGGGGCGAGCGCAATGGGGACCCGGTGGGGGTTGCAGAGATGTCGGGGTGGACAGCATACAGGATTGAGGACGTGAATGCGTGGACGACGGTGGAATCGCTGCGGCTGCTGGTCGGGCAGAACGTGCCGTTTGATTTTGTGCGGATGGCGTCGGGATCGTACCCTCACTCGTATATTAGTTAGGCATACTGAAATGAAGACTGAATCTGAATATATTGGCTGCCGATCCGGACGGCGGTCCGTTCTTGCTTGGGGAAAATCCCGCTGTGTCGGAGTGACACCTTTAGCCGAGCGACTACTCTTAGCCTGCTCGCCTAGCGTGTCCCCAGTCCCCACCGTCCCCAGCTCTCTCGCTGTCTCGCTCCCACTGTCACCATCCCCGCATCGGTTCTACGTCCGTTCCTAGTCTTCTTTTGTTTAGCCTCTGCCTCAAGCCATGTCCGGGGCTCCACGTTATAATAAAACCGATCCCTCGTTTCTGGTCTCCAGCATGTCCTGCTTTCGCCTCCCCTTCTCTTGACCTGATTGTTCTGTCATGTCGCGCCCTACGGTCAGCATCGACCGCTTGACGCCTCGCCGGGCCACGGCCGAGCCCCGTGAGTCCATGAACTGCAAGTCGTGTCGAAAGCGAAAGGTATTTCCGTCCTGAAAATAGTGGAGAGAGTGGGCGCTAATCGTCAGATCAAATGCAATCGCCTCCGCCCCAGCTGCGAAGCCTGCAAGGTCTTCCAATGTGCCTGTATCTACGGTACAAAACAGCCCGAATTCCAGCAAAAGGCGACTTGATTCTGGTCTGGGCTAATAGTGGATTTGCAGACGCTGTTCCTAAAAAGCGAGGCCCGAAAACAGATGTGCTCGAGGCGCTGCTGAAACGGGTCGACGGGCTCGAGAAGCGCCTGCAGGATGACACCCGTCCGCTCTCGCCCTCGTCGCCTGTGAAGCCCGATCTGCCGCAGCTTGCACATCCCCATCCCCATCATCCCCATTCGAATGCTCATCCGCAGTCGCAATCGCAATCGCAACCCCCAGCGGCGGCGTTTCCTTTTGCACCGCCGCCGCCGGCGGTTTCTTCGTATGCGCACCCCCAGCCCGGTCGCATGCCGGATGCGATGCTGGATGCGTACTTTGCACGACTGCATGGGAAGCCATTTTTTATTCTAGATGAGGCGTCTACTCGCCAGCGCCACCAGAATGGCCAGTTGCCGGTGTATTTATCCATGGCTATTTATGCTTTGACGCTACGGTACGCCTCTTGATCGGTTTCTCGAGTGCCGGCGGCTAATGCATTGCTGATTGAACAGGTACACGACGGTGAACGCCCCGCCGGGGAGTTTAGAGTACGCCCGCCAGGCCCGGCGGATGGTTGACACCGACCAGCCCTCGATTGAGAATCTCCAGACGCTGCTGCTGCTGTCGCAGACGTTCTATGCGTACGGGTGTGGGAAGAAGGCCTACATGACTCTAGGTACGCTCAGTCCTACTACAACCGGTGGTGCGCGAGCTGACCAGGTAGGAAATGCGGTATCGATGGTGCTTGCTCTGGATCTTTATCGAGAACTGCCGCCCTCCCATCCAGCGCTCCCGCAGGAACGCGAGATGCGCCGCCGCCTCTTCTGGTCTGTCTACGTGATGGATCGGTTCCTGGCCTGCGGGTCGAAGCGTCCGTGTCTGATCGCCGATCACTCGATCGTTGTACGCCTGCCGGCGTCTCACTCTTCGGGCGCTGACCCTGGGGATTTGTTTAACCCGGTCGGCCCTAATATCCCGTACTCGTCGGACCGCCGCAAAACGGCGGGCTCTTGTTCCGCGCTTCTTGTTGATATATCGCGGATCCTCGGCGTCACACACCGCTATCTCGCCGCGGGAGGCGTCAAGGGCGACTCGCACTTCCCATGGCACGCCCTCTCCAACCTCTCCAAGATCCGGCAGGAACTTGACCTTTGGGCCGCCGGTACACATGACCTCTTCGCGTCCATAGAAGCCCTCTTCGGCCATCCAGAAAGCACCCTCCTCCTCCTCTCCAAGCTCATCTACCATCTCGTCCACTGCCTGCTCTACCGCCCATTCCTCCCCATAGACCTCGCCGAGCTCCGCGGCTCAGGCCAGCACCAGAGCTGGCAAATCGAAGCGACAACCCTGTGCTTCTCGCACGCCAATGCCATCGCCGAGCTCGTCGAGCTCGCCCGCCATGCACCGCGCATCGAGTGGCCAGACCTCGTGGCTTACTGTCTTACCGTCGCAGGCACAGTACACATCCACGGCGTGCATTACCACGGGCGCCGCGACGGCGAGGTCTTTGCATCCAGTCCGGACTTTTTGACGAGAGAAATGCACCAGCTCGCATGGCTGCGGCAGTCGTGGACCGGTGTACAACATCATCGTGACCTCCTCACTACACTGTCCGCCTGCCATGCGGACCTTGTTCGTACCCTTGCAGCACGACCAGTTAGGTTCGCGCCGGTCTTTCATCTCGAGGACTTCCTTGATCGGTATCCCGGTATTGTTGTCGATGGGAGCCATGTACGGCTGGTTGATGATGAGCAGTATGTTACCTCTCCTGTCCTTGGCCCAGCGGTTACTTGTGCCAGTGCTAATGACGATATAGAATCGACCTCGACCCCCAACTTCTCTACGCACCGACACTCCCCTCCCAACCAAACGGCATCACGCACAACTCTCATCCTCACTCTCACGCACGCCACCCATCTACCTCCCCAACCTCGCTCCCCTTCTCTCCATCTTCAACATGGCCCGATATCCCCACAGACCCTGAACTACTCAACCAACCCGCAGGGGCAGGAGCCGCAGGCCCATCGAATCTATTCTCACCGTCCCTCTCCACAGCAACACACATCCACCTCGGCCAAACACCATCCCAGCTGCAGTCTCAACCGCAACCGCAGCCGCAGTCCCAAATCCAATACGCAACATTCCCGTTCGAATCAACCCCCGTCCCCGTCGAGTCCCCAGAGTCGCAGCCCTCGTCCGGCACTGGTGCTGGCGCCGTCGCCGGGAGTACGGGCGCGGCAGCCAACGAGGAAAAAGACCCGTTCCTGAGTTTGCTTGAGCAGATTGCTGAGAATGAGCATAGCCAGGGCGGGCCGAGTGAGTTGGATTTCTTTCTGGAGGGGTTAGAGGAGAAGGCTTAATTACTTATGAATGGATGAATTATGGAATGGAAGTTAGGGTACGGCTAGGTTTAGGTTGCGCGGGATGAGATATGATGTGATGTGAATAGGAGCTAGCCAGCCCAGCCCGTCAGGACGGGAATGGGACGGCGTTGGTCTGTATATAGTCAGTAAATAGTCGTGTTCTAGTATAGCGTGTTTGTTTTTTGTGCTGTTGTTATGCGTGTATACCCTGACGTCATGACAATCTACAATGGAGTTATATACATCCGACTTGGCCGGGCGCCGTATCACATATAATCAATCCCCCACGCCCATGTAACTTATCCTGGTAACATTCTACATAGAAGCAGAGAAAGAAAATGACTCCGATCGAAGAAATAATCCCGCTCTACCTGGCAGACAGGATCTCCCTCGACACCGCCGTCCAACACGGTACGTCTCATTTATACCACCTATAAACCCATTATATTCCAGATAAATCGATCCTAACAAGAAAGCAAAAACCAACAGCATCCCAAATCCCCCGAAACACCCTCCTCCTCACAACCCTCAAAGAAAGCAGATCCCTCCCGCGCTCAATAGACACAGACCCAACAACACCAACCCCCGACCTCCCCTCCCCATCGCAAGATAAACTCCTCCAGCTCATCCGGGCCCTCGATTCGAGCGCCCGCGCCCAAGATCGCGATTCCGGGATCGCACTCGATGATCTGATTAGTATATCCGGGTATGGCTCAGAAGCCGAGGAACAGTATAATGCGCTGCATGGATTCACGAATGAAGCGGTGCGAGACTTTGCGGCCTATTCTTTGCATGCCAGCTCTATTCCCTCATCAGCCTCTGCGCGTACAGAAAGGAATAGCAATGGTCGCAATAAACGATCCATCCGCTCATCGCTATTCCGCGCGCGGAGCGAGTCGAGATATCTAGATTCCGACGTCAACGCCGATGCTGATGCTGAGGTTGATACCTTCGCCGATGAGCACGCGGATCCCAGCGCCGCCGACGTACCAATATCCTCAGGGTCGGATCTAGGCCACCGGCGCCGCAGAAGCAGCGGGGTAGAGAAGCACCTGTACAACCTAATCTCGTTCCTGGTGTTTCTGACGAAAGAGAAACTCCTCTTGTATCCGAATGTCGGGGAGCGCGTGGCTGTTGAGATGGTTTCTGAGACGCTGTATCATCCGCCGTCGCATTCGCATTCGCATTCGCATTCGCACTCGCACTCGCACTCGCATTCCCATTCATACTCCAACTCGCAGTCGCAGTCCCAGCCGCAACCGCAGTCCTGGAATCGTACTCGAAATCGATCGCATAGTGTTCCACAAAGCGCAGGTTTCGATTCAAAGGAAAACGTCAAGGGGAAAGGAAGAGAGGAGACTGTGGCTGTCGCCGGGAGCCATGAGCCGTGGTTCGGGTTTGTTTCGGCGTCTGGGCCCGGGAATGAAGTGTGCGTTACGGCTGTTGCGCTGTGGTTGATTATCATGGGGGAGGAGCTGTATCAGCGGGCGCGGATGGAGAGGAGGGAGAGGAGGGCGAGGCTTAAGACTACGTCTAAAGAGGGAGAAGAAGATGTGTGGACGCGGCTGAGTGAGGTTGTTGGGCGCGAGTGGCAGACGTGGACGGGCAGGTTGCAGTTTCTATCACTGCGCGAGGATCTGGATATCTCGGCGCGCGAGCATGCAGCGGAGGCGGCAGCTGTTATGAGGAGGGTTTATAATTATGACTAGGTTCTGGATATGCTCAATGTGATGTTGTGTTTTGGCTGACGCGAGCTGTATGTATTTGTTCTTGTACGACGATCTATATCCAAGCGTATTCTATAGTAAGAATCAGTTATGAGAACTTCACGCCTTTGGTCGGATCCCATGTCTGCGGATGGCTCTGCTGCTGCGTCCCCGAACTGCCGCCAAACCGTATCCCCATTTCGGGAGACCACATTCCCGGGGTCACCTGCGGGACTCCGCGGGTCGGCTGGGGTGCTGTTAATGGTTCCCGGAGTTGAGGTTGTGGCTGTGGAACGGCCTGGGGTTGAGGTTGGATTGGAGATTGGACGGGCTGGAACTGTGTCGGAGGTGGTGCCGACACTGGCTGCGGTGCCTGTCGGATAGGCGAGATATTGAGGGATGCCATTGCTGCGACGCTGGAAATTTCCCTGTCTCAAAGTTAGTGCAGCCGGGGAACAGCGTGATAAAGGTACTTACTGCTCAAGCTGACTGGCTTCCATCCTCCGCTTGTGCACGAATGCCTTGGCATCATCTCTAAACCGGCCAACAATCTTAGCAAGATCATTGTAGAACTTCCGTCCGACCTCGATGTTGGAAATAATCTCTTTATACTTCAGGAACCCGTTCTCCAACTCCTGAAGCGCCTTCTCACGCTCCCTAGTTGACGCATCTCCAGTGTGTGCCCGCGTGAAAGCACGATTCGCCTCGCGGACCTGCGCAGCGATTTGGTCTTGGTCGTGCTGCTCTTTGAAAACCATTTGCAGGTCGACGTCGTAATCGCGGAGTCTGGATTCGAAGAGGTCTTCGAATTGACTTGCCTGGATGACTTGCATGGGGAACTCACGCTCCAACCGCGCGGCCTCGCGAATCAAGGCTGAGCTGATATCGTCTGTTCGAGCCTTGTCTTTGACAGTCTGTGCCTTGCGCTTCCGACGGCTTTCTAACCGGTTCACTTCGCTAATACAACCTCGGAGCCGGCTGACCTCGCGCTCGACTTCGGGAGGTATTGTCGCGCGTCGGCTACTGGGGACAAATGCCTCAAGGTCACGGTTTGTGCCAGTTAGAACACGGAATACAGACTCAGAGTCTTGGAGTTTTTGCTCAACGAGGTTGTCGCTGCTCTGAGCGGAGGAGAAGTAGCCGTCAATCTCCTGGCAACTTGTGTATAGCTTCGGCGTTGCAGTGTCGGACGACTCGCGGGACCACCGGTCTGTGCCGAACTTCCGTCTATATGCGTCGTCCTCTTCTTTCTCAGCTGCGAGCAGCTCGACACCTTCCTTGTAGACTGCTCTGTCGTTGGACTTTACCTTGGCAATGTCCTGGAGGGACTTGCGGAGCCGATATAGCCCGTCCTGTTGCCGCATTTCCTCTGCGTGGGAGACTAGCGTCGGGGGAAGACCGAGAGGCTTTTCTAGTGCTTGAAGCGAGCCGGGTAGATTGAGCGAGGATAGTAGACTAAAGAAGTTAGCAAGGTCCAAATGTAGTTGAGTTGATGAGACGTACTCGCGTAGCTTGTCAGTCATGGTCTCCAACTCCCCAATAATTCGTTCGTTGACAAGGCGATCCCTTCGATCCGAGTAGATGCTAGCCGCAATGTGAACAGCATACGGCACCAACTTCGAGAACAGCGGCTGTCCCAGTGGACCCTTGTCTCCTAGCAGCGAGATTGCATCCGTAACTTGTGACGGCGCCTTCGACGCAACCATACTCGCCCGGTCAATAAGCTTCAGCTCCGACTTGGGCGGCACCGCATGGAGATAAATCATATCATTGTCCTTCTCAGCTCGCTTCAGATCCTCCGACACTCGATTCTTCAGCCCCTGCAAGTCGCCCAAAACCGTCCGGTTAATCCATCTGCTCTCTTTGAGCGCTTCATTCACACAAGCCACCGCATCTCGCAGCCGCGCCACCTCCTCTCCATATTTGCGCTTCTCAAGACAATCCAGCGACTGGCGGTACTGCGCCGCTGCCGCAAAATGATGCTGCTTCGCAGTCATATGGTGGATCCAATCCGGGCTAATTGCATTCGACTTGACGGCGTGGTCGCACGCATCCGCGTAAAAGTCGGAGACTTTCCCCGCGAGTCTCGCAATCGACGCATCCTTCAGCCCGTCTTTGACTGCTTTTTGCCAAAAACATTCCTGCGCCTGGGCCAGTAGTAGTTCTTCTAGACTCTGTAGTGTCATCTCGTCCATGTCCTCAGGCGGAGCCGAGCGCATGTCGGGGACAATGTCTGTCCGCAAATGAGCGAGTATCCCAGCAGCCTGGCAGAAATAATTACACGCCTGCTTGAGGCCATCGGACGTTGTGCGGTTTACGGAGAATGCGAGCTGAGAGTAGAGGGCGGCAAGGTTGAAGGTAATGTTTGCGAGTTCGAAGCGGATATTATTCTGGGAGACTGTTCCCGTTTGTTAGCCTTGCAAGGAAACCCCCGATGGGACAGAGCGAAAGAAATACCTGGCCGGCTGGTATTGAATCCAAAAGCAGGATACCAGGGGAACTCAACCCCAACCTACGTGTCATGTCAAGTCAATCCAACAAGCTCACTCGAATCGAATCGAATAGGGCGGACGTACATCAACCGGAAACTTCCCCCCAAGCCATTTTAGTTGCGCCGCGTAGGTGATTAACCGGCTGACTCCGCTAACGTGGGGTTCCTGGACATTTACGGCTTCGCTTCGTAGTCGGTCGATGATCTGGAGGTCATCTGCGAACATATCCGGCCGCTGGTCATATTTGGAGGAGATGTATTGTGTGAGGGCAGTCGAGAGGGAGACAGTGTGCGACTGGCGGAAAGGGATCTGGAGAATGTTTCTGCATCTGTTAATGTAGCCCTTTTATTGAAGAACATGTGGAGATAGCGTACGAGGTCATTTTGGCGGTGCGCGGTGCTGCGCTTTGAGGTTGAGAAAGTTGTTGATGTGAAAAGTGTCCCGCAGGCTGCCCCCACGGCAACCAAGATGACGTGGTGGTGCCTTAGGCAGCGATGATTGCATAGCTTAGCCAGCTAGTCTACGAACCGCTCACTACGACTCAATGGATAATTGTTTACTAGATAGAAAATTGATATTTAGTATTTATTGCTATGTTCAGATAATATAATACTAATACGCCTGGGCGCCGCCAATACTGAAATCCATCATCCGTCCAGCTCGTTGATGCGCATCTTAATATATTCGAAGATGCTGAGCAAAATCATGTTATTCACCCCAGTGCGGATCAAAATAATGGACAGTCCTTTATACATGCTGGACCGTGCAACTGCGGCGGAAGCCTCGCCGACTTCCTTCGTCTTTCCGAGAAGTACGCTCTGCGCGCGCGTTTTGCGTGTGTCAAGCGGATATGTCTGTCATCGTCAGTACTGTCAAATTTGAGCCAGCGGGGTTTCCTAGAGCACTCACGCAAAACCAAGGTACAGTGCTGCAGATTGCGCCGGCAATCATGGGTGCACCAAATGGAGACTTATCAGGCCCAAGCTCCCTGGCTGCAACCTGCTTGACCGTTTCATAGACCGCAAAATACAGGCCAGACCCAACGGTATCACGCATCGCATGGAGATAGAATCCCGTGTACAAACCTCTGAATCCGTACCGCTGTACGATCTGCCTGATAGCTTGGACGGTTCCCAGGCGGGGCTTGTGCCGCAACGAGTGGTCTCTCACAGCGTCTGGGGAAGCTTGGGCACGATTTGATACGAGGACAGATGTTTGAACCACGTTCTTGGCCAGTTCGAAAGGGCCTATACTGTTAGAACTTGCCCATATATTAAGAAGAAGAAGAAAAGGATAAACCCTACAAGCGAGTGGAGAGGTTATCGCTCCGGCAATGCAGCCCGCGGTGATGAAAGTAAAAATCGTGGAGACAGTAGGGGCGCTGCCGGGTTTGTTGTATATGGCCAAGGGAGATTGACCCGTTATTCCCTCGATAAAGTCGGATATGCGATGTTTAGCAGAATTGTAGGTAGTAAAGTTCACAACCCGGACTGCTGTGACGCTGGCAAGAGGAGGTAGAGCACCTATTTTGGTCAGTTTTGTTCGGGTATTGCAAGAGAGAAAACAGACGCACCAGCAACAAATCCACGAGGACCTTCGGTTCGCCAGAGATATCGAACACACTGGAATACGTTTTGGAAGTTGTGCCTGGTCAAGTCAGCGGCGCGCAGGAAAGAAGACATCGCCAGAAACATACGTTTGCATGCGAGTTTTGACATTCTCGAGAGGGGTCTGCGCAATTAGCAAGTGTTCCAGCTGATTCAGAGTTCTGCCTGGAACGTACCACAGCTAGAGTAGCGCAGACGGTAGAAGTCCCAGAGGCTACCTGGGTTTTGTACCTCTTGAGTAGTCTATTTCGTGTAGTTTCATCCATGGTCCAGTTATTTCCCGCTGGCATTATTGTAGGTGCGGGAGATGGTTGTGAAGGAGGGGTAAAGGGAGCATGTTCAGAGTGATTGTTGTCAGTCATCCCGCCATGTATCCCATTGGGGGCAGTGAGCTGTTTGTCCAAGTCGCTTAGTCGTTGTATATCTGGATATGTCTAAGTGAACCAATTCACTCTCAGCAAAGTAGGCTGGGGAACCCGATGGAACGCAAAGCGGCCTCTCAGGGTGCGAGCAGACCGTTCAGCGTCCCACAATTGTCCATCAGAAACCCTTTTCCAGTGCTCAGTATCCGGCTCTTCTGCTCTTTCTTCCGAGAAAGAAGAAAAAGGGAGTCAATCGGGCTTAATAGGACCATACGCTATCTCCGGCGGGGACGTATATACACTGGTTGAATTCGGACCGCAGACGGGGACACCTAGGCGTTTGGGAGCCGGATATTAGCATGACAGCAGTTCTTCTTCTGATGTAGTTAGGGAGACATACAGAGAAACCACCGCGCTGGGTACAGTCCAAGTTCAATGAAGACAGTGGAATGGGGTGGACGAGTGAACTCAAGCGAAGCTCCTCGTCCACCAGAATTGGGCTAGTAATCGGGCGCTCCACAGACTGCGAGCGCAGCCACTCACAGCCCTTTTACATTGTCTTGATCGGGCTTAGCGTACCTGTGACGTCGTCGTGAAGCAGTCCGTCCAACCTTTGCATACGGACTACGTCTAAATATTATGCATATACGCCGAATGTAGGGCAACAGCTCCAGCTGTCTAACCTACGCTCGACCGTGATGCCGGAGTTGCTCAAGTTGTGTTCTTTGTTCTTGGGATATCGTTAAGAAGCGATCGATCAAGCAAACAAACGCCCTAGCCGGAAGAGGACTAGGGTGGCGAGGAGCCACAAGTCGGACCAAATCAGTCCGTTGAGCTTGAGCTTACCCCGCCAACTTTCTTGCGGATTCGAGCTTGTGGAAACGAGCCAAAGAGATTCAATCCGTTATTCATGATAAGAAAGATCCCTGTCCGATAAGGAACTGAAGCTGTCTGACGGTGCAAGTGCTCCTGCGCAGTTGATTGAAAGTCGAGACAGGGTTCTGCCTTGATATACAGACGCTAGCGTGTATTTGGCTAGTCGTGCAGGTGATTGCCTGATTAGGATGGAAGCTTGTCCCGCATGTGAAGGCCTTCCCAAGTGGCTGCCCGCTTCGTGTGGCTGGACGTTGGAAGTCCAGACAGCAATCTAAAGGCGGAATCCACGCCGTGGCCGCCACAGAATGGTGTCGTAACTCTACCGTGTTTTGCTCAGGACCCTCAAACGTCTTTGTAAGCCTTATCAGGCTCGATCGTGGGTCATAGCTAACGTGTGAGTGTGGGCCAGTGCCGAAGGTGGACAGCAACCATTTTACTCCGTATTGATATTCCGTCCCGAAACTGACTTTGCTCTTTGAGCATAACTGAGTTCGTGTTTGAGTGTCAACTGTGCCGATATCCGTGCAGCATGCCAGTGATGCTCTCTCGTTGATCCTCGGGCCGTCTACCGGCTCAACTTCAGTGCCAGCCGTGGCGGCTTTACGACTTCACATGGCGATGAGAACGTGCAGGCTCCTGCGCAGACACGGATTACCGATCAATGGCCGTTCCGGGGCCCAACCCGATCCAGACGAGACGTGAAAAACTGAAGCAGTCTGAAGACTGATTTCCTCACCTTGTCATATGAGAGGGGCGCTAAACCGCTTTCGGTATTCCATATATCCTCGGGACCTCGGTCGCGGCATCCCCGCAAGTTTGCCCTCTCCGCAACAAAGCCACGGCCGCTGCTATCCACATGCTCTCCTGAACCACATTTAAAGGCTGGTCCTTGACCTTTACCCGATTTTCTTACTGGATACTCATTGCGCTTGAAACTATCCTTCGTACATCATCACATTTCATTCAAAATGGGCAAGAAAGCAGCATCTCCCGCCTACGTCCTTGGCGTTGGCATGACCAAGTTCATCAAGCCCCGAGGCAAGGTTGATTACAATGAGCTCGGATTCGAGGCCGGTGTCAAGGCCATGTTGGACGCTAAGATCAACTACGACGAGGTTGACCAGGGTGTTGCTTGCTACGTCTACGGTGACAGCACTTGCGGACAGCGTGTGTTCTACCAATTCGGTCTGACCCAGATTCCTATCTACAACGTTAACAACAACTGCTCGACCGGCTCAACTGGTCTTGCGATGGGCCGCACCCTCGTCTCCCACGGCGCGGCCGACTGCGTTCTCGTCGTTGGCTTCGAAAAGATGAGCCCCGGATCTCTGCAGTCGGTCTACAACGACCGCGCCAACCCCACCGGCCTGTTCGGTATGATGATGGCTGAGACTCGCGGTGTCACCAACGCCCCGGGTGCCGCCCAGATGTTCGGAAACGCCGGTCGGGAATACAGTGAGAAGTAAGTTTCTTGGTTGTCGCTTCAAGGTCCAAACTGACTATAGTAGGTACGGCGCCAAATCCGAACACTTCGCTGAAATCGCTCGCATCAACCACGAACACTCCAAGCGCAACCCATACTCCCAATTCCAGGATGAATACACTCTCGAGCAGGTGCTGAAGTCTCCGATGATCCACGAGCCCCTCACCAAGCTTCAGTGCTGCCCTACATCCGACGGTGCCGCCGCCGCCGTTGTTGTCTCTCAGGAGTTCTTGGATGCTCGACCCCACCTCAAGGACCAGGCTATTCTCATTGCCGGTCAACAGCTTGCTTCGGATAACAACAGTGTGTACAACCAGAGCTCCATTGACCTTATGGGATTCGGCATGTCCCGTGGTGCGTGCCGCGCTGCTGTTGCCGAAGCCGGTGTGAACATTAAAGACATCAAAGTATGCGAGCTGCACGACTGCTTCTCGGCCAACGAGATGATCACAATTGATGCTCTTGAGCTCAGCGAGCCCGGCAAGGCGCATGAGATGGTTGCCAAGGGTGACATCACCTATGGCGGCAAGATGGTTATCAACCCATCAGGCGGTCTTATTTCCAAGGGCCACCCGCTCGGCGCAACCGGTCTGGCGCAATGCACAGAACTTGTCTGGCACCTGCGTGGCTGGGCCAACAACCGCTTGGTCAAGGGAACCGATGCCTGCCTACAGCACAACCTGGGTCTGGGTGGTGCCGTGGTCGTGACCGTCTACAAGCGCGCGGATGGCAAGGTTGCTCAGGCCGTGCCATCAGCAGATGTCGCAAGGATCACTGGTCTCGGCTACAACCCCGCCGTTGAGGCCAAGGGCTTCACGGCTGAACAGGCCAAGCTGGTTCTCAGCAAGACCGCGTCCGATTCGTGGGCGTTGGCTGACGCGCAAGAGAGGGTTATCGCTCGTTTCTAATTTCCATGTTGATGTATATACCTTATGACTGTACAATCTAGCGATCAGAATGTTAGACTTCAAAATGATATGAGTACTGACTACTGAGGAGCGTTCCGAGTGTGTTTACTCCTGTAAATGTAGACGAGTCCGTGCCTGGTGCTGAAGGCGGCTCGGCTAAACAAGCCGCCGGCATATGATGACTCAGCCCGCGCCTCAACAAATTCCGCGCGACAAAATCTTCCTCTCTTCTTTTTCTTTCTTCATACATATCCAGGTCTCCAACATACCCTTGTTGATGGACAGTTCATTCCATTGAGAAATTATAGAACGGGACCGAGAGTGACCAGCTCATTCTAATCCCATTGCCTGCCACCAGCACGAGGTTTTTGGGTTCGCTTTTGAGCATACACGCATTTCGCGCAACTTTTCGGTTGATCGTCATAAACATGCCAGCAGCCTTCCTAAGTGAGGGCTGGCACTTCAGAAATTGTTCAACGCTAGATCGACAGGAGGAACAAAAAGGGATTAATGCGTCCCTGCCCTCCTTGCGCTCTGGATCAATCGCGCTATCAACGATCATCCGTTTGAACATCCCTGCGTATACAAATCATACTAACACAGCCCCATGCAGTTATGAATGGCATCTTCGAAGTCTCGTTCGTCAATCCCATGATATTCGAGGTCAAAAGTCGTGCCGACAATGATCCGAAGCTGAAAATATTCTCTTCTCTCCCTCGTGTTGCGGCCGCTGTCAATATCGAATGGCGTGGTTCGTGTCAATCAGAAGGAGGCACATTCCTGTTGCTTATCTCAACCAGCTTTTGAGTATGTAGTTGCGTAATCAACGTGTGGAATGTTTCCTTCCTCTCCAAATCTCGTACGTCTGTGCACTGATCCCAACCCTCCAAGCTTCGTAGGCTCGCATCCCTTGCGTTGGCGTAATGCCATCCGTTCTCCACGACCCCTGGTCCCTTGCACCTTGGAGCACACCATTGGACGCTGGATTACTTCTGGACCAAGTCCCCGGACAAGACGCTCGGTGTTCGGGATGGCTTGTTCGTGGCTTCGTGCCCTGGCGTGGCATATCCTCCGACGCGTCAGGAATGTTTATCCAGAGCTGCGAAAGTATGCGGATGCTACCCGGCGTCTGTTCGCCTGTCCAGCAAGTATAAATCACCAGTTCCATGCTGCTTCGAACTCCCTCATTCCATCCAACTTCTACAACTTCCACATCCAACCCAACAACCCAACAGCCAACCCTTCACGATGAAGCTCACTGCCGCCGTTGCCATCAACCTGGCTGTCCTGGCCATCGCGGCTCCGACAACCACCTACGATAAGCGTCAACCTGCCAACCCTGTCGCGGTAATTACCAACCCAACTCAAGCCCAGAAGCAAAGACTAACATTACTTTTGAAGGGCATCATGGATATGTTGAACATCGGCCCGCAAGAGAGTAGCAGCTCAGCCTCCGGCCCTAAGCCGACGCCGACTATGACCCCTAACTCAAACATGAACTTCCCTGGCGAGAAGCCGATGCAGGTTCAACAGCACGCCGCCGTATCCTCTTCCGTTATTAAGCCTAGCGAGACATCACACTTCCACGTCTCGGCAGCTGCTACCTCTTCCGTGAGCATCTCTGACAATACCGCATCAGCTACACCTACACCTACTTCTTCTACTTCCACTACTCCTACTCCTTCTCCCAGTGAGAAGCCGGCCTCCAACCCTCTTTCCGCCGTTACCAACTTGATCAGTGGTCTGCTGGGTAACTAGGGTAACTCTGTACTTGAATTCGGTCGGGTTGATTTTGGTTTCTGGTATTGTTTGGGTGTGGATTTCTTATTTCCTTCTTTCTGCCTCATGTGTTGGTTGTGGGGCTTCTGGATGTGATATGATATTGGGACTCTTTATGTGTCGGATTAGATAGTTTTTAACGCTAGCTTAGATATCAACGATGGAATGTTATTACTAGTAATGCAAAACCGGTGCGCATGAGTAGTCGTCGCACTTTATCTGTATGCACACCATCGAGCTACAAACTAGGTTGGTAGAGATAGACTAACTTGAAAGAACAAATGTATGTCTTCTAGTTTTGCACGGCCAAGGCCCATTTATATGTCTTCATTCCTGAGCTTGCAATAAGCAAGCTTTCCTTGTGTGACTCTGGTGAATGTTTCGTCGGTAATGCAAACACCCTACCACCTTGACATTGGAGGAGGTGAAGGATCATTCTTTCATTTGATAGCGTCAATGTCAACAGACATCCCGATACAATCCTCATAAGACATCAACCGTTTCAACTTTAAAGAGGTGATTTGAATTGTCTTTCCTCAAGAGGGTCAATGAAGGGTCTAGAAGCCCGCCACAGAAAGTAACGTAATGACCAAAGAATCATGTTTTCAGTGCACTGCCTCCGTAAAGCACAGAGACTGTATCTAATGTACGAGGGTCAAGAGGTGTCCATGATAGAGCAGCATTGCTCTCGCACGGGGACTATCCTGGAACACGAGTGCGTGGTGAACTCTGACTGCTTGGCAACCTCTCTCTTAGAAGCCCTAATCTTGGAGTTACTGCACTGGGTCCAGTAAACCACTTCACGGCCCCGACAGCCTGCTTCATGTTTTACGCGCAATTGCTGGGCTGTTTGCTGACTGCGTATTAGGAGACGGATTTCGCCAATTCCCTGCCTGCCAAAGCCGGGGAATGCTTCGGTGTTCCAGCCTTTAGACAACAGCAAGTCATCATAAAATGCGAAGATGGGAAGAAGCATTGCTTTTGACTATTAACAAAACCGACCCCACTTTCGTCATCGGCTGCTACCGGTAAACCCCGGGCTTGGGCTTCAATATTATTGGAACTCGCTGACTCCAATGAGGTGAAGTTGAGCACAGGTGTGATATTAAAGGAATAGAAAGGACGGAAGGGCTGGGATTCGCTCAGCGGACTCGTTGCACCAGAGCAAGAAAACCCTTTCTATAGCTCGCCCCTTGGTATCTGTAATCGTCGACGATGTCCCTGAGGCGTTGACTTGGGTTCTGTAGGATTGGGTGATGAACCGGCGTACTTTTAGGGCTAAAAGGTGTGGTAAGAGATGGGAGCGCTGCGAATATTGATGGCTTGATATATAGAACACGCACCCATCTGCAGCCTGAAAGCTCTTATTGGAGATGGTCTTCGCCAGATGAGCCTCGCCGATGCACCAGTCGAGAATAAATCTATCGGTAAACCCTATCTAGGTGTCCACTGATGAATGACATCGCACCGTCGGCGCCGAATTATTGATATCGGACGGTTGTCGAGAAGCCAGAACACCATGTATAGTACCGTCTCCGCAAGATTATCCATACCTCCATGAAGTGGTTCAGAGCCGGTCAGGTAATCACAACACCCACACAGCTTCAAACCTAGGCTTGTATGGCTAGACATATATCCATCGTTGGGAATTGAAGTCGCGACCGACAACAGTAAACTTCCTGGAATGGTGACATAGGAAGAGCCATGGAGTTCAATCTCCATGTTGTTGTCCCGCTACCTTCGTCTCATGTTTGGCGCAATCTCAACCGCGTTGGTGGGAATTAAAGCATTTTGCACACACGGGTGGCTCGCAAAGATTATCGTAGAGCACCTAATATCCTAAGACAGTCATTTTCAAGAGCCTTGCCGCGCAATCTCCTCCCAAGGCTAGAAATCTACACCGTTCTCATAAACGGACAGCCTAGCGGCCGTTGCGAGAGTTCTTCGATACGATTCAACCATATCGATTTGTAGGTTGAAGGGTTGCAATTAGGAATCTCTCTTAGGGCTATGAAAGGAGAAGATGCCGAAGGTTCAGGGGCCGGTGTCTTCTGAACAGAATTCGTGTGGTGCATCGAGATGAAACGGAAAACAGCCCAGCCAGGCCTGAGCCGTATAGGAAGAATCACCGTCATAGATAGTGGATGATGATGAAAGTGACGAGCATTCCCTAATTTTATTCATGTTTTGTTGTTAAATGGTGTGCTTGGTATCTTTTGTAGCAGCAGGTGGTTAGCCATAATGTCAACAGGATAGCGTCGGTGGTACTAACAGATATATATCGGTTGACTCGTTGATATATTTCCCCGGCGAGGTTGTTGCGTCGTTCATCAAGGCTCGTCTAGAGACTAGCGTGAGCCGACGTATGCCTATCCGTCCGTCCAGGAAATTGTTTGCTTTGGATGTGCCGCTTAATCAAATGTGGGTGGCTTTCGGTATTGTGCATGTTATGTACGAATGTGATGGTGTCCTCGACGCACAGGACCATGTGGAATTCTGCACTTGCGCAAGCTTCAATTTCACCTACTTTCATTGTGAAATGTGCCGTATACTTGAGTCATCATAGTACCTTCCAGCTCGATATGCTAGATCATAGTTTGTCGTACTTGGTACATCGATCAAACACTGATCAAGGCGTCAACACCAAAGTCGCGATGATAAAAGAAAGCACTTACAGTATTCAAACCTGCAGTGCAGCAACTGGCGATGGGTGTCATCAACCGATGGTTCAGCAAGGCAGCAGTTATAAAACACTTGACTTGCTCAAGGGCAAAGTGAAAAATGCAGAAACCAGGCATCTTACAGCAACAAGTAGGATGCTAGCAGAAACCCGAAAACCGTGGAATTGAGAGCCATGATGACGGGCAGGGGATTCGTCGCAACTATACAATGAATAGATCTCGATCAAACAGGTTGAAACCAACTAAACGACGAACTATATGCGTTGCAAATGTACGTTAGAGACAGACCAAGCTTGGAGACGTGGGATCTCACCTATACGTCGTCGTATATACCGTGGAAATGTTGAGGCTGTGGAACTCCAGACGCTACCTGTGTAAGCCACGGCCTGGATTACTCGGAGCTATGTCTGGCACGGCCATGTTTTGTTGCTGTCGTCGCAGATGGATTGCCAGTTGGTGGATGCGAGAACCTCACGGAGATTGAAGATGGTTTGTATAAAGAAGCTTCAGTTATTCCATTGCGAGTGAGCAATTCTGAATACAAGGAAGGGTATAAATCCAAATATAACAAGAAGCCGGGGATATATATAGAATATGAGGGAGTTGGACATATATAGGGAAAAGGATTGAGATATGGATGGAATGGAAACCAAGTTGGGAGATTTATAGACAATGAGGGGAGAAAAATGAAGACAAAACGACGAGGTCGGGGACAAGTTGGCAAGGACTCGCCTGGCAGACGTGCGTGACTGCGTTTGGATCCGCATAACAGGCTGGAAACTGGAAACTTGCATATTTCGGTGTAATGCTGAGTGACCTCGGGAATATACAGATTCGATTTAAGAATTATACACATCTCGCGATAGACTGTGACGGAACACTGAGACTCGAAATCCGTCCCAAATCGCTGAATTCGCCCAAATGCTAGTACCATCTATCCATGCTCTTCAACCAGCCATCCAGATCCGAGACAAATAAAGTAACCAAGAAATTGACATGTCGCTGTATTTCAGCTTGTCCGGCTAGCCCCTCGGTTCCGTCGTTTGTTGGGTAACGATGCTCGCCGACTCGAGCAAACGAGTCCTGTGATCCCTCGCTTTCGGCAGCGGAATACGGAGTCTTAGAAACACTGTTCCAATTGATTTATCCAAATTAACGGGATCTTTCCGCTATTGGTTTCACGAGCTCTTGCTGTTTTGGCTCGCCCGCTGCTGCTCCTCGTAAAGAGCTGTATAGTACCCAGCGTAATACCAGGCCATCATAAGGTTTTTCAACCCTTCATCCTGGCCTAAATAACTTGTCAAAAAATCATCTTCGCAAACAGGTCCGTGACCAGGATTTCAGCTTACCTTGGGGGAAACCGGGAAGCGGCATGGGAGGCGCTTGGGGAGCAGTCCCCGCCGGTGGTTCTAGTTTTGACTGCGCAGGCCCATTTGTCATCTAAATCGAGTCAGTACTGGTGCATCAAACGGAGCCAAGAAGACAAAGAGCATACCTGCGGAGCATGAGTCTCAACTGCAGTGGGCTCAGCGGCGTCAACGTCAGCCATGTCGTCGTCCTTCTCAACCGGAGCCCAGGACAAAGCGGGCGCCGCCTCGGCCTCTGCAGCTTCCTGGGCCTCTCTCAGGACATCTTCGACATTCTCACCCTTGGCATGGATGCTATGATAGAGCTATAATAATCTCAGTCAAATTGTAGGCAAGTCACGTGCCAGGAGCAACTCACTTTGTATTCCTCGACGGCTTCATCCCAGCTCTGGACAAGAGCGGAGTCGTCCCAGATTTCTTCCTGAGTTAGGGCCTTAGCAGCACCCTTGTTCTTCCCCATGACATCTGCAGTTACCTGTTGTTGGTCCGATGTTCGCGTTGTTGATGAGGTGAGGAGTGGAGCAAGACCAAGCAAGGGAAGGCGGAGTGGGACTCACCGCCTGGCGATTCTGCAGCTCAAAAAATAATTTTCAGCAAAAAAGTTCCCGCTCGGTGCAGAATCAACATAAACCATCGAATTGCTACTGGTGTGACAATGGCCCCCGATAAGAAAGACAAGAAGCGCAAGGGTATGTATATTGCGATTTTTCTTTCATGTTGTCCAAGTTACTGATGTTTGCAGCCGCTGTTGCGACCGCCGATGTGCCCTTGAAGAAGACGAAGAAAGTCGAGGCCAAAGCCGCTGAACCCGCACAGGAAGCGCCCAAGTCTATTCTGAAGAAGAACAAAGCCAATGGCGTGGCTAAGGAGGAGAAAGTTTCGAAGCCAAAGGCCAATGGCGACGCACCCAGGCCAGTCAAGCCTCGCAAGCGCGCAGCTGATTACATGAGTGATGAAGAGAGCGACGCTGAAGCGAGCGCTCCCGCGAAGAAACCTGCTGAGAAGGAGACTAAGAGCAAGCCCAGCGCAAAGAAGACCAAGCAAGAAGATGGCACAGCTGCTCCTGTGAAGGAAAAGGCCACCAAGGCTGGTAAGAAGGCGGCGAAGAAGGTTGAGATCGTGCCTAGCGATTCTGAGGATTCCGAGGGCGAGGGAGTTGCATTGAACGCCGAGAGCGAAGATGAAGACGATGACCAGACTACTGCACTGATTCGGGGCTTTGAGAGCAGCGGTGACGAAGACGAGTCTGGAGACGAGGCCGTCGACCCCGAGGCTCCGGTCCCCAGGATCCCCGACTCGAAGAAGGCCAAGCGCAAGATCCTCAAACTGCAAAAACAGAACAAGTCCGAGACTTCAGAAAAGCCTGGAGTTGTCTACGTCGGGTTAGTACTCATTCTATGTTCGTTTTATGCAATTCTAACCATCGTACAGACGTATTCCTCACGGTTTCTATGAGCACCAAATGCGGTCGTACTTTGCACAATTCGGCGAGATCACTCGCCTGCGTTTGTCGCGCAACCGTATCACCGGTCGCTCAAAGCACTACGCTTTTATCGAATTCGGATCCGAGTCCGTCGCCAAGATCGTCGCCGCCACCATGGATAACTACCTGATGTACGGCCACATCCTGAAATGCAAGTATGTGCCGACGGAGCAAGTGCACCCGGAGCTCTGGAAGGGTGCGAACCGCCGCTTCAAGACCACGCCGTGGAACCGAATCGAGCAGAAGCGCCTGAACAAGGGCAAGACCCGCGCCAAGTGGACGAAGAACATCGAGCAGGAGCAGAAGCGACGACTTGCCAAGGCCGAGAAGATGAAGGAGCTTGGGTATGACTTTGAACTCCCAGAGTTGAAGAGCGTGGATGATGTCCCTGTGCAGAAGGCTATTGAGGGTGGTGAGGCTGAGGAAGCCAAGGCCGTTGAGGGTGGTGAGCAGGCTAAGGCCATCGAAGCAGCGGCCGAGCCTGAGAAGGCCGAGAAGACGGATGATACCCCCAAGAAGGCGAAGAAGGACAAGAAGAAGAAGGCAGCAGAGGTAGAGGCTCCTGCTGAGTCGCCCAAGCCCAAGGAGGCTGCGTCGCCGGCTGCCAAGCCCAAGAAGGCGAAGAAGACCAAGGCCAAGGCCTAGATGACAGTTGTATTTAAAATCGCTCAGGGTTAATTGATCGGAGTCTACGGTTTTCAGCATTTCCCTTGTCATGGCTAAGATGTTATTGACCTACGTCGTTGAACAGGCCTGCATGACTCGGTTAGCTTGATGTATTTCTTTTCTTAGACAGTCATCGACTCAGTGAGATGTCTATAACCCCGCACCCCTCATTGCTTCCTCGGTAATCCCCGCAAACAACTACATGTATATCAGCCGTAGCAGTCTAAATAGGTTCGACGTTGTAGTCTTCAGTAGTCTTCACATCCAAACAAGTCCTATTTTCAACCAAGTAAAATGGCCTTTCCTCTCTCCCACCCCACAACGCGCGAGCTCACCGGAGGCGACCTCCTCGCCCAAGCCCTCAAACACATCGGCACTGAAGTTGCCTTCGGGCTGCACGGCGGCCATCTCGATGCCTTTCTAATGGGTTGCGAGTCCATCGGGATCCGGCTGGTTGATACGCGCCATGAAACCGCCGCTGTGCAGGCAGCCGAGGGCTACGCAAAGATCGCGCAGAAGCTTGGTGTTTGTTTTGTCACGGCTAACAGTGGGTGTGTTACTTTCTCTTCCATACAAGTCAAGTGTTGGTAGGAGAGAGGAGAGAGCTGAATAGTGTAGATTCTCCAATGGCATCCCCGGCCTTGCAACAGCGCTGGCAGACCGCTCGCCTGTACTATGCATAACGTCGTCGCCGCCGCTGCGAGACGCGGAGAACAACTCGCTCCAGGGGATTTTCGATCAGGTTGTTGTTTCGAGGCCGCTGACCAAGTTTGCGCACCGAGTGACGAATCCTGAGGATGCGCCGAGGATTGTTTCGTTGGCTGCGAGGACTGCGTTGGCCGGGGCTCCTGGTGCGTTTCAGAACTCAGTTGTTTTATTTTACTTTATTCTTGGGGTTAAAAATGGATTGAGATGCTGATAAGTCTAGGGCCTGTTCTGCTTGACTTCCCGATTGATGTGCTGTTCACGCCCGTCCATGAGAAACTCATCTCGTGGGGATCGATCTCGTCTCCTCGTTCTTATGCCCCAGGACCTCATGTTGAGGCCGTTAAAGAGGCTGTCAGTTTACTTCGATCTGCGAGTCGGCCGGCTGTGATTATCGGCAGTGGAGGGCAGTCGAATGAAGTGCGTCAACCATCCAGCTAGCAGCTACAATTAGGGCTAATGGCTAATGCCAATACAGACAACAACACAACTCCTCCACCTCTCCAACCAAACCAACATCCCCATCTTCGACACCCAAAAATGCACCCGCTCCTCGACTCTCGCAGCAGAATGCAAATTCTACGGCGGCGGCGCCGACAAGCTCGGCCTCCTCGCCGCCCTCAACAACCCCCAACCAGACCTCATCCTCCTCCTCGGCGCACGAACAGGAATGTTCCTCGCAGGCCGCAGCGGCGCCATAATCCCCCCGCACGAGAAATGCAAGCTCATCCACGTCGACCTCGATGGCGGCGAAATCGGACGCACCCTCCCCGTTGACGTGGGCGTCATCTCAGACGTAGGCCAGTTCGTTGCCGCACTCCACGCCCAACTCGCAGAGACACAACCCCCCATCGACAAGGACTGGGTGAATACAGCAATATCCCTACAATTCCTCCCATCGCCCTACGAGAACCAGGCCCCAGCGAACCCCTCCGGCCGCATGCACCCCTACCACGCGCTAAAGGCCTTCTTCGCCTCCCTGCGCGACCAATCCCCCATCCTGGTCACGGACGGCGGCGAATGCGCCCTCTGGGCCGGCGCCGTATCCCACCTCGCCTCGCCCTCTGCAGTGCTGAAGTCCACCGGCGCGCTGGGCTTCCTCGGAAACGGCTTCGGATACGCCCTCGGCGCTGCGGTTGCGGCACCGGATAAGAAAGTCATCAACCTGCATGGCGACGGCTCGGCTGGGTTCCATTTTATGGAGCTGGATACTTATGCGCGTTTGGGGCTTGACGTGCTTACTGTTGTGGTCAATAACTACTGCTGGGGTATGAGCTCGAATGGGCAGGAGTTGGTTTATGGGGAGGAGAACCCGGCGAGGCCGATAAGTGCGCTGTCGGCTGTTACGGGGTATGATGCTGTTTCGAGGGGGTTGGGGAATCGGGGCGTGAAGGTGGTGAAGGTTGAGGATGTGGAGGGGGCTGTGAAGGTTGCTGTTTCTGGGAAGGGTCCTGCTTGTGTTGAGTTGGTTGTGGATAGTAAACCGGTTCATCCGGTGACGGAGATGATGGTGGGACGCACGGAGGATCCGAACTTGGTTGTTGTGCCTTATTATGATAATATCCCGCGGGCTTATTATAAGGATTAGCTTAGGTATGTTGAAGGTTGTATTGCTAGCTATAATTCAGCATTATTTGATATTGGCGTGCTTTGGTGTAGCAAGGATCTTGACATGATCGTTTGGCTTGACCAGCTCTTTGAACCCTTTCTCTACTATATCCTCCAGTATAACACGCTTGGTTATCATCTTTTCCACGCCTTTGAAGCGTCCTGTTCTTATTAGACTGGTCAATCATGCGAGGAGAAAGCTTACCAGACACAAATGCATCCACCGTCTCCTTAAAGTCCCGTTCATCATACGCCAACGAACACTTGTATATAAGGTCCTTCCACAGGAACGGGCCCAGCGGAAGCGTAAACTGCCAGCGTCAGCATACCTACTCCCCAGCAGAGATAAAAGGAAGTGGTAGCATACCGGCGCCCCCTTGGGTACCGCCAGATTCACATAAATCCCCCGAAACCTCAAACTCTCACAACCAGCCTGGAACCCAGCCTGCGCACCCGCACAGTCAAAGACAACGCCAACCCCCTTCCCATCAGCAGTTTCACTCCTGCACCTCTTCGGAACATCATCAACACTCGGATCAAATATCCCACTCACAATCTCAGTATCCCGGATCATCTCCCTCCGGGCTGGCGACGTCTCAGACACAAAGATCTGCGTCGCGCCCCGAGCCCTAAGCACAAAGACCATGGCCACACCAACCGGCCCAGCACCTGTAACCAGGACAGGCACGTCCTTTAACTCAACCCTGCTGTTCTTGTCCGGTAGAGCGAACTGCGCAGCGGCAATAGAGAGGAAAAGCTCGAGGGCATGCCACGCAACAGTGAGCGGCTCGATCAGGGCGGCGGCGGCCAGATCTACTGAAGTATCCTGGTTTCCATTCTCATCTGATGGCTCAGTGTTAGAGAGAACATGTATATGATCCGCTCTCACAGACACAAGCTCTGAAAGACCGCCGCCGCCGCCTGAAATGCCCATGAACCCGAGTTTCTCGCAGTTGTTTGTCGCTGCGCCTTGACTGCAGGGTGTGCAGGCAGAGCAGTAGATGCGCGGGTCGACGATGACGGGTTGGCCTTTGCGTAGAGCTTTACCTTTATTCGCCGAGACAGAGTCAGGGACATGCGCAATCCGGCCTGTAAACTCATGGCCCATCGTCACAGGCAGAAGCGCATTGGTGAGTGGGTGCGGGCCTGTTTTGGCGTTGGGGATTGCGAAGGGGCCTGATATGTTAACACCACGAGAACCTCCATAAACTATGCACAAGTGTTAAATAGATATGGGCAGTACCGTAGATAAACTCATTCAAGTCACTCCCGCAAATCCCGCACCACTCGACCTCGACCAGGACTCTGTCATCGCTTGGTTCGGGAGCCGGGGTGTCTTCGATGCGGATGTCTCCTGCAGCGTAGAACTGGGCGGCGCGCATGTTGTGTCTATCTATCACTGTTTCTGGTTGGAGTTATGTTTATTTTGAGTTTTGAGTTGTGGGTTTCGATGATGTTGCTTATACTCGGCTATCTCCAGCTTTCTCCAATCCTTCCCCTCACTTTCTCCTCAGCTTGTCGATCCGGCCCTCGGCTGAGGGTGGGATTGCGAGTCAAGCTGGACGATTTAATTATCCTATTTTAATTATGTTTTTGGATGTTACTTGCGGTAGCGAAAGGATGAGCCCCCCTGTACTTGGTAGTCGGAACTGCTCTCTGGTGATCTTCCTACTCCAGGATCCGACTTCCTCGCCAGCTGGACAGTGAGTATCAGATATAAGGGTATAGGGAAGATCGACATTGACCATTGAACTATTGAATCAAGATACATAAAGCTTTGACCTCCAGTTGTGCAGTAATTGTAGAAAGAGACCTTGTTTATCTGGTGGACCCAACTCTGCCCTAACCCAAAAGAGCTAACGCATCACATGACCCCAAGCTCCACCAAATGCCAAAGAAATTTCCAGCGTTGAATTCTTTTCCTCTTCTTTCCCAACTCCTCGCTCAAAGGATCGCATTCAAAGCTCACACACAGAGAATTCCATAATTCTCTCCTCTTCTCATCCGAGAAGAGCCCGCTTTGGGAGAAAGTCCCCGGACACCCTGTCCTTTTCTTTTTTTACAAAGTCGGTCAGGCAATGCGGAAACGCGCCGCCATAAAAGCAATTTGATAGCGGCTTACTGCCCTATTCCCTCCCGGTGCCGAGTCAATGCCCGACGCCCCCCCGGGGTGGACACAATGGTGGTGTGGACTGGTGTCGGAGAGGGGTTTATTGGGTTGCCTTTCGTCGTGTTTGGATAGTCATGCGATTGCTCGGTTCTGTGTTGGAACTGGGTAACTCAATGGGGCTCATTCTTGAGGCGAGGAGTTCATCTTTTTCTTTTCACGAGTCTGTAGCTTATTGAAAGCGGTGGCATGTACCTCTTTTGTGATGTCCTTGGAGGTGCTGTTGCAGATGCTCTGTCGAAGGGGCCGGACTCTTGATTTACTCCCCCTTCTTCATTCTCTCATACCCTTGCACATATATATATATCCCCCTACCTTCCGAACACTCTTGTGGTTCAAATGATGATATACCAATCATAGAGTCAAGCACAGAGACTCCTACTTCGGTACGGGGTCGTTGACGATAAACGATTGTTTCTTATCTGACGAACATATACCATTACATTGTGTCATTATTCTTCAACCCATTTTCTCTATACTACCTCAATATCATACCAACTCCAAAATGAAACATGAATCATTGCGCCTTCTTAGCCGTAGCAGGGACAGTCTGTGCTTTCCCCTTGACCTGTAGCACCGCCCCCGTGATGATCTCAGCAATAACCGTAACTGCCGTCGCGCACACGCTGTTCCAAACCTGAACGCTCACCGAGCCTTGCGGAGCACGCGGGAACGACAATACCCATTCCACAGGGTAAGGAAGCCAGCCGCCCGGGAGAGCAAAAACAGGGGTCTTGGAGTGTCGGAACTGGATGAAGATCTTGACGCCCGTCGTGCTGAGCCACCGGGCAGTCTTGATAAACCATTCGAACGAGGATTTCTTCGACGACAGTTCCTGGTCTGCACATCCAAAACATGTTAGTACAAGTCTAGGATCCAAGACTTGTAGAATCGAGGAGGTAGAAGAAACATACTCAGAGCCTCGTAATCGCTCAGCGCCTTGTCGTGTCGTCGGCGCAGTTTAGCCCACTTTGCGAATTCATCCTGCGAGCTGGTGTTGTTCATCTCCCGCTTGAGCTGGAGTACCTCGCGCTTCAATTTGCTTTGTTCCTGGGCGGTTTGGTGCAGCGATGTTGGGAGTTTCAGGTAGATGTTCCATATCTGCGGCCACTGTTAGATGGGCGTGCGTGCCTCATTGAGGGGAGGGGAACAGGCGTACCAAATTATCAATGGTTGTCGCGCCAATGGTGTTCACCAGAAAGATGACAACATGGAGCACCAATATTGTCCAAATGAGGGGAATCATGGTTGCGAGGCGTCAATCCAGTCGCTGGTCGGATTCGAGTGATGGTGTGTTTGTGGAGGTACGAAGCGAGAGCGAAGGAGAGCAAAGTTCCCACGGCCACACAGTTGCACCGCAGTATATACCACGCTATTGCAATAACTTGCAACGGCACAAGATCACAAATATGCTGGTAATAAGCAGCAACTGCTCCGGGCGAAGTTGAAAGCTGGCGACGAAGCTTGGGTCACGCAAAATGACGTTGTCGCGGTTGGCAGCGAACTGCCAGATCTTCGGCGGGCGGCGTTTCTGATCTCCGGCCGAGACCAGCGGGGAGCTCAACCACCACCATGCCATGCAACAGGTTCCTCAATGACAGCCAAATGTCCGCCGCCGACCAATGCTTTTCGAGATCTATCCCGCATATTTGCGAACAGAGGTGACCGCGTCCTTGAATTCGAGATCTTACTGCCGGGGTTTGGTCCCATACTTGAAGATGATAACGCGGTCGGAGTCGAAAAGAAGTACCTAGTACAGGCCTTTGTAACTGCGCGACAAGTATTTTTCGACAGTTTGAAGACGAATCATAATGATACCGGTGACGATACACTATCAGGAAGCAAGGTCCATGGCGGTGATGAAAGTGTTGCAGTTGCCTCCGAAATCATCCTCCTCTTCGATTGCGAACATCTGACGGCATGCAACTGGAGAAAGAAAAGGATAAATTCCCTATTCAATTCGGATAAGGAGGCCCTTATCCATGCCTTGAATATTGAACTCTCCTTAATGACAACGTTCCTTTGCTCCTCGCTCCATCGCCATACTAAATCGCCGACACTCTGGCAGCATCGTCGATGGGTTCAATCGCAGCTTATCCGATTGCGGGAGCCAGACTTCCATGGTGTCCAAGAAATTCTTCAAATTGAACTGTCCGTTGCCCTAAGAGCAGGGCAGCTGCATCCCCGAAACTACTACGCCTTTAGTTACATTCGACAAATGTACCGCACACTGTCTGAGTTAGGTCGAGAGGATAGCGAAGCATGGAGTGTTCAACTAGCACAGTCCATTGTCAAACCTACATTAGGCTGGTGCACTTTGCATCCAGGTGATATATCGGGCCTAATGTTCCTGCTTTATCTGCTAGATGCTGTTCCAGATGCCCCTCTGCGGCTTGAAACTGTCACCGCCGTAGTTCGTTATGCTCTGAATACCGACTGGGAACGTGAAAGCATTTGGACTTTCATCGACCTGGCTAACAGGAAATTCAACCTACTTGAATCTCTGGGAGATTCACCAGTATATCCTTGGAGTGTCTTGTCGGAGAGTCCACAGCAGGGCGAGGTTAAGGCCGGCCCGTCATGGAAGACATGGCTTGATAGGGCACGCATTCACTGGTCCCAAGGCCGACAAATCACACATGTACCACCTGCATGACAAAGTTAAACCCTAAGCCAATCTCCTGCTCTATCCAGCATATATACCATATCTAGTCTAATGAGAAAGACCGCTATAATTAAATCAAACGCTTCGGATCTTCATTAAACGCCTCGCTAACAAATCAAGCGTGGCTATCGTCAAAGCAATGCACATGCCTCAGCCTGGACTCCAGATCACCTCCAATTGTGAATACTTTGACCATCACAAATGACCCCCCAACAAGCCCTAATCTCTTATATATCCCCAAATCATATATATGTTCTGGAATACGTTTCCCAAGGAAGGATAGAACAAATATCCAAAAAATACCAAAACACCAATATAACAATCAGGCGCGCTCTCATCGCGAAACGAACGACTGGGAGGGTCAAAGTATCGGCTCGTCTATCCAAAAAGTTCGATCGGAGGAATCCAACGTCGTCTCAGGCACAAGGCAGGTGTCATTTCTTCTTCCCACCGAGGCCTTCAGCGGCTTTCTTCGCGTCGGCTATTGGTGAGAAAACGTCCGAGTTAGCAACAGACCATCATCTCTTGTCTTGGTGGTGGGAACAGCAGCGAATAATCAAGAGGAAAGTGACCCAGCAGTCTGGTTCAGTCGGTTCTTTGTTCTGTGACGCCAGGGGTCGAGAGGACGGGCGGGACAACAAAGGACGAGCTAATTCTTACCCTTTGCTTGCTTCTCGCGCATCTTAGCGGCGTCGTCTTCCTTCTTGCGAGCGAATGCGTTTCCAGACAATGTGTTACCGGATTTCTATATCAGAGGCAAGGAGAGGTTAACGAATGTCGTTATCTTGAAGGGTGAGCGAGGGAATTTCTCACCAGCTTGGCCTGTTTGTCAAGGTTCTTTTGACGGTCACGATCTCTTTGGTTGCCGCGAGTCATTTTCGCTGTGTCTTAATCAGATTTATATATATGATTTTATGATATCCTGCGATGAAAATGTTGGGCCTGGAATTCAGAGGTATTAGGAAATTTGCGCGGAGGAATCGCAAATGCCCTGGGCTTCAGCCGGTAATGTGGTCCAAGCGCACCAGATTCGAGCCGTATAAAACTACCGAAGCTAGGGACGAAAATTGGATAGTCCGGCCAACCAGGGCTCAATTCAGAGGCATGTCGAAGAGCCCACCAGCAAGAATTAATTAGTGCCATTATTGTATAGATTGCCCCAGATACTCGCATCTTGCGCTAAAGTTTTCCGAGCCTCGTACTATGCCATCGCCATCGAAGGGGATATTTCACACAAGTATCCAATCGTTTGGGGTCTTCGTACCCTTTTCCTCTTCCTCTTCAATTTCCAAAATCTTTTGTATTCCCGCTTCATCACCACACCACTCAGTCAACATGTGCAGGGACTGCAAGGTTCCGTCGTTGAAGGGCCCTAGGACCTTCTCTTCGCGGTGAGTGACCCAGGCCATCAACTCAATCGCTTCCGAGTTTCTGTTTTGCTCTTTATGGGTAAGTGCTATGGTATAGAGGCATCGCAATGTCAGTTCATGGTCGAGACCGAAAGCTTTGACGCTGCCACTCAAAGCTTCCTTTTCCAGCTTTTCCCCCATTTCGTATTCTTCCTTCTTTTTGTATACCTTGGCTAGCTGGAGCTTTCTATCCAATAGCTCATATATTGCGTCGCTTTGCTGCTCTCCGTGTTCAATCATCTGTAGCAATAAGTTTCCCGCATCGTCTAGTTTGTCTTGATCGAAATATATACTGGCTAGAATTGCCTTGCTAGCATATGTTTCTGGATGATCCAGACCTAGCACCTTTTCTCTCACGTTGCAGGTTTGGAGAGCTAATGTCTCTGCCTCCTCAAGCTTACCCTGCGCTTTGTATACCTCAGAAAGCATGATTGAGCTTTTGAGGGTGTATTGGTGTTCAACGCCAAAGTTCTTGGTCCTCCAACTCAACACATGTTGCGTTAACTGGGCTGCTTCTTCCACTCGGCATGAATCCAAATAGAGGGCCCCTAAGTTGGCCATCGCAGTGATTGTTTGGTCATCATCTTCGCCGTATTCTGATCTTGCAGCCTCAAGAACCTCTGTTCTTATCTTCTCGGCTTCCTCCATTCGTCCTCGGGTTTCGATTGTTGTAGCCAAATTCGACATGGAAGTCAATGTTAACCTCTCTCGAGGACCCAGGCTTTTTTTTCTTGCCTCAACAACAAACGAGTCGAGTTCCTCGGCTTCTGCCCATCTAGCCTGTTCATAATATGTCGCAGCCAGGCTAGCAATACTTTCCAATGTTTCGGGATGTTCAGACCCGAACTCCTTCTTTTTATCCTCAACAAGCTGAAGATCTATTTTCTCTGCTTCTTCGTGCCGTCCCTGCGACCAAAGATAAAAACTCACGCCTTCCAAAAGGTGATATCGCATGATCCTGGCCTCGTCGTCAACTTCTGGAATGATGGATAGAACTGATTGAGCGTGTGGAAGATAAGTTGCACAAATACCCCAATTCTCGAACGTCGCATCGGGGTACACCTCGTCGAGCAGTTTCATGGCCTGCATTGATTTCTCTTCATACCTCTCCCCGAGTATCAACCATTTCCGCAATACCAATTGCACCAGTCGATGGAAAGAGAAGTTTCCTTTTCCATCGGTGGCCACGATCAGAGAGAAGGCTTTCAGTATTCCGAGGGCTTTTGTCAAATCCAAAGGCCGTTTTATCCTGTGCTGGATGAGGCTTTTAGGAACATCATTTCGGTCAAGGAACGCGATGAGGTCAAGTATTTCGATGGCCTTGGGGTCCCTTTCCTTGATTTGGTCGATCGAGACTATCAATGTTGTAGCAACCGCGTTTGGGACTCCAGTGTCTCGTCCTAACGTTTCGAATGGCTCGCAAAGAAGATCCATGCTTGTCTCTTCGCTGTCGTTATATAGCTCTATATATTCGCTGATGCTCATCGAATTTTCTTGCATGAAAGCAGCAGCTTGGACTATGGCAAGTGGTAAGTGACCTAGCAAGTCTGCGAGTCCATCCATTTCACACTCTTCAAGAACATGGTCTGTCACATTGTTCTTGATGAGGTTCTTTGACTCTTCGCTGGACATAGGCTTGACTTCTATAACAGCGTTCGCTACACCCTTGGTGAACTTAACTCCAGCCGCCCTATTCCGCGTTGTGACGAGAATAGCCCCATGCTTGCTTTCGGGTAGGAACTCTAGGATTGATTGATTCGCATCAGTTTGCTTACCCTTCTTGCTGGGCTCGAAAAGGCATGTTTCGTCGGCATTATCAATGATCAATATCCAGTTATCGTGCTCCCTCTCAAGCCATTCTTTAGCACATATAAGCTTATCGCATTTGGTGTCTGGGTCCGACGAGACGTGCTCGTCAAAGATCGCATTATAACCTTCGCGAAAGCGATCAATGCTACTGGCGCTGACCCAGAATACCGATAGCTGGGATTCGGTCCAGATTTGGTGAGCAAATTCTATAGCAATTTGAGATTTCCTGGGCAGTTCAGTATGATGTCTAGAAGCATCCACGAAGTTAGGCTTACCCTACACCTCCTAGGCCGAAGAGTGCAACTCTCGGGCTCGTGCCGATGGGCACAATCATATCCTTAAGCTGGTTCAGGATAGGCCCACGATCAACAAACCCTGGGTTCCGCGCGAACGGGATCATACCTAACATAACCATGAGTATCGACTCTAAGGGATGTTATCAAACCAACCTACATATTTTAGATTCGGGATTCTCGCCAGCCAGGGTTGATCCCACCAAAGTTGATCCGGCGCTGGAATCCCCAAACAGTGACACCTCGTCGCACTCTCTCATCGCTATAGCTGCAAACCTAGTAATGAGCCCGGAGACATGTATATACCTATCATCCTCTTTGCTTCGATATCGACAGATACTTTCGTGGTCTCCAGCTAAAGCTACTGTTATCTCGCGTGAGTCAGGGAGACCAAATGTTGCGGACTTCTTCTCGACAATCTGGATGGCCAAAGCAGTTAGGGAGATGACGGGCTTCTGTCGGGCTTCCATGAGTAACTCACAATTCCGAGACTTCTCAAAGGCAAAGTCTCATAGAAATTTATATATTTATAATCTTCTAATAACTGTTCGAAATTTGCTGAAAGCTCATTTGCATACAGGTCGTTTTCTTTCAAGGCGTTGATAAAGGTATTGTTCTGGGTTCTGAGAAATGCCCTCACAGCTTTTGCCACAGTCTCCCCTATCTTTGCCAGATGGCTTCCACGATGAGGGGTACCAAAAAAGGCTATACCATAAGTTGCTGTTGGAATGGAGCTGTAGGTGCGTCCAAGTTTGGCTTGTACCAGTGCCTGGAGATGTCAAAACTGGCCTCTATATGCAAAACCTTAGGTAATATACCTCCTTGACTACTATACCACCCAGACTATGAGCAATAAAAATGATAGGTCGGAGCTCACAGCCCTATTATCCTGTGATGAGATTCCATGAATGTACAGTAAGCATGACTACGCACCTGTCTCTCAATCCACAGCCTGCTAAGTAAATTCTGCGCTTGTTCGCGTACTCCGGCAGAAGAAGATTGAATACTGACACTGGCATTATACCCGAAGAGTAGTATTCTAGCCTGAGGTAGCTGGCTGGGGAGAAAATCCCTCAGCCATAGCTTCCCATCCAGCTCCCACGTCCTCTCGGCATGGCGTTCCTTGTTTTTGGGATTGAGCCCATGGATTGCGATAATACTATGTGAAATATGAGCATATCTGTTGCTTGAGCACGACCAAGACAAAATCTTACTCGATTTTGGGACTCTTTCCTGGCACAAGTGTGCGCAAAAATGTATCAACTTGCGGTATATCAGTCTGGAGTGCGTTAGTATAGTTTAACTCGAATTTTTCTATGATAGTTTCTGGACGTACCATAGCAACTGATGGTATAAACCCTTATCGTAGGCATTCTTGGGCCGCCGGGCATGCGAAGTCGCCTTCCCATATTTAAGAATCTCCACTCCGATTACTTTCTTTAGTGTACATTACCCGGAGATGGAAACGCCCAATTGTTGGAGTAGTTTCCAGGCGGCTGCATGCATCAACTGATCGGGCAGACAGCAGAAGCGCCTTGCTGTGGGGGCTGTTCATGCCGCATGACAGCGAATGATGGCGATATTTGGCCCCGAGTTCAATTCCGTCCAGAGAAGGTATCAAATAAAACTTCAGTTCGATAATATCTTCAAACTAAATTGTCGACCAAGTCGTTTGGATGTAATAGTGCAAGCCCCATTATACCTCTCAACAGAGCTTGGTCAACTGCGAAAACAAGTGAAGGACCCTGGATGTTAGTGGAGAACCTAAGCGCTCATATTAGCCTATGGTGTCCATAATTCTAAAATAGTTGACAAATTAGATGTGATATGGAGAAAGACCGACGGGGGCGAGAGTGAGAAGAAGGAAGATGGAGGAAGCGAGGGCCAATCGTTTGGCGCTGAGTTTCAGTCGCCAGGACATCTCGTCCTCTCAACCACTCCATCCTCCTCTCCAACATCCAAGCTGCAACAAATCCATCTCAACGGTGCCATTTTCTGCATGACTAGGAAAGATGTGACTCTATTCATTATTGTTGGAAGGTTCTCGTAAGGATGAATTTCCTTGATCATAGCTCCTCGAGCACTCGGCGCCAAAAGAAAGAAACACAAGGAGCCCCTTGGCGCTAAAATGAATGGACACCAATGGACTCGCATTCTCAATGGGCCCTTCATTGTGTTTCAGGAACCTATTCAGCCCATTGTATCTCCCACCGCTATATTCGTGTCTTGATTCAACGCGCCTGCTTCACAATGGGGCGCTTGAGTATCAGGTTGAATTAATAGCGCCCACCTGCCCAGTCGCCATGGACTGCCGCCTGGCTGTCCCTCTTTCTCTCTTGACGCCTTCGCAAGGCTCTGTGGTTCTTTCTCTTCTTAATTTTCCCCTTCAGCTTGTTCGATACCAAGTTTTGCTGCTGGCCAGCACCTTGAGCCTCTCTTTCCTTCCATTTCATTTCTTCTACTCAGTTGGGAGCAGGGATTTCCTGAGAACAAACCCAGATACCGTTATAGTTCGCGTTATAAAACTAATAGTTGCATTTCTTTTCCTCGTTTTCCTATAAAGCACAGCCGCAACCATGATGGCCTCGTTGAAAGAGTCACTGGCTGGTCCAGGATACGTGATCCTCAACGCACTTCGGGTTATAAACATCATCGTCTTCCTTGATATGATCGCAGCCCATGCGGTAATGCTGGTCAAGATTGACCTTCTGACCAGTTTCTTCTTTTTCGAAGCTGTTGGACATGCCATTGCAATTGTCGTCAGCAGTGAGTGCTTTCTATTTCAAACCCTGCATTCCGTGGCGGGCATGCTAACAGAGATCAGTTTTCCTCATAGTATCAGAACTTCCATTCTTCCGCGGGTTCTTCGACCGTCACTGGCCATCCCTCGGCGAAGATTCTGGATTTATCACACTAGCGTTTGCAATGCTGATACTTGGAATTGGAGCATTGGGCGACCTCAATACAAAGGCTACAAGCCAAGAAGAGCTTGGGCTCACATTTTGGAGAATCATCATATCAGCAGGAATACTGGCTCTCGTTGTCAGTGCCTTGAATGTTGTTGCGGTAAGACTTATTTCGCCTACACTTTGATTTACACTAATTGGCATACAAGAACTTTGCTTTTGCAGACCGCGATATCGGTGTTAGTGCACGCCACGTCCGTGTCTACGGAGCCGTTGCTCCGCATAAGGTTGCCTCGCGAACATGCAGTCAACGATCATTCCGCCTCAGCACTAAGCGTGAAGACACATTGCCTTCGTACAGTACAACAAGCCCTCCGCTCCGCCGCTCCTCAACGGCAGCGAGCATGCCGCGCCTCCCCGTCAAAATTTCTCCACCACTCAACCCGATGCGCATGCCCAGTGCAACTGAATATGCACCATCGTCAAAGTACTCCCGGGATTCATCGGGGGTCACTATGCCGGATCTCGCTCACCATCCGGCTATGCAACATCCCAACCAAATCTAATTGAGGGGTTTAACAATGCAACCCAACCGAGTCTTCTACAACTACCGAAGCTGAGAGAAGTAAAATAAAAAAGCGGCACTGGCCTATCAGTTATATTAGCGATGACAGTATTATTTTACGGGTTTTCGTTTATTTCGTTGCATGTTATTGTCTCCAGATATCCCTTTTTATTGCGGTTCTTGTTTCTTTTCCTTTGTTTTCTTTCTTTTTTTATACTGCATAACTTGTAGCAAAGTGACATGAAAGCATTCTCTTCTCGGGTCTCTTGTTCAGAAATATGGAAGGCCGATGTGTCATAGCTATCTCACAGAAACAGTAATGACCTCTCGGCTCCAATCAGGCCTAACATATAATTGTAATAGTACCATTAATTCACATGCTCCACACAAGCCCCATCGGACTTGGGCCCAGTAAGATGTGCTTCCTTTGCCCGTTTCTGAACTTCCTCGTCCTCGCGCTGGATGTATTTGAGCGGGCGCCTGGCGGAGGTGACGTCTGAATCTCCGACAACGATCAACGGTGGGTTGGAACGGTAATACGCGTCTATGTCTTCTAGTGTGCGGTTTGCTTTGGTGATGTCAGTATCTTTATGTATAAATGAACTCGGAATGAGCCTATAAGGTGTGTGGATTGTAGTCGGATTAAAAATAAACTGGGACGTAGGGCAAACATGATTTTGGTACGTACCAGTTTCAGGATAGAAAAAGTATATAATCGGCAAGAAGATTGCGTTCAAGACAGTCCAGACGATCCAGAACTTCCAGCCGATATTCTGGATGCCAATTGGAGTGATTTCGACAATGGCGAAGTTTGTTATCCTTTGCGTAGTAGAGATATTGATTAGACTTATTCAGTGGGCAGAAGGTCCTTCTGGGTGAGCTGGATAGATGACGTACCAATTCGTCGCCGTTGCAACGGCTGCTCCTTTAGTTCTCATGGGCAATGAGTTGATCTCTGTTGGGTATAGCCAAGGGACACCGAGCATTCCCATTCCGAAGGCGACGTGGTAGAGGAAGAAGAAGGCTACTGAGGCGGTGCCGTATATGCTATCCGTTTTTGCGAAGCGGAGTAGGATTGTTATGACGAGGAATGAGAGGAATTGGCCTGATCCGGAGAGGAGCATTAGGCCTCGACGACCGAAGCGTTCGATAATGGTTACGGCGACGCAGGAGAATATGAAGTATGATGTTGCGTTGCAGGCTGTTAGGAGGCGAGCCATGGTGTTTGAGAGACCGACGGAGTTCATTAGAACGGTGGGTAAATAGTAGGACATGATGTTGATGCCTTGAAGACATTACTTGTTAGTGGGTTTCCGTGAAATCTAGTAGGATGGAGGATGGGTATCCCGTTATAAACAAACCTTGAAACTGCTGGATCGCTTGTGTACTGGCCCCTAGCACCAACCGGCGAAGTGTCTTTGTGCTATCCGTCTTGCTTCGGCGTACGAGGTCCCGCCAGCGGACAGCGTTGTCTCTTTCGTATGCAATACTGTATTTAATTTCGTCGTATTGGGTTCGAATATACGGGTCGTCGAGGTCCATGGCTTCGATACATGCAAGTACCTCAATGGCTTCATCGTCATGGCCGTGGGATAGGAGCCATCTAGATTGGCATTGCGTTAGATCATTTTCTTCTTCTCTGTGGCGTGTAAAACCAACCTTGGGGATTCTGGAAGCCATGGGATGGTTGCAAATAGGACGATAATAAAGAAAAGCTGCAAGGCGAGAGGCAAACGCCACGCAATAGCTCCCCCTTGGAAAGATAGACCGTAGTTGATCCAGTTAACAATGCAGTAACCACCAACGTTGAGCCCCAGTTCGAGGATAACGAGTTTCCCTCTCCATTTTGCTTGTGCAGTTTCTGTTTGCCAGACTGGTGCCGTTGCGGTGCTAAGACCATTGCCGATGCTGCAGCTGTTGTTAGTCTTCGTGTGTATGTAGAGATGTCTTTGGATAGACTTGCCCTAGCACCACTCGACCCACGAACATCTGGGCCAAACTGTAAGATGACGCCTTGAGAATTGTGCCAATAGCCATGATAAAACTTCCAAGGAGAATGGTTTTCTTTCGTCCTAGCCTTTCACCCGCTGTGAAGGCAAGCATGGCACCGAGGAAACAGCCGACATCGTAGATAGCGGTGACCGTAGATAGGATTTTCGTCTTTGTAGGCCCAACGAGGTCATGAATCTCGAGGAAGTCCGGTGTGACGACCACGCCGCCTGTGGAAACGTCAGTTATTTCATTTTGGGGTTATAAAGGATAGTATCAAACGTACTGAAGACGCCTTGGTCGTATCCAAACAAAGTCATGTCAGTCGCGCAAGCCAGCTGCACTCACAGCCCCATCAGCAACCCCCTTCGTGAAACCATGTCGTCAGGAGCACAACTCACCGACACCCAAAATGTCAGCCATCCTCCAGTAAACCCCATGTAAGGCTTTTTCGTCCACGCCATGATGCAGATATGAAGAGATAGGTATAGATTCGACAGCTCAGGTATGTGAGAAGCCACGCTCCAGAAGACAAGGCCGATCTGGGCATCCGGGGTCGGCCATTATATAGAGCCACCATAGTGACAGCACTACACCTCAATCTGTATGACCCCAGACCACGTTGGTCCCACTCTGCTAAGCCCCAGACGGGGTTGGCAGGAGAGTCCTCGTCCTGGCTATGAGCGAATTCTTCGTCGACTCTCTTGCCTCCTAAACTTTGACTCGGTTCCGTGGTCGTCACCTAGTTACCGGAAGAAGAGGAGCTATGTTTAGTGCCAAGCAGGAGATGGCCATTATTGGAGCCCGAGTACTCCGGAATATTCCTATATTGGAATGGTCTTGCCATCATCCACCCCTGATCCATTCCAACCTCATCCGGGCCAATCACGGAGAAACGACCGCAGAATAGTATTTATATCCCCGCTTCCCCGTCGTATGCTGTATTCGGGGGTGCTCCGTTTTGTCGGATTGCCGATACTTGTCTTCTGCTGCATTTAGGGTGGAGTTTAAGAGTGCAAATGTGGCCGAGAGCGAGCCTCTTGGTCAAAGTGAGAGAAGCAACGCATAATCCAGTTTAGGCCTAGTGTTGACCCGTAATGTTGGCTAGCGCGAGCACCTTTAGATGGCTGCTCCGTTCGTCTCTTTGGTTTGTTTTCCAACTACAACAACTCACACAGCCGGTCATACTGAGCAGGCGTACTGATGGTATTGGAGCAACATATGTTATAATTCAAGCTTTATTTTCCTTATATGACACTTTTATCTATTCATCTATAATCTGTACCTTAATAGCTCGGGCAGCAGGGTTGCTAGCGGTAGCAAATGCCTCAAGTCCCTCCTCCAGCTTGTATCGGTGTGACACCAATGGCTTCAGATCGATGAGCCCGGCATTTACCAAGGCAATTGACTTGGGATAGATGTCATGGTAGCGGTACTGGAACCGCAGATCGATCTCCTTGGCCGACATGTGCATGAAGGGGATATTTTGGAAATCCTTTCCGACACCAATGACGAAAACCATACCTCCGAAACGAGTGGCCTAGAGATGAGTCGCGTTAGTTCATTCGGAGATGCACCCGTCATACTAATGGGGCTAACTTACGTATATTCCTGCATGGACACTGCTCTCCACACCGGTACATTCAAGGACCAGCTTCGCCTCCTGTCCGAGCTCCTTGACAATACGAGCACCTAGATCTTGTGAGGTTTCCTGCTTCTGGACTAGAATAGGTTGTACACGGGGCACGAGCTCCTTTGCCTTGGCAAGACGGTTCTCGTCAATATCTGTGATAACAATCGGCGCCGCACCCGCTGCGTTGGCCGCCAGCAGGGTGACAAGCCCAATGGGGCCAGCACCGCAAATGACAAGAGGATCGGCCAGGCGAAGTCCTGAGCGATCAATACCGGCCAGTGCAACAGTGAGAGGCTCAAGGAGAGCTCCTTCCTCGAAGGATACGTGGTCGGGGAGATGATGAAGCCAAGCCTCTGGATGAGCGTGGTACCTTCTCAGGGTACCATGGTGGGGAGGTGTAGAGAAGAAGACCACATCCGGGCAAGCGTGGTACTTGCCCGTACGACAGAAGTCGCAAGTCGGCTTTGAGCAGGGAACGCCACATTCCATAGCTACCCGATCGCCTGTTTCGCGCGTTAGCAGCGAGCCTAAATGAAGCCGAAGGATGCGCTCTTACCGGGCTTGAAGCGGGTTACCGCGTCACCGACCTGCAGGACGATACCGGCACTTTCATGCCCCAGGCCGTTGTCTCCCGTCACAATCATGGGGCCGATCCGGCCGTGCTTCCAGAAATGAACATCAGATCCGCAGATGCCTGTTGCGCGGACGTGGACTAGACACTCATCCGCACCAAGCTTAGGCACTTCACAGTCAGCCACCCGGAGGTCGTGGGAAGGGCTTGTGTGAATGGCAATGTTCTGGGGCTTTTTTTGAAAAACGTCCATGGTGACGACGTGATGTGATGTAATGTGAGTATGATAAGTGTTGTTACATGATGCTTGTAGTGCCCGCGGAGTATATATAGCGAGGCACCGTCCTGATTACGTGTTTAGCGAGGGGTGAACAATTCTACGGGGCCACCCCCGAGTTCCAATCACTCATCAATTGGCGGGTTACAGATAGGAACGTGGCGAGGGGCACTCGGGGCCAGCTCCAGTATGCACCATTGGCAGTGGATTTCGGAGATTTTACCGCAGTGCATGGCTGAAACGGATTCTGGCAAGAGATTCGAGACGCCGAGAGGGAAAACCAGGCAGCTCGAGGCAACTTATGCAACCAGAATTCCAGAGATACCCCACGTTTCTCCAGTGCAACGACGGTCTAAACACTCGACCCGCTTTTCAATGGGTTCTCTGGAGTCACAGGGACGCATGTGCTGGCAGCCCCGGAGATAGCTCCGAGTGTGGCGGCGGGATCCCGACTTGCACCAGGCCCGAGAGGGTCCCGGTGGATACAGTGAAGTCACTTCGGAGTCGAAATTGATGGCTCTCGGGGCCCGGCTCTTCCATTGCTGGGGTTAAATACCGGAATACAGCATGACACAGATGAGGGGGGCATCGTCGCCACAATCAGAAAACCACCATGTCGTTAGAGGGCAAGATTGCTATTGTTACTGGGGGAGCCAGAGGAATCGGAGCAGGGATTGTTCGTAGCTTAAGCAAGCAAGGCGCAAAAGTAAGTACACAAGCCTCTTCTTTGCCTGTATCTCCTTGATTTGGTGCTTACCGACATAGGTCGCTTTCAACTATGTCTCACCTTCGTCCAAAACCGCTGCCGACAGCCTCGTTGAAGAGCTTCGCGCCAATAACAAGGACTCTGTTGCAATCCAAGCAAATGTAACAGATGTGTCAGCGCCAGATACCATTATCAAAGCCACACTGGCTGCATTCAAGACAGACTATATCGACATCCTGGTCAATAACGCCGGAGCAGGCGACAACAGACCGCTTGAAGAAGTAACACTAGAAATCTACTCACACCTCATGGATGTGAATGTTAAGGCAGTGGTATTCATGACACAGGCCGTGCTTCCATTTATCAGTCGCGGTGGACGTATTGTCAACTTGTCGTCTATCTCAGCAAGAGGCGGATATCCCACACAATCAGTTTACGCAGCGAGCAAAGCTGCTGTCGAGGGATTAACGAGAGTCTGGGCGACGGAGCTCGGGCATAAATATGGCGTGACGGTCAACGCTGTGAACCCGGGCCCTGTTGACACTGATATGTATCAGGCCGCTGGCCCGGTGCACTTGGCTCGAATGGAGGAGGAGAACAAGAAGGTACCTGCAGGACAACGGTGTGGTACTATAGAGGATATTGGTGATATTGTTACATTCCTCTCCGAGGAGCGGTCTCGATGGGTTACTGGGGATGTTATCTGTGCAAACGGTGGTATGTTATATACATAGACCACACTAGACATTTGACTCCTTGATATTAGACCACGATCAATTGCGATGATTCTCATGCCACGATAATTAATCCTCGACCCCTAAATTTACAACAGCCAACCGCCGTGAACAAGAGCTGTGCTGTAATCAGTCATGTAGCAGTAAGTTTTCATGACTTGAGTCCAATCTCCCTTTCCTCGGGGTTCGCCCGGTACCACCCCGAGCCGTGTGGACTATACAGCTAAGCAGCTCGGTGATAGCTCCGCCCAATAGCTTCACTCTCATTATGTGTGCCCAGTCTCACAAGGTCCCGCCTTTTTTTTGTTTCTTTTGTCAATCCGAAGTTTGCAAATTCTATGCTTTTGCTATCTCAAGCTTCATGCTCAGCGATTACTGCAGTGCGGCCTTCAACAACCCCACGATTTGTTTAATCTTCACCAGATCACCAGCAGGAGCTCGATCTGACAAATGCAGAACGGAATCAGTGCTTCGTCCATTATTCCCGCTCGCTCATTTGTTTTCGGCCTTCCCTTGACTTCACTCGCCATCTCCTCCAACCGTCGAACGGTATCCCTGCGGTCTGCCTAACATGGGAAAACCAGAAACACATGCCTTGAAACAATCGAACCTCGACCCGTCCGCACCGAAGAATCTAAAGAAACCCAAAAAGCGCACACGTAGTCGAATCGCCTGCGACTGGTGCCACTCCAATCATGCGCGATGCGATCGAGAATTCCCGTGTTCAAGGTGCCTTAGCAAAGGTACTCCTTGTGAATTTACCAGGCTGCGTCGCAAGCGAGGACGTCACGCAAAGATCGATGTTGTGGAAACAGGTGAACGTGATGTGTTAAACACTGCGCCAAATGCCGCTGTTTCGTCTCCAGGCGATCAATCAACAGCCTCGTCGACAATTTCCAGTTTGCAGACACCAAATGCTCCTCAACAAGGTTTATACTCGGCACATGGTTTGACGGTTATCAGTCCAGGTGCTGAGGAACTGCCATCGTTCGATGGTATCCCGTGGGGTTTTCAGGGAATTGAAGAAAAGGAAGATGAAATTGAGGACTTAATGTTGGGACAGGATTCACGTTCCAATAATTTCCCCATAAGAACAGGTTTGGATGAGAGTTCATTCTCCTTGGGGCCCCCAACCGTTGGAGATTTCACTGAGAATGAACCTTATGCGCTTCCTGGATTAGACTCTGGGATTGCTTCTAGATCTCAGGATGTTATACCGTCTCTAAGGTACCCCGTTTTACAACCCTTAATGCCGTTCATCAAGACGGAACTCTCCCCTGACCTGGCATGTGGCCTTCTCGACCTCTACTTCGCCAGTGCTTTCCCAACGCATATGCACCCCCTTTGCAAGCATATACAATGCTTCGTATTGAGGAAATCCTCTTTCCTGACTGAAAGGAATTACCGCCTTACTAGTCCCGCTCTATTGGCCAGTATGCTATGGGTGGCTGCGTCGGACGATCATGCACTCTCCCTACCTATAACAGCTCATTATCGAAAGGAGCTCTGCCAGTTCCTCGGTTCGCTCACTGTTAAGCTATTGAAACCTGATACAGCTACTAATAAGCCATCTCTACCTATGAGTGAGCCAAGAAACTTCGAGACCATGTTCTGCCCTCCAACGCCTGGTGATGGTACACAGAGCTTTAGACACCCTGTCGGTTCTCTGGACGATGTGATTACGTATATACATATTGCCTCTATTACTTCATCAAGTGAAAAGAGCGCACTCAGCCTGAGATGGTCAGTATTTGGCACATTGCAATCAAGTTTCACAAGCTGATGGACGGTCTAGGTGGTATGCAGCTTTTACACTCGCACGGGAGCAGAAGTTGAACAGAGAAATAGAGACGACATCGAATTCTGATGGTCATGCCTTGTCCTTCTCGTATATGAGCACATCCTTCGACCTTTCGGTCTCAACCCAGAAACCTCTAGGCTGCCTGTGTTTTCGAAGTCACGGCTCCGCAATCCAACTCACGGAAGAACAGCGCGAAGAGCGTCGCAGGGTTTGGTGGTTACTGTACATGACGGACCGTCATTTAGCATTGTGCCACAGTCGACCTCTGATGCTTCTGGATTCCGAGAGCAAGGATCTTCTTCTCCCCCTCGACGAAGAAGCATGGCAGGCGGGAGAAATACACAGCAACAGCACACACTTTGCTGGTCCTCATTGCATGATATCAGGATCTAAGAATATGCGACGCATATTTCCTGACTTCACATGCCGTGATACATCGATCTTCGGGTTTTTCCTACCCCTGATGACTATCATGGGTCAAATAATTGATCTCAATCATATTAAGAACCATCCTATGCTTGGACCGGAAGCCCTCCGGCAGGACGGATGGGAGGGTCAACTCCATGAAGTCCTTCGCCAGCTTGATCTATACGAAGCCAGTATCGCCTCCTTTATCACGAGCGCCCTTGACCTCAAAGCATCGCCAGGATCGGCAACGACCCCCAACACGACAGAGCGGTCGGAAACCCAGGCATACTTCTGGCTCATACAAACAGTCACCTCCTATGCGTCATATTACATTGATGTACTTCATATTCTCCAGGATGGTAAGTGGGATCCAGTTTCACTCACGCAGGATAAAAGCTTCTGGGATTCCTCGCCAAACTTTGCATCTGCGATACCACATGCCCTTAAAGCAGCCGACTCGGTCAGACAAATCCTGAAATTTGACCCCGACGTCAGCTTCATGCCGAACTTCTTCGGGATCCAACTACTTCAAGGCGGCTTCTACTTCCTCCTTATTCTTGAAAGATTACAGGATAAGGCAGGGGAGCCGTTCTTGAGTGCTTGTGAGGTTATGATTCGGGCCACCGAGTCCTGCATTGTTACGCTGGATACTGGGTTTCAGAGACACTTCTGCCAGATCATGCGGAGCACTTTGGCACAGGCCCGCGGGCGCCCTGCCATCCATTACGAAATTAAACAGCGACGAAGGGCCATCTCGGCTCTATACCAGTGGACTGGGGCAGGCACCGGGTTGGCCGTCTAATTCTATGGTGACCTTACCATGGGATTTCACATGAGCAATTGCCAAGGACAGGCGTATTTCACAGCTCATTGAAAAATCCGAGTATACGTTTGGAAATAAAAAAAGTTCAGCGCTCCAGAGAAAGATCCCTAACTGGACACCGGACGGACAACTGAGGATGAGGCGGGGTGGCGGCTGTTCATACTTCGGCCACTCACCGAGCGCTGGTCCACTTCTCGGAGAAAGCGCCGCCATTGGAGGACCCGAGTCATCGTCGACGAGCACTTGTCGCCAGCTTCCAAAGATGCAATCTATTTTTCGAAGATCGGGTTTTTGGTCAACTCTGGGAGGTACCCAAGGGAAATTTCAAACACCCGTATCTTGAGACTGGACAAAGGCTTTTCCCTACGCGCGAAATCTGTCTGAGACACCGAGAATACTCTGTGTGGTTGAAGGCGCAAGGTTGACGGCGAGTGTGGAGCAATGATGGGGAGAGAGCACCAACGTCCTCCAGATTTGCAACCTTGATTCCCCCAACTTCACCTAACTTGATGGTATTTCTCCATCATGGAATCAGCAGCTCGGTCTCGGCATATTCTGCGCAAGACTTTTGCCTGCGATGAATGTAAGCGGCGCAAGATCCGCTGCTCCGGCGATGAAAACTGCATGAATTGCATGCGGGACGCAAAGTCATGCCGATACTCATCACCGTCACATCAGCTGTCAAAGCTGCAAAGGTATTTTGCTTGCCAATTTGCTTGTGTGCTTTGTAGGAGACGTACAACGCGCTAACACGTTTCTATCCAGGCGGCTTCAGGAGAGTGAGCGTTTGGTGCATGACATGGAGAAGGCCTGGGCAGCCTATCTACCATCTGTTGACCTCCAGGAGGCGCTTCGCACCGTCCGTCTACATGACGACTCGACCCCGGTGGCACCGAAGAAGGTCAAGCACCACCATGATCTGACGCATTCCACTGAGCAGCCACCGACCAGCGTGGCCGAGCACAGCAATGCGGAAGACTACGAGTTTGACGAATCACAAGATTTCGATAACTCGACAGATGGCATGGGCTTCTTGACAATAGATCCCCATAAAGCCGGCTATACGGGTCCACAGTCCGGAGTGGCTGCGTTGAAATTCCTGCAGTCGCTTCCTCTCTATATCCCTCTAAGCAGCTTTATCCCAGCTTCGTCTCTGGACGACGATGATATCTCCGATTTTGCTCTGCCCAGAAAGCAATCAGAAGTCGCCCGCTATCTTGATGATTATTTTACGTTCTATCACCCCGCATATCCAATCCTACATGAAGGAACGTTTCGTGCACGGGTATCGGGTAAGTCTCAGATGGAGAGGTCTGCAGTAAACGAAGTCTAATTGTCGTTAGGTGCGTTGGCTAAGCCTCACGATGGCTCATGGCCGTTGTTATATAACATTGTTCTTGCGATAGGCGCGTTTGCCGGTGACTCGAATGGGACGAAAATGGACATAGTATTTTTCAAAGAAGCACGAAAATACCTGTCGATGGATGTTTTGGAGAAAGGGTCCCTTAGCTACGTCCAGGGAATTGTTCTGATGGCCAATTATTTGCAGAAGCGGAACAAGCCTAATGCTGCCTTTATCTTAGTCGGTATTGGCTTCAGTATGGCTCTCGCGATTGGCTTGCATCGGGAGTTCGGGATGCCCAGCACGTCACCATTCACCATGGAAGTTCGACGACGGGTATGGTGGACACTCTTCATTTTCGTCTCTGGTGTTCAGCTTATTTTAGGCCGCCCGGCCGTCTCGCTCGTCGGTGTCAATGTTCGTCTCCCAGCCAATGTAGACGATCACGATCTCGCTGTGGATATGGAAGAGCTCCCGGAGAGTCAAACGGGGCCAACAGTTACCTCTTGTCTCATCGCACAAGTCAAGCTAGCCAAGATTGCCAACGCGATCCAAGTCGAGCTCTTAACCCACCATCTCCCCACTTCGAGCAAAGCTCAGGATCTGGAAAACCGCATTTCTTCCTGGCACAATGAGCTTCCTCCTCATTTCAACACGGACGTCTACCTCGAACCCCGGTTCGACATTCCAAGGCAGGTCGTCCTCTGGAGATCATACCACCTACGGATTGTCATAAACCGACCTTTCCTATTTCAGAATATCACGTCTAAATCTGAACTCGACACATCCATTAGTCCAATTGCTTCCTGCCTCGACGCTGCAGACATGTGCGTTACGTCGATATGCGGGTTCCTCGAGTCGACGGACAACCGGCAACGAGGGCTAACCTGGTACGCGACGTGTTGGCTTCTAACAGCAAGCTTCGTCCAGGCAACATGCTACGTGTATGGGCCGGCGCATCCTCTGGCGGCTTCCTGGAGGTGTCATATACAACGAGCGGTGGACTGTCTAGGGAGCCTAGGGTCATCTCATGACATGGCTCTCCGCGCGAGAGTTGTCCTCCAAAAGGTTCTGGGTAAGCTATATCCAGTCCTACACTAATAGGTAACTTCGACGGCTAACACCTTGGTTTCATACAGAGCACGGTCATGAAAGAACATCCCCCGGCAGTTTCGATCCATTCTCGTTGACGCAGATGACCGGACCTCTTCGCCCGCCATGGTCGCCATCCGCTTGGGGTGAGAACCCAACTATGTACAATCCGTTTGGCCAAAATCTGGGAGGCAATTTCCGATACGCGCAGGGGTCACTGGGGGCGGAGTTCTTGGACGCTGCTGGTGGATTGATGATTCAAAATTTATTTGGCGGTTCAGAGGGGCCGCAGAACACCTCTTGGACGCCGGGTTAATATTTTTAAAGCACATATTTTAAGGATACCAAAATGTATAGATGGAGCTGGTGTCTTGCTTTCAAATGTACATATAGTTGATGGTATACACGTGATGGACTCTGTGTCTTTGTTCACGAGAACTTAGCCACGTGCAACAAATAAGCCTAGTAAAAGAAAAAACGAAACGAGTATCTTCCTTGGCCTCTCTTTTTTTTTACCATCAGGTTCATCACGTTGTTCCCCTGGCAGTACTCCAGTTCCGAATACCGACCCGAATAGAATCCGCTAAGCGCTTCTTGGCGCTATCGAACTATCTCCGACAGTTGATGCCAACTAATCTTCCTAAGAACAACCAACTCTACCGAGTCGAGCACCAAAAGATCGAGGAAGATGGTCGATTTGAACGTTTCTTGGGGCACGTAAGTCTACTCAATTATTCTCTCTCCCTCTCTGCATCTCGGAGAACCGCGGGTATTAATCGCATACAGAATCAAGAGCCTCGCGCTCATCTTCGCCCCGATTGTCCTCCCACGAATCCTCAACTTCGTTCGCTATATCAAAGTCGCTCTAACGCAGCGGCCAAATCCTCGACCTCTCACTCTCGCTCCTTCTCGGGCTCTCAACATTCTCTTTTTCTCGATCCTTGTCTTCCTCTTCCTTACCCACCCTTCAAGCCCGCTCGCCCCGAGCCCGAGTATTTTCTCTCTTACGCGCTCCCGAATTAATACGCCAGTAGACGCAGTATTTTCAAGGCTGGCGCGTCTGCGGGATGGCGGTGTCCTTACGGAGGCGGACAAGCTGCTCAGGTCGAAGCTTGTATCGAAGGAGGCGCGGAAGATCTATTTACGATACGGCGAGAAAGCACTGACGCAGTGCCAATTCTGCAAGCTCGACAACCCAAACACCTACGCCCTATTCTATTATCCGCTCAACTCGATGGTCCTGCACCTCGTCCACATGGCCGTTGTAGGGATTGCAACCTCCGCTTCGTTCGCCGGAAGAGACGCATCTAGGTGGCGCACGAAGTTTACAATTGCGGGATTGTTCCTGGCCATTGCTGATCTCTATGTTGTGTTCATGTATGACCCCATCAAATCCGGCCCTCAAGCCGTGCGGGATGGAATCGCGGTTCCGCCCGCTGTCTTTCAGAAGATGGCTGTGTTGCGGCCGCTGGCGCTTGCCTGCTTTGATGTTGTCCTGGCGGGTTTCATCTACGTAACTGCTACAAATCGATGGTTCTTTACGCCGCCGAGCCAGGCGGATGAGGTGGATAAGATTGTGTCGGCGTCTTTGGCATCGCTCACCGGGACAAGCACGAAGTTACATGTTGCGAGTGTGACAAAGAATGCGGTGGTTCGAGATAGAGTGCTGAAGGACCGCGATGATTCATACTGGCAGACGGTAGTTGCGAACGGAGAAGGTGCCCCGGGAGCACCATCGGGAGTATGGGAGGAAGAAGAGGTGGTGCGGGCAATGTCTCGGGCGATGGCGGGACAGGGAGGAGTTGATCTGGCCAAGCTGGGAGTCAGTGCAGCGGAGTACGTGAATGGAGCGACAGCGGGGTTGGAACGGGAGAGCTCATAGACTACTAGACAGATAGAACATGCGATTTTTTAGGGTACACATGAGATATCCAGCAAGGGTCAGACGACTGAAGATCGTACATTAGCTTCCGGACGAAAGGCGTCGTCATGGCCTCTAGCGAGGGCTTGTGAAGCGGGACAGGAATGCCATTGGGAGAGCGCGGTGCGGAGGCGGTGTGCCTTTGTGCTGGTACTTGGGCGGGCCTGTTGGGGCCAGCCAAATTGAATGCGGTCGCAGACCCTCCCGCGGTACCAGCACCGGGCCCTGACCAGGAGCTGTCCCTCATCCTCCAACTGCAACTCTACTGGATTTGTTTTGCTTTCCTTGGATTCGTCGCCATTTCTTCCCCTCTTCTCGATAGCGGTGTGTGTCTGTGCTTCACACTCCTCAACTTTCTGCGACCGAGGATCCTCGTCCTTGATCTCCTTGCAACGTTTCGTCTCGTTCCCACTCCGCCAGGCTGAAACAGAAAGAAAGAAGGACGGTGGTATCTCCCCCAACACTCCGTCCCGCGCAATCCAGACAGCTGTATCTCAAGCAAATACAACACCAGCACTCGCTCAACACCGGTGCCCATCCCGAACTCAAGATCTCGTACGGTGGTCTGGAACCACGTATTCACTCGTTTTCATTGACTCAACTTGAAATCGCTGGCTTCGGTTCGAGAAAAAAAAAAACCCTCGTTGATCCTGCACCCTCGACCACATCCCCTTGCACGAAGCAACGATTCACCACCGACTCTGAGCTCATCTTCTTCGAGCTCTCCTACTCGTTATGGCCGTAGATACGTCCTCGCCGCCGCAGTCGGTCACAGAGCTCAATGCCTGTGTCACGACCTCCTCGCACCGCCCAGTTAAAGACACCACGTTCCGAGAATGGGTGGTTTCAAACCAGATTGGTATGCATGAATTTTTGCAAGCTCAAGCTTTTGTCCACTTCCCTTTTCCCATTTTTTCCCTTTCTTTACCTTTTTTTTTTTTTTTTGTCTTTCTACCTACTTAGACTATGGTACGCTAACATGACTTTCTACTCGCCCATTAGGGATATCCTTGACGTCCCTTTCCATGCTATTGGCCGTCCACCACCTCTACCCTTCTCTTGCGCCGTACACCACACCTTTTTTCCAGCTGTCGTACTACCAACCATCACAGGGGCTATACATTCAAGGATGGGATGATATCTACTTTGTCGTGAGTTCCGTATTTGCGTTCACCGCAATTCGGGGCATTGCGATTGAGTGGGTTTTCCGGCCAATGGCGCAGTGGTCTGGATTGAAGAAAAAGGCCTCAATCCGGCTCGCTGAACAGGGCTGGATGTGCTTGTACTATGCGTTCTTCTGGACATTCGGAATGGTTAGTCTTTCCTACACCAGTTCACGACGGCCCCGGCTAACTATGGGCAGTATATATGGTCGCAATCGAACTACTGGATGGATTTCAAGGCTATCTGGGCCGACTGGCCTGCGCGTGGTATTTCTGGGATGATGAAGTGGTATCTCCTAGCACAGCTTGCGTTCTGGGTGCAGCAGATTTTCGTTATCAACATCGAGGAGCGGAGAAAGGATCACTACCAGATGTTAACTCACCATTTCATCACCAGCTCCCTCCTCACATCCGCTTATGTCTATGGCTTCTACAACGTCTCTAATGTGGTTCTGAGTTTGATGGATGTTGTGGATCTACTTCTGCCGGTATGCTATCATACTTTTCTCGTTTCAGATTGCAATTGGGTTCTAACTTTATACAGACTGCCAAAATCCTCAAATATCTAGGCTTCGAGCTGAGCTGCAACATCGCATTCGGTGTTTTCATGGTCGTGTGGGCTATTTCTCGCCACATCATGTACCCTCTGCTCTGCTGGTCCATCTTCAAGGATGTCCCCGCTGTGATGCAGTGGGGCTGCTACTCTGGCGCAACCGGGGAGATGATCTCGACCGATGGATATCCTGACCGAGTGATGCACCTCTTCTCGCCATTTTTGGACATCGACGGCCCCATCTGCATGAACCGCACGATCAAGTGGATCTTCCTAAGCTCCCTGTTATCACTCCAGGCGCTCTCCATTGTTTGGTTCACCATGGTCATCCGTGTGGCAGTGGGCGTTCTTCGCACCGGCAACGCAGAAGACACCCGCAGCGATGACGAGGAGGAGGAAGAAGATGCTGTACCTAAAGATGGCACGAACGGCAGTGTCGTCTCAGCGGAGGTCTCGAGCGCTGAATGGCGCCGATCCAACGGGCCGTCCTCTGCACGACCTCGCCGCAGCGATCGCAAGGCACTACTTGGGCGCATCGGGTGTGATACGCGGACCTAGCCACCTTGACCCGGTTTCATACATCTCCGTCTAGATAACGCCATCAAACTGTGGTACTCCCATATCGCACATCTGATGAACCGAGAATATGACTACATGACGTATATCCGTATCTAACCGTTGTTCTTTTGAAGAAAAAAAAATTATATTGTCTATGTTTGATACCACACATCTCATCTCGATTGTTTTTGTTTCCGGGTTGTTTTTTTGTTTGTCGTTCCTGCTTTAACCAAATCGCCTCGGCCATGTTCTATCTTTTTTGCTATTGATTATATATCCTCTTTCCGTACGTTGCTGTACTTGATTTAGAGAGGCCAGGTGATTTAAATACCCACTTTGTTGTCAAGGGATGGAATCGTGTACTTACGGTAGTGATCTTTAGTACTGGTATGTTTCTGCATGTTTACTTGGTGCAGGTATATCAACAACTAAATCAAGCACCAAACTTTATGAGCTTCTTCTCCTTAATGTTATTTTCTCGTAGCCTATCCAGGAATTCCTAATAATTTACGATGTCTGGCGTATTTTGTGAATTTGGGTCGAGACGAGGACCTCAATAATTCGCAGCCGCTACTATGCACTAGCCTATCTAGTTAGCCCTAAGTTCTTGATATGCTTCCGCCTCAAAATCTACCTATAGAGTTTGGTACAAATTTAGTTTCTATCAAATAGACTTCGATATTTACTTTACATGTAAAAGCATCAGTCTAAATAACAGACTAAAATGTTCAATATTGGATTATAAACATTGGGTTTCGTAACATTCGTATCCGCTTCATAACCGATCGTAAAGAATGAGAAAACTATGTTAAAACAGGAACATCGAGATCATCAATTCCAGAAAGAGATTCCAGCTCACTGCGTGCCGGAACCCTAACGTCCAATATCTCACGACGCAGTTCGTCCTCGTCCCAGAAATACCCTCGCTCGCCGCAGAGTGCGGAATCTCTCATCTTCGCCCTTGCGGTAAGGGCTTCGGCGTCGACTGTTTCTTCGCCGAGTGCGCACTCCTGTTGTGTAAGAATGAAGTTTATGAGGACTTGTCGGATGCTATCCCAGATTGTGCCGTGACGTTTCCACTCGAGGTGTTTTGTAATGCGGACCATGCGCGAAACAACCCAGCATCGGGCGCCGGAGTTGTCGTGGTCTTCGCCGGGCATGAAGCCCGTGGTTTGCAGGAAGAGCCAGAGAATGGATGTTATGCTTGGGTTTTCATGCGGGTTTATACAATCGATAGCGCGTTCGAGCCATTGGAGGTAGGGGTCGAAGGGGGTGGAGGTGGAGTAACTGTGGTAGAGGGCTACAGCGATGAAGAACAGACAGGACATGCAGGTGTATTCGTCAATAAAACGGATATCGCGGATTCCATGGTCGTAATCTGGAAGTAGTGTGAGGATGGAGTGTAGCTTTGTACCTGGGACGAAGCTTTTGATGCGTGGCGGTGTCTCTGTGTATGCCAGGGCAGAGGGTGAATTTAAAGCAGTATGTTCGAGTTTATGTAAGTGGCGGAAGAAACGCAGAAAGTCCTCGCAGGCGCGATATTGATCGCAGAACATCTCTGTGTCTCCTTGGGGAGTAGAGGTATGAGCAGTATAAAAGTGTACATCGGGATCGAGAAAGTCGAAACCAGTTGGTGGAGTATCTGGTATAGCGCCGGTCCAGGGGAGTGCAGCACCGACTGTGGCCTTTGAGGCGCAGCTGAAATCCACCCTGCAAAAGTAAGCAGGCTGCTAGCTGAGAAATAATATAGGAAGACATACCAGTAGAGAACTTTCCCGAGGAATGGACTTGAATTATGCATTACCTGCATGCCTCCTCGGTTCTTGATCATAGAGGCAAGTCCCCTAAAGTGCATGCGCTCAATCGATGCATCTTTCGACCATTTCTATGGGAATTAGCTTTGCAAGACACAATTAAAACTCAGCCTACCTCAATGACAGCCATTGTAGCAACAGCATAGATGGTCCCATCATTTGCCGTTTTCGAGTCCATCTGAATGCGCTCGTTCATCAACCGCAAAGCTCGCATTTTGTGGGTGAGACTCTGGACCGACTCTGTTTTCCCTTCTACTCCTGCACGATGTTTCGATGCAATTGCCAGCATCGCCTGAAATGGGAGTTCATCATTCAGGGCCAACTGCTTGAATATCTCCTTCATGGGATTCAAGTTGTTCGCAGCGGAGTCAATGAACTTATACATCATAGATGGATATGTCACGACGACTAGCAGGACATGTCAGCTAAATCAACAGCACGCCAGGTGAGTCCAGTTACAATGTTGGATCAACTCGTGATCTGCACCCTTTATGGGCACTGGATACGAGCTGAAAGGGTCCCGAACTGTGCCATGGTCAGGCACGCCATGAGGCTGGATATACCGAAGTTTCGGGACAAGTAAAGGACTGGTAGGTTCGCGTTTAACCTTCTCGGTTTTCGGCAATAATTGTCGAGAAGGCGTTTTCCCCTCTGCCTCATTGAACTTCTCTTCCGCAGTGGGTGGCGAATTTCTCTTCGTTTTACTGGAGACATCATCCTGCTCATCATACGTGCTCGCACCGGCTGGTTGCGGATGAGGCTGATTTGAAATAGGACGAGTAGTCCAGCCGGCAGCAGGCGCTCGTGTTACCCCCAGGCGTGTAATACTATCTATGCGACGCTGGTGCATATACTGTCGCATCGCATGGCGGCGAACCTGCCGGCGTGACTCGTTATCTGTCACCAGAACAAACTCAAAGTTCTTTGATTCTGAAAGAGACTGCGATTGTCCGCCTACTTTGGATTGTCGCGAGCCATCACTAGACGCGCCTTTTGCTGAAGCAGGACTCTCCACAGCTGGTGAGGGCCGAATATCGGGGTCATCGGGCCATTTCCTCAACTTGGCGTCCTTATCTTCCTCGCCCATGGTGGCATTATTGGAGCGCCAATCAACAGTGATATATATAACATGTAGCAGCCCTGTCAGTGGTGGATGCGCTAAATAAGCACAAACGCAGTTCTTCTTGGGCCGCGTTAGGGTCGCTTTGATGGATGAATTGGAAGATGCAAGAGTCCAATGCTCGCCATCTGCCCGATTTCCCGATTAGGAGCTACCCCTCACTCTCCACGTGATGCTTAAACCGACACAGTTCTTCCCCTGATTCAGCTGGTAAGTTGCATGAGAGAATCAAAACCCTGGGCCTTGGGCGTTACAAACAAAGAACTTGGGGCCGGAGTTGAATTCCGCTGCGTTGAGGCTGCATGACTCGTGTGCTTTCATGCACATAATTCCGGGTTGCGCTCCGCTCCGCGACGATCACCGGGGAATCTTGGCCTCGCGGCTCGCGCTGCCCAATTTCGATACTATATGAGCCGTGAGCAAGCTACTTAATATATCTTTGTGTTAAAAATTATACGCCTAGTTCTAGATCTCAATATGCTTTTACACGGTCGGGCTTCTATTTTCTTTCCTAGTCAATATCTTCGAACCTCTTGCATACTCGATATATAACTTGATCGACCTGTCGTATGCGGGCATAACTATTTTGCTTCTTTTGCAGACATTTCAGGTCAGCGTCCTTTTTATAGATTGAACCGACTTTTCGCAGAAATAGCCGTATATATCTCTATCCTATAAGGTTAACCCTAGCCTGAAAATATTCTGGGGCTTGGAGACGTAGCGCCAAGCTTTAGGATACGAGTTATCCCACTTTCTAACAGGCTGTGAAGCGGCTGTGAGGGAGACCTTTCCTTGGGGCAGAAGCAATAATGCTAGGCCGAGGGTTTGCAAAGTCCTGCGGATAAAAAAGAGCATACTTTGTGACGATTTGATGTCTTCTTCCACCGAAGCCGCGGCTCAACTACCATTCTCTCGAAGTTTTGCCAATGCTGCGGCAATTCCTTCACTGACATCTTCATCTTTCTCAGCTTCATGTCGGGGTACAGTTGTCTCAGACACTTCCGCAAATAAATTTTCATCTTCGGCGTCTCGAGGCGCATCCGTCGCATTCGACATGGTTATATTGTCATCACCCACTATCGGCGGAGCCCTCCCCAATCCACGCCGCGTAGGAGCGCTGGCTCCCTTCGTCTTCTCAACCCTAAAGTCCTCTCGCACAGCATTACACCATTGTCTAACCTTCTTCTCACCCCATCCGGGAACAGCGCTGATCTGCTCTGGCTGCGCGTTGATTGCGTTCTGTAAGCTGCCGAATGTAGATATAAGGCTGGCGGCGTCTGATTTGTTTATGCTCCGGGGCGCAGTGACAAATTCTACCAGTGAGTCTTTATAGGATTGCGCTTGCTGCGTGCGGATTGCTGTTGGTTGGGAATGTTCGCTTGATTTGAAGAGCTCCAGGTAGTGTGCGGCTTCCGGGGCGGACCAGCAGAGAACTAGGGTGAGATTATTGATAATTGATGTTTTAGATAATTCCTTGAGGCTTTCTTCATGGTTCGGTATATCGACGATAATGAGAAGAACTCGCAGTAGGTATTTCCCCGCTAGTAATTTGATTCGCGAATATATGTACTCCGGGTGTAGTCGGTGGTATTTGAGTGATAGAAAGAGCGCACAAGTGGTAGTCCCGAGAACATAGTCGGCCGGAATATCGGCATACTCCCAAGGGAGAACTTTGATGTGATTCAAAATCGGATTCCCTTTCTGCCGTGTTGATACAAGGATGCCAGCAGGACCGGGCTTGCTTACCAGTGCCTGCGGCTTCGGCTGTTGGACTTTGGTCTGCGGTGCTCGTTCAGAGGCTGACTGGGGTGTGGAAGCGCCTGAAGCTCGGGGCTGGCCAGCTGCTTCATCACGTATCACCGATTCGAAGTCAGCATCGTTGTCGCCGAATTCCCCAGCCATTGTTGGAGCTGTGTTCTGTACCTAGATGAGATGGTCGAGCTGCCCAGCGTTATCTAATCGGCGGCACCTCCGCCTTCACCGCCCGACCCACAGTTTCGCAGATTATCATCTGGGATTTTTCTGCCGCCGATTTTTTGCTCCAGAAACACAAAAATAGTCGGACCAAAAAGCTGCGCAGTATGTCTGAAAGCAGTGAGGTGGGCAGCCCGGAGAAGCCTATTGTGGCCTCCGAAGTCACTACGGAGACGTCTCCGAGCAAAGCCAAGTCTCAAGAAGATGCTGCCTCCCAGCCGCGAAGAGAACTGTTCGTCCGATCGCTTCCCGCCTCAGCGACGACCGAGAGCCTCGCCGAACACTTTTCGCAGTCCTACGTGATCAAGCATGCCGTTGTTGTCCTTGACCCCAAGACAAAGCAGTCGAAGGGCTACGGTTTCGTGACGTTTGCCGATGTTGAGGATGCGCAAGCTGCGCTGGAGGAATTGAACGGGTCGACATTCGAAGGGAAGAAGATTAAGGTTGAATATGCGCAACCTCGTCAGCGTGTCGTTGACGAGGCCGCTGGGAAGAGTGCCCCGTCTGCTGCTGCGCTAGAGCGCAAGCAGCAGAGGGAACAGCAAAAGGCCGATACCCAGCCACCGAAGCTAATTGTACGAAACCTGCCGTGGAGTATCAAGACCCCGGACGATCTCGCACTGCACTTTAGGAGCTTTGGAAAGGTCAAATATATCACCCTTCCGAAGAAAGGCACCCAACTTGCTGGGTTCGGTTTCGTTGTGTTGAGAGGAAAAAAGAATGCCGAGAAGGCCCTGGAGGCTGTGAACGGCAAGGAAGTTGACGGGAGAACATTGGCTGTGGATTGGGCGGTGGAAAAGGAGGTATGGGAAACCCAGCAAAAGGAAGAAGTACAACAAGAGCCAGAAGTAAAGGAAGAGTCGAGCGACGTGGACATGGATGAAGGAGGTGTTGGCTTGGTCGACGAGGACATCGACGAGGCCATGAATAGTGAAGAAGATGAGGATGATGATATCAAGGATGAAGATGAGGAGGACGATGAAGAGGGAGAGGGGGAAAAAGAAGACGAGAGAAACGCCTCTACGATATTCATCCGTAACCTACCATTTACATGCGACGACGAAACTCTCTACGACCACTTCACCCAATTTGGGCCCCTTAGATACGCACGGATTGTCGTGGACCCAGAAACCGAACGCCCTCGCGGTACCGGCTTCGTCTGCTTCTGGAAGCCCGAAAACGCGCAAACCTGCCTGCAGGGCGCACCAAAACAACAGGACCCTTTGGCCGCGGAGAAGGAAAAGGGAAAGAAGGGATCGATCATCAAGCAGTCTGTTCTTCAGAATGAAAATGCCGACCCCACGGGTAAATACACTCTCGATGGCCGTGTCCTACAAATCAGTCGTGCCGTTAGCAAGTCGCGAGCTACACAGCTCCAGGAGGAGGGTGTCTCGAAACGGCTTGTCCGGGATACTGACAAGCGACGACTGTACCTTCTCAATGAAGGAACGATCTCACCGAATTCGACTCTCTACCAGCAACTGTCGCCCTCAGAAATCAAGATGCGCGAAGACAGCTTCAAGCAACGGCAAAATTTCATCAGAAAGAACCCATCCCTTCATTTCAGCCTGACTCGTCTTGCCGTCCGCAATCTCCCCCGCCACGTCACCTCCAAAGACCTCAAGCAATTGGCCAGAGAGGCCATTGTTGGGTTCGCCAAAGACGCCAAGGAGGGTGTTCGCGAGCCCCTCTCTAGAGAAGAAATGGATCGGGCATCCGAGGAGATGAGAGAGGCCGACCGGATACGAAAACAGAAGGGTGTTGGGATTGTCCGCCAGGCAAAGATCGTCTTCGAAGGCCGGGATGGGAGCAAGATTGACGAAGGCAGCGGCGCAGGAAGAAGCAGAGGATACGGTTTCATCGAATACTATACTCACCGGCACGCACTTATGGGTCTCCGATGGCTAAATGGACACGCCATCAGCCCGCCGAAGAACGTCTCCGAGGAATTGAAAGATAGAAAGAAGCGAGTGATTGTTGAATTTGCCATTGAGAATGCCCAGGTTGTCAAGCGCCGCAGCGAGCTACAAGAGAGGGGTCGCAACTTCAAGAAGGACAAGGGGGATGAAGATGCGCCTCAAAAGGGAGACCAGAAGAAGAACAACCGCGATGCTGGGTCTAAGGGTCAGAAGAGGAAGCGCTCTGAGAGCAACAATGGCAAGAGCAAGGAGGAAGCAGAGGAGCAAAACAAGGTCGCGAAGCGGAATCGCATCATCGCGAAGAAGAGGATGCAACGGAAATCTCGCAAATGAGCGGTCTAGTTTTTGTTTTATGAAGCTGAGCAGGAAAAGTTACATTACATGATATACATATAGACACCTAATCAACGCTTGTACAGAGTCGATCCGATGGGTTTGCAATAGGTTTCAAGTCATTTCACGTAGATAGATTTCGGCCTCCGTAGAAGCACATAAATTGCAGTAGGAAAAACGTAAGAGGGCGATCAAAGCCAAAGCGTAATAACGCGGCAAGTCGCGAACGGGTATACCACAGGAGTAACACCAAGAACATAGGGAACTACAATATCCTCAATCCTAGTAGTTCTTCGCATCCTTCACCTTCCCCACGATGTTGTATCTCTTGCTGAAGAAGGTGAACCATTCCTCTAGCACCTTCTTGTCCTTGTCTTCGAGATCGTACCACTCAGGCCTGCACTCCTCAGGCTTGAGGGATGAGCAGGCCAGGGCGCGAGAGGCGTCTTTACCGGCGAAGACTGCAAGATATCAGTTAATGCATGTTCGGTGCAATTCATTGGTTGATTGAACGAGTTGGAAGTACTGTAGTAATAAATAAATGGGCGTGCTCACCTTTGTACTGCCCCTCAGGACCATACGCCGAGTTGCGGCTCACGTCAAAAACAATTCCCTTAATGGCGACATAGGTAGGACGACTGGGATCAGTGCCTGGAAAAAAAGAAGAGCTTTGTCAGTTATAACCTTCTTCATGTAATTCACAGTATAATATAGCTTTTCTGCAGGGCATGGGTGAGCTTGTGTTCATGCGGAGAAGCGTACCATCACACTTGGCCAGCTCCTCCGTGGTAATCAAGTCGTCCTTGGGAGGATCAAGTTGGACAGGCACCTTAGGCGCGAAGCGGCCAGAGTCTGTTCCAGTCATTGTGACGGCTGACGGGTATTTGGATATTGAGCTGAGTCAAAAGACGTTCTGGTCAGAAATTGAAAAGGAAGGAAGTTGTATAATATAAATGGGTTCCTGAGAAAATTGCAGAGCGCGGGGCAGGTGGGGGAGGGGAAGTTCACAGCTTCAGGCGGTTCGGCGTCGGGGGCCGAAGGAATGGAGAAACCGGGAGTTCCCTTGTTGTTAATTCTGTGTTTTCTGTTGAATTAGAGCTGCGGCTGCCGTCAATTATTGCATTCAGAGCTTTGTAATAGGTCTATTGAGGCATTCTCGGTGGATTCACAGGGGATTGCGTGATGACTTAGGAGGACTGAACTGGGCCTCGAACATTCTGTCAACCTCGGCTCAAGACTGCGTGCCAGCCAGGATGCCTTGACAGCAGCTCAAGGGAGCTATAAGAGCAAAACAACTCTGGAAAAACCTAACATTCTACTACTGCAGTGCGCCTGTGGACGCGATTCTGGAGGCCGAAAGACGAATCAAAAGACTGACGTCAATGACCAGCGCCAGGCTGCGGAGGCGGCTATACACGGCGTGCCACAGTATCTAGTATTTGAATCGCTGCTCGTCTGGCTGATGGCAGCAAATGCTCCTACCTCTCACAAAAAACATGTCTTCCAGTCAAACACAGCAATCGGACGCTCGACAACGCCGACGCCCTCAGCTTGCGAATCGAAGAGCGAGCGACAGCTTCGAGCCGGACAGCAAGCCCAACCAACGAGCAACTTCGGTCGAGTCTACTAGCTCAGAGACGAAGCTCTCTCATTATCTCCATTACCATGACAACGATTGCTTCTTTGCTCCGGAATGGCTGGACCACCGGGTCGTGAAGGACCGAGAGCACAACATTCAGTCCTAGGGGTCGACTTGTGTGGTTACCATACCGGACGCGATAGACGAGTTGGGAGGAGTGAGAGGATAACGAGAGGCAAATCTCATATGGAGGCGTGGCGGAACGGTGACTATCGCACTCCCAGTGTAATGGGCTCTGATCAGCGACGAGATGTAACCGTAAGAAGCAAGAGACGGCATTTCTAGCATGGCGCTACTGCATGGTTAAGTTGTGGGCTTCTTCGCTTGTCACGTCACGGACGGCATTGCTTTTCTAGATAAAGTCAATGTTCCCAGACTGAACCTGTGGATATTTACTTAGTTTGTTATCTCAGTCTTGCGCACCCCTCGCCCAATACCATAGGGATTGCTTGGGACGGCATCCACTCGTGGCATCTTGGTCGGTGGGGAGAGTCGATGGCCGGGCCAGGGCAAATTCCCACATTCACAATCACACCCCATGGGCCGATCTCCTTGCCTCGCCCGTCATCTGCCACTGAAAGCCATCTCTGATTCGCATTCATTTTTGCCTCCATGCTCTGGCGTCGCTCCTGGACCTCTTGGCTCTCTCCCAATCGTCTGGAGTGCATAATGCTTTTGCGCCCTCGCGATCTCCTGTGGACGTGAGATACGACGCCGGTCTACCAGACTGCGATTCTACCTCGGCGCAACGGAGGCCCCGATTCTATCTAGTCGACAGTGGGGGCCACTGGAGTAAACGATGGAGTCGCGCAGTGATTAGAAGCTCCATTCCTTCCTTTGATTTGCCCAATCGACCTGGGGATTCCGGCTGCTAACCTGCCTTGCTTGATTCCTGCGCTGTCCCGCGATGGTCGTGAGGTCGCCTGCCGTTTTTTCTCTCCCCGCTGCCGTTCTATTTAATTGCTTGGCTTCGCTTTTTTTTTTTTTGGCTTCTCTTTTTTGTTCGGTTTTCTCCTTCCACTGTTCCATTTACTTTTCGTCATTTGCATTTTTATTCCGACAAGCTCGTCCGTTAGTTTTCCGCACTCACTGACTTCGAGCAATGTCGAAGTCCAGTGCAGTCCCCGAAGGCGCACCCCTAGGCCCTCTGGCGCATGGGGGATCCTCGCCCTCGGTCAATCGCTTCGATTTATCGATCAGCGGTTTGGCAAAGCGGACCGGACACCGGAGCGAATCTACCGAAAAAGATCCCGTTGTCAATAATCGCGAGGAATCCATTGAAGAGGGGTTGAAGCCGGTTTATGACCATACGCACCGCAAACTCAAACCTAGACATGTCCAGCTTATTGGCATTGGCGGCGTAATTGGCACGGCATTGTACGTTCAAATTGGTCAAAGTTTGGCAGAAGGAGGCCCTGGGAGTCTCTTCATTGCATTCACGATATGGTAAGTCCTGCCCCACCTGCTTGTTCTTTTGCCATCGCATCTTGTGCCCTACTGGACCTAGGAGTCTAGTAGGTTTGTGCAGATTTACTTGTGCCGTCAAAAATAAAATGGATATGAAACACGTCAATCTCTCTGGAGAAATGCCAACTGCTACTGAAGACTGTGGTCCTGCAACGTGCTAGAACCAATTGGTTGTCTGCTTTGCGCTTTCCCTTCTTTCGTTGGCCTGCTGCTATGCTGAAACCTGCAGTATCTTATACATCTCTTTACTTTAGGTGCGCTGTTATATTATGTATAACCGTTTGTACGAAACCCCAGTCCAATTCTAAGCCCCATCGCCGCCAGCAACATCTATCCCAAGCGACCTATGCGGATCCATTCTTCCAATGCGCCATTGCCCAATTGCACCTCAGTTGTATCAACAAATTTTGTTCAGACAATGGTCTTCTGTTGTAGGTTACTAAACAATGCTTTCTAGGTCTGGCCGAGATGGTCACATACTTGCCGGTTGCTTCGCCCTTTATTACCTTCGCTGGACGCTATGTCGATGATGCTTTTGGAGTCGCCGCTGGCTACAATTTTTTCATCTTCGAAGCTGCGATGGTGCCGTTTGAAGTTACTGGTAATCGACAATCCAGCATTGGCCCGGTATCAAGCTAACATGTACAGCAATCAACCTGGTCATTAACTACTGGACCAGCGCAATCCCTTTACCAGCACTGATTTCTATCGTGCTTGTTCTCTTTGTGTACGCCTCCCGCAGCAGGAAATTTTGCTCTTCTGATCTAACTACTGTTAGGTTCCTGAACGTGTTTGCCGTGAGGTGGTACGGAGAGGCCGAGTTTTGGCTCTCTCTTAGTAAAGTTATACTCAGCATAGGTCTAATCCTGTTCACATTCATTACGATGGTGGGTGGGAACCCCATCAATGATCGCTTCGGATTTCGGTTTTGGAACGAACCCGGCGCGTTTGCAGAATATTACAAAGAAGGCAGCTTGGGAAGATGGATGGGGTTCCTCGCGTGCCTGATCCAAGCCAGTTTCACTATTGCAGGCCCCGACTATATTTCAATGGCTGCTGGTGAATCTATCGATCCGCGGGGGAATCTACCAAAGGCATACAATGGGATGTTTTACCGCCTCACTACATTTTTCATCCTGGGAGCGCTCTGCGTTGGCATCCTTGTCCCGTACAATGACAAGACGATGTCCGATGCTTTTGAAAACGGTGCACCTGGAGCGGCAGCGTCTCCCTATGTGATTGCGATGGGCCGTCTTGGTATTCCTGTGCTACCACATATTGTCAATGCTATGATCCTTTTGGCCGTGTTCAGTGCAGGGAACAGCTATGTTTACTGTGCCAGCAGAACCCTATTTGGCCTTGCTCTTGACGGGAAGGCGCCGCGCATTTTTACTAGATGCACAAAAGCTGGAGTTCCTGTATACTGCGTGGGCGCTGTTATTCTGATTTCCTTGATCTCGTTCCTTCAAGTTTCTAACAGCGCGGCGGTAGTGCTAGATTGGATCGTCAGCCTGGTAAGCTTCCCAATTGTTGAACCCTGACACAATCTGACTTGGCAGGTTACTGCATCGCAACTCATTAACTTCTCTGTCATCACCTTCACATACACCCGATTCCGCAAGGCTCTCATTGCGCAAGGCGTTTCTCGCGATTCCCTTCCCTACAAAAGTTGGGGGCAACCTTACGTTGCGTATATCGCTCTAGTATCAACAATGGTTATGGCTTTTGTTGGAGGCTATGAGGTTTTCTTGCCTGGGAAGTGGAATGTGCCGACATTTCTCTTTTCATACACGATGATTGGCGTTTTCCCTGTGCTCTACTTTGGGTACAAGCTTCTCCGCCAAACGTCGGTTAGGAAGGTTGAAGAGATCGATATCATTACAGGTTTGGATGAAATTGAGGAATATACCAGAAATTACGTCCCTGAAAAGGCGAGGTATGTTTCCACTGTTGAATTGCTTTCTACCACACAGCCTTTTAACAACTCGCAGTAACCCCATCTCGAGATTCGCCGACTGGTTGTTCAGTTAGTGTACTACGTGCTACGTACTACTTGGTACTAGTAGAGTACTGTATAGCGACCACATTACAAAATTAGAACCCGTCCGTGGGTAGTTACGATAGACGAATAAAAAAAGAACTATATATATATGTAAACTTCCAGGCACAGTTCTATATAAAAATCACTTGGTGCTTGCTACTAAACCACTGTTATCGTAACCCATAATATACACAGAACATGACTTCACCAAAATCTTTGGTTTCTCTAATCCGTTCAGCAGCCCCTACTCATGCCATCGCCATATTTATATTTCTCGGTCTAGAAAATCGTAGCCATCGCCTTCCTACGCCTGTCCTTAGCTCTCGCTCTGCTCCTCGCCTGCCTGCGCCTTCAACTTTGCCAATCTTTCCTTATTCCTCTTCCCCAAAACCCTCAGCGTATTTTTTCTCTCCATCTCCGTCATCTGCGCCCAGTTCGAGATGCGCGCCAGCGTGCCGTCCGTATTAACAACTAGCGGACCGAGGTGGTCTAGTTTTACTCCATCCCCATTGACATCGAGCTGGGGGACATCATTTGAGGCGGTTGACGAGTCAGGCAGGGCGAGGACCGGCTTGGATTTATCTTCGGATGAGGACTCAGGTGCAGGATTGGAGCTTGCTTGGTTGGACATTGTTGAGTAGGGTTTTGCGAGAGGGGATGACGGCTGCTTGTATTGTAATGTGGAATAGAGATTTGTTGCGTGGCACTGTGCGAAGAGTGTGGATGCGGGTGATTTGTTTAGGAGGTGGGTAGAGAGAGCTGGTGCTGATGCGGATGCGGATGCGGATGTTCGGAGACCTAGCAGGAGGTGGAGGAGGGTTGTTGCGCGGGACATGCGCATGTCTTGTTCTTTTTTGGTTAAGTGGTGAGTTGAGCTGCGATTGAGTTGTGGTTTAGAAGTGGTGGTGGTGGTGGTTAAGATAGAGAGGTGTGGTAGTTCTGGAATTTTCTCCGCAGCGTCGGCTGGGAGCTTGGACGGGTTCCAGAAATGGGCGGAATAGCTTCACTGTAAACTTCACTGGGAATTGTTTCGAGGCTCTTGAATACTTGAGGTCGGATTCTAGAATTAATTTTATATTTACATTTATAATTGTCTACAATTAGGTCTTGTTACCGTTCACCAGTCGGTTTATAGTTAAATGTGGTTGGGGGAGTCAACGGAACCACCAATTGACCTAATAATATCAGCAACAGAGTCGAATGAGACCATCAGCACACTTACCGAAGCTGTGACACTTTCTCCCATTCCCTTAATACTATGCCACCACCCTTTTGGGATGAACAATCCATCACCGGCCTCCAGCTCTGCTTCGAACCCTTCATACGCCCGATCTATTTTCTTGCTTTCCGCATCGTCCCAAACGGCCTGCTCGAGTAAAGCTCTTTCGCGCCCCTGCATCATCTCTTCGCCCCGGAATACCGCCGCCTCCCGGTTCCCGCTCCGTCCGAGTTGTCCCCGGACGTGAGAGAAAATGACCTGCCCATCCCGCGGAGCTAGCAATCGCACGATCTTCCGCCCAGCCAGCTGAACAAATAGATTGGGGTTCGGGTCTCGGTGTAGAGGTGTATAGGTCGGCGGGTGTCCAATCCACACATTCGTATCGTATACATCACCCTTACCCGCTTTCGCCACAATTGAAGGGGTCGGGAAATCGTCGCGAAGGATCTGAGGTAGATCAAGCAGTTGACACTGTGCTAGGTAAAGGCGTGACGGGGACTCGGACTGCGATTCGGCTTCGCGAATCCATTGGAGGAAGAGGCTGAGCGGCGCATGGAATTTGCGGAAGCTGAGATCTGAATCACTCTCTAGGTCATTGCGCTGCGGAGTTTGAGGTTGTGCCTGTGTGAGTTCGAGCGGAACTAGAGCGTCAGCGCCATGTGCTGCGAGGTATTCGGTATTCAGTTGCGAGGTGTTCGGCCTGGTCGGCGAGTGGTGGAACCAACGCTCGTAGGCAGGGATGTCGCGGAAGAGCCGACGGGGAAGAAGCACGGGCTTTTCAGGGAGGAAGAAACCCTCGCGAAATGTATCTATGTTGTCATCTTCGACAACAGTTAGGGATTTGTATTGGGACCGTGCGAAAGAATAATCGCGCCTAGAATAAATGTAACGAGGGAAGATTGTGGAAAGCCATTGGGATTGAACCCGTGGGTCATTGCACCTGAGCCATTTCTGGGGTTTCATTAGACAATCGGCATCAATTGCGTCCACTAGATGAGTTGTGAGTGAGTTTAAATGGTTTTGTTTGAATCGACGGCAAGTCGGTTTTGGTTCTGGGCACGTGCCATCAGAACCCCCAAAATCCTCCCCCTTCAACTCGAAGGATTGAGGTGAACGATTACATTGGGCGAGAATGAACAGTGAGTAGTTGCTGTTTTTTCAGTGCTGCTTTGCGGGTTCCTGGTTTCACTTCTAAGGAGTGTTTCAGCGCTTGTTGACTTGGTGGTGGTGTTTGACAGTGGTAATAATCCACATCCAGCATTGAATCTAGACTATTTTCAGCACCAGCAGGCGTCAACCTGTCAAGCGGCATTTAGCCCAATGGCCGTATCTTAATTTCCATTAGCTCATGGTTTTTCGTCTTGGAGGTCCTGGGGTTGCGGTGGATCTGGGGACGGAACCCCGCGCACCCGTTCGATGAAGGCAAGGAATCCCTCCGCACTCTTTTCTCAATTCCCTCACGCCACTACCGGATCAAACCATCGGAGTTTGCGCCCAGCATGGACTCAGAACCACCTCAGGCCGATTCTATTGCGTCTCAGGCCACACCAGAAGAACAAATCGATCTTTCGGCCGGAGATAGCGCAAAGCGCAAGGCGGAACAGCCGAACGGAACCCAGACGCGATCGAAGCGGAATCGCTACATCTCCATTGCATGGTATGCCGCGTTCGAGCCCATCGCATCCTCCCTTGCTGCATTGGCTAAATATATTTTAGTAATGAGTGTAAGCGTCGGAAAATTAAATGCAACGGCCAGGTGCCGTGTCAGCGCTGTGGACACTTGAAACTCGAATGTTGGTTGCCGTATGTCTGCTTCTTTCAATCGCTAACCCGCCTTTAGGCCGATATGCGCCTAATTGCTGTAATAATAACTTTAAGGATTCTGAGTACGTATCACTAATATATTCGTGCGGTATTCTTGAACTAACAATTCCGCTCTAATTTCTCTAGTGAGTTCCGGTCGATGAAGGATCAGATTGCTTCGCTGCAGGATCAAGTTGGCAGTCTTTTTAGCAGCCTCAATGAGCTTCGCGTGCAGAAGTCCACGTTTGACGCCCCACCATTTGATCAATTCTCTCGTGATGGCTCGCAAGTATTTACCCCGATGCACCCACCGTCGGGGAAGCCTCGTATGAGGCATCCTCGGTTCCATGGCCCTACCAGCTCGGCATTCAATTTTGACGTTGCTCGATCAAGCCTTCAGGATATGGGTATCGCGCCGGTCGAAGAAGGTATACAAGATGATTTGACGACGGCACATGCTACGCCAGCAGCATCTCCCCCTCACGTGCCTGCATTGAGTCAACCAATGCATCCGTCAAAGGACCCGATATGGGCGATTAAGAAAGACGAGGCACTGCGGTTATGCCGAGTATACGAAGAGGAGATTGGTATCATGTACCCACTGGTCGATATTGACCAGGTCACACATCAGGTCAACTTGCTTTATACGTTTATGGAAGCAGCAATGCGCACTGGGCTTATGCACCGAGGGCTAGGAGGCGCAGATGGCCTTGAGGATGACAGCACAAACCTCATCAAGTTGATCCTTGCGACTACACTTATTGTTGAAGGTGGTGGTGAGAGCGAACTTGGTCGGCGTTTATATCTAAGCGTTAAACCAGTCATTGAGTCCAAGATTTGGGAAACATTAGATCTCAAAACTATCCAGCTTCTAGGATTGATGGTGAGTCTCAACCGGTGCTGGTATGAACATATGTTGATCGAACAGGCGACGTATCACTTCCATACAGACGACGATGCATTGGCTTATCGAATTATCGGCGTGGGCGCTCGTATGTGCCTAGAGATGGGGCTCCATAGACGAGACGCTCTGGCCAAATCCTTCCCCGACGAAGCTCAATGGCCTGAGATTGTCAAAATATTTTGGTCAATATATTCCTTGGACAGACGGTGGAGTTTCGGTACGGGACTGCCTTTCGTTATACAAGACGAGGATATCGATCCCAATCTACCTGAGCCGGTAATTTATACCCACCTTCTCCTTATCTTTTCGTGCCTCTTTACTTATAGATATTAGGACCCATCACTACAGTACTTGAGGTGCATGATTGTTCATAATCGCATCAGCTCGAAGGTCTGGTACTCTGGTCTGGGCTCTGACGGAGCAACGGACATACGCCGAGACGAGATTGGCTATCTGGACTACCAAGTCTTACAGTGGTACAAGCAGATTCCGGATACTCTCAAATTCTATCCGTCTGAATCTCCGAGAGCAGGCGAGACAGCAAATAGAGGCCTTCGAAGATTGCGTATACTTTTGTATCTGCGCATGAATCAACTGCGGATACTTATCTATCGACCTGTCCTCCACTCTTCTACAAGCATCGCGGAAGATAAAGGCCATGCTCAGACGGTAGTTGACGTCGCCAAAGACTCCGTCCGGGTACTCACTCGGCTGAACCAAACCTCCGATATTTATCGCACGCAACAAATTACGTTCAACTATTTCCTGGTTGCTGCCCTTGCCGTGCTGTTTCTGGCTGTGTGCCATGCACCTACTGAATTCAACCGGCAGGTACGGGATGAGTTCTATTTAGCGTTGGACCTTGTCAATGGATTCAGCACCAAATCATATGTATCGAAGCGCCTGTGGAAGACAATAAAAGGTCTCAGGAGGACAGGCGAGAAATTAGGTGTCCTAGTACGCCCTTTTGGCACTGATGCTAACGACCCGCACTCAACAGCAGCTGTTGCAATGGCAGGCTTGGCTGGCCATCCAATGGAAGACCTGTCGGTGTATGGCCCTATGAACGGGGTTGGTGAGTTGGGCAATAGCCCTCTGAATGGGTTACAGATGAGCCACGAGTTGACGACCTTGTTTGAGGCTGTTGGAGGGTTCGGAAATTTCATGACCCCAGCGGCAACAGATGGACTCAACGGTTTTATCGGTCCTGAGGGAGAATTACAGAATACTGGAGAAGGACTCTCAGGTGTGTTGGGGGATGAAGGCGAATTCGCACGAGTAATACGGGACTTATTCTGAATTGTCCTCCTGATACACTGTCGGTCTCCTTTTGCATTGTATTTGGCAAGATACCCAAGTTACTCTTTTCTTCACAGTCTCTTCATTTCATCTGTAACTACTTCAGCGTAAACGCAATCAGGCACCAAAATTGCCTGAGGCATATATATCCACGTGATAAACCAGCCTCCTGCTTCTTTGATCTTCCATCATCGCGTCTTCAGTCCCTCAAATCGAATGTTGAGAAAATACATGCAAAAGATGTCAAATTGAGACCTCTTCTCTTTAATCTTTCCATTTTATCCCCCAGGTTCGGTGGCCTTCAGGTTCAAGGTTGCCCACCGCCCCACGAGGCTAATTCGGAGGTCCGTCAACCTCCGTCGATCGATCGCCTCCCAACCCGCGCAGAAAAATTCACCCCTCTACGCATTCTCTCTCGTTCCTTCGCTGGATATCGGGGATTGGATAAGCCTGGTATTTATCTTTCTATCTGTAATATCTTGCGACCTTGAATATTTGTCTGATGACGGATAGTGGGGTTGAAGCTTTATCGCGTTAACACACCCATCGCACAACAATCCGCAGTGGTCCCGCACATTGACATGACCCCTCGGCTTATCAGGAGGATATAGCTGCTCTTCTGACCACCCCAAAACTGGTCCACACTCGCTATTTCCGCTCCTTTCTAGACGTCCGCATTTTACTCTCCTATATCTTGAGTCTTCCCTGCCTTAGTTAGGGTTGAGGGAGAAGCTGGAGTCCGAGAATCGTGGCAACAGGCTGTTTGTCTCCTGCTCTTCCGCGAAACGTGGCTCGGCTTGATTTTTATCTTTTTTTCTAATTGAATTCCAGCACAGTGTCGAGAGAAGCAGGCTCGGCGTTGGCCGACGGCCTAGATAGGCTGGATTTGAGTCAACTGTCTGAATCAACGCCGTCCTCTACCGTCCCGTCCGACTCGTTCGATATGTCGTCGTCCGAAGGCGCCCCGGAGTCATGGATCTCCTCGTTCTGCCAGCTTATGGGTCATGAGTTCTTCGCGGAGGTTTCTGAGGATTTTATCGAGGATGATTTCAACCTGACGGGCCTGCAGTCTCAGGTGCCTATGTACAAGGAGGCCCTGGAGATGATTTTGGATGTGGAACCGGAAGAGGACGAGGAGGAGGAGGAAGAGGAGGAAGAGGATGAAGACGAGGATGATTTACTTGGCGATGAGAAGCCGCCTGGGTACCGAAGGGAACGAAGACATGCAAGGGTTGCAAGCGATTTGAGTGTGATCGAGAGCTCTGCAGAGCTCCTCTACGGTTTGATCCACCAACGGTACATCACCTCACGTCCAGGTATCCAGCAGATGCTAGAGAAGTACGAGATGCAACATTTCGGTGTCTGTCCGCGGGTCTATTGTAATGGATGCAAGGTACTTCCCGTTGGTCGTTCTGATACGCCAGGTCAGGAGACCGTGAAACTTTTCTGCCCTAGCTGTCAGGACCTGTATACCCCACCAAACAGTCGGTTTCACTCGGTTGATGGCGCCTTCTTCGGAACTACATTTGGTTGCTTGTTCTTTATGACATTCCCTGACTTGGACATCGGACCGACATACGACGTAAACCTAACTCTATCACCAACGCGCTCAGCGTCATTCCCTTCGACTGCCACAACCACAACCACGACCTCAGGTATCAGCAACCAACCCTCATCAGACACGCCTCGTCCCGTGTACCCGCTTGAACTCAATGGCACACGAACGGCCAGCTTCGCACCCGGTCTAGGAGAAGGCAAGTTGTTCGAATCGCGAATCTACGGTTTTAAAGTTTCGGAACGGTCGAGGTCAGGTCCTCGCATGAGGTGGCTGCGGATGAAACCGACAAACCTCCTCGAGCTAGACGAAATGACCTATTACCAATCGCTACAGCGCAGCTACGACGATGACGGCGATGCAGAGATGGGAGGGGACAACGCCCAAAATGCGAACTCGGCTATCGCACAACGGAAGAAGGCCCCTATGCGGCGGCGGCGATACAACCCGGACCAAATGAACATAAATGGGGTTGCGGGTTGATTCAAGCGGATGTCTACTTTCTATGTTACTATCCTATGTTACTACTCAATTGCCTACGTTATATCATACCTTTTCTTTTCTTTTTTCTTTTCTCACTGCAGATTTTCAACACGGTTCAATTCAATTACCCCAGGTCCTCTCTTTCTTTAGTTGCCTGTTTCTACTTTCGACCTGCATACAGGCGTCTTGCGTCAATGTTTATTGCTTCTGGCGTTGTTGTGGCTGGTTCACCAGCCGGTGCACACGGCCGAAACCTATTATACATACATAAATGATATGGAAGTAATGCGGACGATTTTGGTCATGTCCTATTTCTCTGTTAAGGTATGAGTTACTGCGTACTTCGCCGCGTAGTAGGTAGATATTGGTGGCACCACCTATAAACATACCAAGAGAAGAAGTCCTAGCATTACAAGTGATACTAATATGGGCCTACTACCTACCCATAGTTCCTTTGTTTTTCTTTCTCCCTTTTTCCTTCCCAAAGCCTCGCCGTAAGTAGTTATGGTGCACGTGCGCTAAGATCAAACGCCGTTTTTAAACAGCCTTTGGGAGGGTCTCAGGTTGCTAGATCTCTTTGCCCAGTATACATACTACGACATTAATATGCGTCAGATGTCAGTTTCGAATACCCTTGGTTGGGGTTCCCTGGTATTCCCAGTTGCCAATAAGGTCTGGACTTGTCGCCGTCGATAGATGGTTAGATATTGAGTCTCGAATAGCCAACACCGTATACTCGGATCAACAGCGAGAAGCCCGGCAACACAGAGAAGCTAACTCAGTGTCAATGCTTTAGTCTGGTTTCGGTGAAGCTGTATACCGATCAGGATAGTGTGAGCGGTACAGCGAACCTGCAGGGCGAGTATTGCCCTCGAGGTTTATGGCTTCTCGGGCGAGTAATTGTGACACGTAGGCTCCTGGGTGGTTAACACTCAGACTGGCCTACCTTGACGAGCTCACAAGCTAGTCAGCAATGCCCTATACTGGGGGGATGGTATATTGCAGTTTGGCCTTTCTCGATGCATGTAGATGCTCTTGTCTCAAGGCCTTGTTTAATGCTGCAAGATCATTCTACCGTTTTGATTACTCTGACGGCTGGCTGTTAAAAGGCCCTCAACCGGTCATGTAACTCGCCCACTATTAGGAATCCTCTCGGGGCCCGTGCTTGCGTGCTCTCTAGCTTGATGCAGGGATTGTAGGGCAATGCTCAAGGCACCAACAGCATTTCGAAGATATACGTAATCATATAAGCTGAGCCTCGAGGGTGAAATGTCACCAAACTGCCATAATCTTCGGATACTTGCCATCAGAAAGTCGTCTTCCTATACTTGCTGCATTGATGATCAACACGGCCATATCGTGATTGAAGATTAGCCATTTAAATGAGTAGTATCAATAGTATAGGAAACAACTGAATCTAGAAGATGGCATTTGGCGCCCATGGATGGTAAATCGCCGACGCGCACCGCTCGGAATACAGCTCTGTGCTACTTTCCATCGGCGTCGTGCATCCTTCCAATACTCTGAGCGAGGATGGTTGCAAGCTCGGCCACTCTTTGACCAATGGCTTGGATTTGTCCAGGGGAGCCTCAGAGGATCATGTTAGTAGCTCGAGCGACTAATGCAAGCTCGAGCCCGAGGCTCAATCTCAGACATCTCCTGGCCTGTCGCAGTCCAAGCGCCGTGTGCACAAGTGGGACCTGAAAACAACTGGCCATGGAGGGCCACGAGTCGTCGGTGGTCGTAGACTGCACGGTCGTGGCAGTTCAGAAAGTCGGCCTGGAGGCAGTGCCCAAGTTCGTCGACATAAGAACAAACTCTATTTGTAAAACAATGCGATCATAAAAGGCCTAATCGCACATTGATCAGGAGGCTGAGGCTCAATCCTTTGCGGCGTTGTTGTTATTATCAGCATATTATATGCCTAATATTGGGCGTTCGGATTGTCATCGATTTGGCTGTGGATCTTGGCCTATCGGGCTTCAGGCATGGCAGTCGTTTTTACCATATATAGTAACCGAGTTGTTGGATCGACGGTTTCAGTTGGGAGGATTTGGCCAGCCTCTTCTGCGCCCCATCTCCTCGCAAGATGGTCCGGAGTATAACATGTCTGCCTGGTTCTCAGCGCTGTTTGGGTTTGGATGCGGGGTGCAAAGCATTCAAGGCGGGCAAATCAACGACAAAGGGTGCCCGGTGTATAGTTTGGTGCGTGTCCAGATACAGGGCACAGCTGGGGCTGCCCAATACGCATACGATTAGAATCGTGGGAAGGGCCGTTGGACTGTTGATGGGTTGACAGCTGGGAGGAACCGGATACGAGTCTGGAAATGGAAATTGCATGTCTTGGAGGCTCGCGGCAGATCCACCGATCCAGGAGCTGGCGTCGTAATCTTCAGGCTCTCCATTCCCAGATGAATGAGTTGCCCTGTGTTATTCGGGTTGCTTGGGGCCCCATTCAGTATACGAGCCAGCAAGTCACAGGTCGACCGTCCCACCGAAACAAGGCTCGGCGTTTCCCGGTCTTTAGGCCTTAAATCCTTTTTTTTTTTTTGTTTTTGGATCCAAGAACCTGCGGATTCCAATTCCGGTTCTTTGTGCAACAAAAACAGGGATCAATAATAATCAAAAAGGAGCAATGAGGAGACATCATGTCAGCGGCACAACCCAAACTCCGGTTGATCACAGAGTCCAGGCCTCCTTGGGGAGCTCGTATCCGATTCCGAGTGCATAAGTACGGGAAGTAATGCAAGTGCACAATGTGCTCAGCTCCACTGGCACGGTGGCTTGATAAGCAATAAGCATTCAATCCAGTCTCACCTGTCACTCGGGATCCTCTTCTCAGCTCAGCACCTAATTTCTCCAGTTAGCTTGATCTGCCTAATTCTATGGGGAGGAACAGGAGCAGATCAGCTTCGCAGTCGCCCGCGGGCACCTGCAAGCTCCCTGGTTACCCGATTAGGAATTTGGCAGCGCCAACGCAGCAGCCTCCTGGTCGCTTCGTAAGTTCGTATACCCCGTCACTGGGCTCCCTGATTAGGCGGAGTGGGCGAGTGCGTCACAACAGCACGCCCAAGAGAGGCGCAGCACCTATGCTCCTCGCAAACATCCCACTTCCACCTCTGGATCTCGCCAGGAATTGGACCCCAATCCCGCCCCGATCTCCAGCCTCCGCTTCCACTTTTCCCGGGTCCCTGTCTCCATTTCAAATCAAAGCACAGCACATCATCGCTCATCCTTTCTTGTTGTTCCGACTGTCTGGGGGTCTGAAACATGCGAGGCGACGAAATACTTGCCTGAACTGGGTTAACATTATACGAGGCAGTGTCCCTAACAGGTCTAGTGGTTCGCAAGGGGCGCTCTTTT